TATATATATATATATATATGGGGGCTTCCTCTGTCTAGCCGAGCGCGAACAGGAGATGAAGTGGGCGTCGAGGCTGAGTCGATGTACCACAACAACGTAAATGCTATGTCAGCCCTCTATGAAATTTATTGGTACACTTATCCAGAGCAGCCGCAGAGGATTCGGAGGGATTTCCAAGAGTCCTTATTCAAGAGGGTTTCAAACTTTTTTTTTTCTGCTGGCACTGTCCAGCACGATGGTTTGCGAGGATTGCATTACGCCTAACTATAGCGTATTCATGCATTTGGGCAGAGCTCCCGCAAGAGGAAAAGATAAACAGACTCAACGCAGTCCAGTCTTTGTCGTCACTGTAGATTGCCACGTATGCTGTAACCTGCTCGATCGTTGCTTATTTTTGCACGGGCTACAAGCTCGTACGCAAGTAGGAGTTAGCAAGTGAGAAAAAAGTCACAAACCACTACAAATAACAGCGCCTATATGCAAAATACTTGAAGTATCGGGGCAGCATGCTAATTCTCCACTGATTCAAGCTGAGTATGTCTGGTGCACTGTTTGGGGGTAGTTGAGATCAGATGTACTTCATAAATGTTGTGAAGTGTTAGAGAGTCCTGATTATTAACACGAACTTATCAAGTGCACTTCATACACGATGCCGAGCGTGTTGACGACTAACGACTTCTAGCACAAACATTGGTGAGATAAGAATATACTAGCAGAGGACTAGCATGTGTTTCTGACACTCCTATGCGCCTAGCACTAAGCCACATGTTACAAAGGACCCAGCCAGTGTGTTCCTGGTTTTTTGGTTCCCCATGCAATGCTGCTCAGAGCCTAACTTGCAGAATTCCGTAAGACACTACGTAAGCTTACATCTTTCCAATATGCGGCATGGCTAACTTCAGTAAGAGCACTTCAACTTGTTTATACGAGTCTGTAGTACTTTAGGTGCTGCATTTCTGGCTTTTCTCTTGTTCTATTCTATCTCACTCATCGATGAAGGCATTGACCTCTCGATTTTCTGAGGGGTCCATCTCAGGCGCACCACTGAAGTGCTTTTCTTCGTTGCCAGCTAGGGCTACGGAGGCAGGGCGTTTTACTTTTTCGCGTATACGATGAATTCACATTATGAATTCGCACCTCCAACCCCTAACTGCCTTCGCAGAGGGTCTGTTTGTCCGTGGGAATGTTAGTCGTCCTGCCGCTAGTTACAGCACCGTCTTTTGCAACTTCTACAGCAATTCAAGGAACAAGCATCACCCGGTCACCTTTTGAAGCATGCAGAAACAGATTACTGAGGTCTTAAAAACCGATTTTAGACGGCATACAAATATTTGCGCATCCTCCCTTTTTTAACACAGCCTGCTTTGACACAGCAAGGGGAACAACGCTACAAGGCCGCATCAGCAGGTGGTGACTATCTATTGTAACCGAATGCCGCCTCCGGGGAAGAAGAGAGAAGCGGCATGTGCAGATAGGGGTCCTGTTTTAGAAGTCCCACCACAAGACAGCACTATATCTTTCGCTTCCCCTAGCTGGTAGCACTAGTCCGGAAGTGTGTGCCCAAAAGGGGTTCTGTAGCATCAAAGCAGCAGACACATTGCACGTTGCTCCAGGGGGGCGCCGCTGAGTGTCTGCCCTCTTCCCCCATCCTGTCTCCCCCCTTCCCTGCCCCTTGTCGTAAGCCAGTAACTGGGGGGCAACATCTGCGTGGGTCTCAGTGTTGTTTGCCCTGATGGAGCATGCGGCTAAACAGCTAACAGGATTGTATCTTCAGAGCCACAAATCTGGAATAAATATATTTGATTTTAATTTGGAAATTGTTCAGTGTGCATTTAAAAAGACAGAGATGGGCCCTTGAAGCCTCTTCGCCAAGCCACTGGCTTGCAGGGGCCCACTTTTGGGTGCAGAGGCCCCCCCCAAGGCAAGGAGAGGCCCCTTGTCGCGTCCCCTCTGGCAGCTTCTCTTTACATGTTTTCACTTTTCCCTGCATTTTATTTTAATTGCGTTTCTTCTCTCCCTGGAGCCTCACCGGCTATACAGCTTAGGAGTAGAGCTTCTACTTGGTAGTGGGGGTCAAGGTCCTCGGCATGGGCTCCTTGTGCAAGTTCTTATTGTGGGAGCCGATTTCCCTCTTCCTTAAAATCTCTTCCTCTCTTGTAGGAGGCCAAAGGAAGGTTCAAAAGAGCTAACACTTGCTGGAGGAGATGTTTGGAGCCGCAGCCCAAGGGGCCGGCACAGGGGGGGGCCTCTTCGGCTCGGCCTCGCAAACCCCAGCGGCAACAGGGGGGGGCACTGGCCTCTTTGGAGGCGGGAACACAGCAGCAGCTGCTGCACCAGCAACAGGGACTGGAGCAGCCAACACTGCAACGGGAACAGGCTTCGGCTTGTTCGGGGCGGCCTCCGCAGCAGCACCTGCTGCCACGACCACGACTGGGGGGGGACTCTTCGGGGCTACTGCTACCCCAGCTGCTGCTCCTGCTGCTACAGGTGGGGGCCTCTTCGGGTCTAGTACTACTGCTGCTGCTCCTGCTGCTACAGGTGGGGGCCTCTTCGGGTCTAGTACTACGGCTGCTGCTCCTGCTGCTACAGGTGGGGGGCTCTTCGGGTCTAGTACTACGGCTGCTGCTCCTGCTGCTACAGGGGGTGGCCTCTTCGGGTCCACTGCTACTCCTGCAGCAACTCCTGCTGCTACGACGGGGGGTGGCCTCTTCGGGTCCACTGCTACTCCTGCAGCAACTCCTGCTGCTACAACGGGGGGTGGCCTCTTCGGGTCTACTACTGCTGCTGCCGCTACTCCTGCTGCTGCTCCTGCTGCTACTGGGGGTGGCCTTTTTGGCAAGCCCGCTGCAGCAACAACAACAGGTACTACTGGCGGGGGCCTCTTTGGCGCCAGCACTGCGGGTACCACAGCTACAGGCACAGGAGGAGGGGGTCTCTTTGGTAGTTTATCTACGACAGGGGCCCCCAGCACCACTGCTACTACAACTCCTGCTGCAGGGACAACAACCGGGGGGCTTTTCGGGTCGAATACTACAGCAGGAGCTGCAGCACCTGCTGCAGCAACTGGGGGCGGTCTCTTCGGGGCTGCCAAGCCTGCTGCAGGGACGACAACCACAGGGGGCCTCTTTGGCAGCAGCACTAGCAACACCGGAGGCGGCCTCTTTGGAAGCAGCACCAACACCAACACCACCAGCAGCAACACAGGAGGGCTGTTCGGCAGCAGCAGCAGCACTGGCGGGGGTCTCTTCGGCAGCAGCAGCACCACCGCGACAACCGGTTCTGGCGGCCTGTTTGGCGGCAGCACCAATGCGGGTAGCAGCACCACTACTGGAGGCAGCAGCAGCAGCAACTTGAAAGCAATCAACATCAGCACAGCAGCTTTTGCTTCTGTTGACTGGCGTGCTGCTGCGCTGCTGCCGCGGCAGCCAACTCTAGAAAGCTTAGGGCGTGTGCTGCAGCAGCTACCTCAGGGGGCGAGGGATGTGGAGATACACCTGAGAGAACAGGAGAGACAGCTTGAGTCTCTGCAGGCACAAACACGAGCACTGAAGAAGTACGTCTGTGGGGCAGCTGGCAGATGCACATGATAGGAGACCCTGCTGAGGGTTTAGGGTTTAGTTCTGATGGTTTGGCGTTTAACTTTTACAGTTTAGGGTTTAGAGTTTAACTCTAGGGTTTAGGGTTCGGGTTTTAGGGTTTAGGGTTTAGGGTTTAAGATGTGTGCTTCAGGTCCTTCGGTTCCTTAGAGGGAGGTCTAGCAGCAGAAGCAGCAAGAGTTGCTGCTGCAGGGCATCGTGTTGCTGTAATGAGCCGCCAGAGCAACGCTGTGCGGCCCTTACTGGAGAGAGATAAAGTAAGAACGGAGAAAGCGGGTGCTGCTGCCGCTTCTGATTCTGCTAGTGCTGCTATTGCTGCAGCTGGGGTTGTTGCTGCTGTGAAGGGGCCCCCAGACAATTGGGCGGGGCCCCAGGAATTGCCGTACACCGGGATGCTTGCTGCTGCCCTGCTGCTGAGGGGTGGCTAAACGCGCACTGTCTGCATGCGTTGTTGCTAATCCTAATTTTCTGCCTTCTGCTGTTGCTGTTGTTGCTTGTCTAATCAGAATTTATGTCTTCAAGTCGAGCAGCTGTATCAACAGCTCGTTCAGAACCTCGCCGTTGCAGCAGCAGGAGCAGCTGCCCAAGGAGCAGATGTGCCCTGCGCTCTGCCACTACAGGTACAAGCTTATCCGCGTAACTAGCTAGCTAGCTAGCTAACAACAGCTAGCCAGGAACGCAACAGGTAGCCATGGAAACATAAGGTCCCCCGCGGTTGCTGCAGAGCTGTGGACATATGAACGCAGCCGACACCTGAAGACATTGCGCTCGTGGTGTTTCAGGGTTGAGTGCTTAGGCTTGTTGGGTTTCTGTTTTTGTTTCAGGTCCCGTGTGCACTGGCTACCCCCTGCATTCAGCAGCTGCTGAAGTCTGTCGAGGCTGCCCACGACCGGCTGTCTCTGTTGGAGGCGCAGGTTCAGGAACTCCGCTGTGCCCAAGAAGGGAGCCCCTCAGGCGGAGGTGTGGGCCCCTGCTTTGCTGGGGCACCCCAGTCAACAAGTTGTGGTGGGCCCTCCTCTGGCAGGGGCGATGGCGTCTTAATTGCGGAGATCGTCGCAGCCCAGAGAGACCTTCTGTGTAATGCGTCGAAGAGGGTACGCGCAAGCTGCTATGGGCCCCCAATAGGGGGGCCCCAATGGGCCTCCAAGGGCCCCCGGGGAACGGGAGGGCGGTCCCCTGTGGGTGGGGGAAGCCTATGCTATTGTATTATTTTTCTAAAGCGTACTTGTTTCGCGTAGCAAGCATCTTGAGCGGGATGCCTGTTGGGTTGTGTTTGGAGCGAGCCCTTTTGGATGGGGCTGCCTCTGATACTGCTGTTGCTACTGCTGCGTTTCTGGTGCCGCAGGCGCTTGTCTGTCTGGAGGCAGCTCAGGAGGCCCAGGAGGCCCTCGAGCAGGCAGGAGTTAAACTGGTGCCACCCAGCGAAGAAGAGGAGACAACAGAAATGCAGCCCAGCCAAGGTAAAGCTATATTATCTTGTATACGCACCGCTATTTGCTGCTGCGGTGTCCTGCTGCTGCTGCTGTCGCTTAAGCGTGTGTGCTTTGAGAAAGGCTGTGGTGTTTAGTTAGCTTTTTGGAGTGATGGCTGCTTCTGTTACTGCTGCAGGAGACAAAGCTTCTTTCGCTGGTGGCGGGGGGGCCCTCCTGGGAGATAACAATTCACTTCTCGGCAGCCTCCAGCAGCCCGGCACACCTGCTGGTGGGGGGCTCTTTGGATCCGCGGGGGCCACACAAGGAGGCGGTTCGACTCTTTTTGGGGGGGCTTCTGGGGCTGGTGGTGGTCTCTTTGGCACCCAGAACGCAGGCCAGCAGCAGCAGGGGACCCCTGCCACCGGAGGTTTATTTGGAACGTCAGGTAGTGGGGGCCTCTTTGGAGCTGCGAACAACACTGCAGCAGGAGGAGGTGTAGCGGCAAAAGGGGGGGGCCTCTTCGGCACTAGCGCGGGAGGCGGGGGTCTATTTGGAGCAGGAGGTGCTCAAAGCACCACCAGTACTACTCAGCCGGGTACAGGAGTGGGCCTCTTTGGGACCTCTACCGGCACCCAAGGTACTGGTGGCGGCCTCTTTGGCAGCAACCCTCAGCAGCAACAACAGCAGCCAGCCACAGGGGGCCTCTTCGGATCCAACACAGCGACACAGAGCGGCGGAGGTGGCGGCCTCTTTGGGGCCTCTGCGGCAACCCCATCAACGGGGACGGGTGGAGGACTCTTTGGCAGCACCCAGCAGCAGACAAACACCGCAAGTGCTGGGGGCCTCTTTGGGGCCAACAGCAATACTCAGCAGGGTACGGGAGGGGGCCTCTTTGGGGCCTCTAATAATACTCAGCAGGGTACAGCTGGTGGTCTCTTTGGGGCCAACAGCGGTACTCAGCAAGGTACAGGGGGTGGCCTCTTTGGGGCCTCGACTAATACCCAGCAAGGTACAGGGGGGGGCCTCTTCGGGGCCTCGACTAATACCCAGCAAGGTACAGGGGGGGGCCTCTTCGGGGCTACCACTGGCACCCAGGGTACGGGGGTGGGCCTCTTTGGGGCCTCGAAGACGGCGCAGACTGGTGGGGGACTATTCGGTAACACCCAGCAGACCGCCCTGGGGGGCGGTCTGTTTGGTACGAAGAAGTGAGTGACGCCTTGCTGCAGGCTTGTTGAGGCAGCAGCAGGTGCAGTAGGTTCCGTGTTTGCTGCTGCTACTGCTAAATCAACAGCAGCGGCATCTTTTGTATATCTATTTGAAGGACCGAACGGAAGTGCTTGCTGCCCCGATGATTTGACCTACTGTTGTTGTAAATATCCCTTGTGGCCTCCAGGGTACTACTTAGTCTGTAGATTTGCTTTACTTCCTACTCTAAACTGTCGTACCTCCCTATGTCTCCCTCACCAAATGTACCTATAGACTAGACTAGGAACTCCTTGCTACGTGCATATATGCTTCAAGGACATGCCCCGCAGCAAGTACTAGCAACTGCGCACGAGCTGTACGGACACTTGAGGATACATATCCACCTCGAGTTTAAGCGGTGGTGGTCCGACTTCTGCTTCCTTCCTGATTATTCCCTGCAGGAAGCAGAGAAGCCATGCCACTGTGCGTTCCCTGCAGCATTCGTTTGCTGCTTGTTAAGATGAGCTGTACCTACGGATACACGATTCCACGTGAAAGCGGCAACGCAGCAGCATCAGTCGCTAGGGTTATGCAAAGAACCCCCCAGCAACTGAGTTGCATTAGCATATCGCCTGCTGCTGATGTTCAAAAGAGCAGCAGGCACGGCAGACCTTCCGGTGTATGCATGCACACCACAGAAGGGGCGGAAACCAACTGGCTACTAGGGGCGGTAAGAAACGCATTGGATGCGTTTCTAGGCTAGGCGTGAGGAGACCCTCCAACCTGGGGTCAACTAAGTACGGCACAACACAGATACATCGAAGACGTAAGACATTGAGTGAGGGGTCTGTCTCTACAGCCCAGGCCCCTCTCCCCATGGATGCAACACTGGGGGGAAGTAGTGGTTGGGCTGCAGGTGCCCCTGGCCCCAGGGGTCCCCTCAGCAGAGGAACTCGGCATAGTTGCTCTGTCTGTCGTCCATCCGAGACCGATACACCCGCCGACCTGGGAAGAGGACCTCGGCCTCGGTGTCTAGTTTGTCAGAGGCAGACTCATCGCTGGTGCATGCAGTGGAGGCTATAGAGTCACTCCTTACCAATCGGGACTTTCCAGGAAGAGGGGGCCCCGCTGTCTTGACCTGTCCAGTCAGACGGCCAAAGAGGGTAGGTAGCAGCGCAGCAAAGGCCATCGACTGCTCTTCTACATACTCCGCATCTCCCATGTCTGTGACATCGCCCATATCTGTGGGGTCGAGCGCCCCCATATCTGTGGGATCCATCGCCGTCATATCTGTGGGATCGAGCGCCCCCATGGTGGGATCGAACGATCCCAAAGAGGGATCGGCCGCTGCAGCCCCCATGGCAGCCGCTGCCCCCCCCATCGCCGCGCTGTCTCCCCACCAATTGTTGAACAGGTTGTTCCCCAACCCACTTGACAAGGTGTGCAGCATGCCGCCTTGCCCCCCTGAGTTATCCATGCCAAGGGCCCCCTCCATGAAGCCTCTAAATAGAGAACCCTTGGAGCTCCCAGATGCTGCTGCTGCTGCTGCGCCTTCGAGCGCTTCCGGGTCGGCTCCGATCCCAGGCGCGCCGAACTCCGAGGCCCGCATAAGGGGGCCGGCAGCAGCGGGGAGGTCGCCTGCATGGTCTGCTGCTGCTGCTGCTGCAGTTGATGCTGCTGTAGTTGATGCTGCTGCAGTTGATGCTGCTGCAGTTGATGCTGCTGCAGTTGATGCTGCCGCAGGGGTGGTGGTGATGGTGGCCGTGGGTATGGTGGAAGAGGCCGAAGACGTACCTACGAACGCCACATTGCTGTTGGGAGCGGGGCCCTTGTGCAGCTGCAGGAACTTTGAATGGCTGTGGGTTGCAAGGGGCCCAGGCATAAACTCCTCCCCTCCTTCAGCGCCAACTGGTGGAGCCCCAGCATACCCTGCTCCCCCATTTGTGCCTGAGGGGCCCCCTTGCCCCAGCAGGGGGCCCTGGAGACCCGACCCCCGACCGCCTGCTGTTCGGGAGGCCTCTGTAGCCGTGTGGGAGATAGTATGGCCTCCAGGTGCCGACTGCGGCGGATGATGGTGGCCATGAGCTGTGGTAGATGGACCAGCTGTTCCATGCGCCGGCTCTTGGGCATGGGGGGCCTTGGGCGCTGAGCTCCCCCCCCCTCCTCCCGTTGCTGCAGAACGGTGGGCCTGCACTCCCTTGCCCTTTCCCCTGCCAAAGGCCACCCCTCTCTTCTTTACAAAACATGCCTTTTGACCTACCTTCAACATAGAAGAATGCGCAGCGGCCGCCCCACCACCTCCAGCTGCCTTCCCCCCTGCCGCAGTTACACTTGCTGCCTTGGAAGTCACTAAGCTGGCAGCTGCCTTCCCAGGACCCGTTGCTCCTGATGCAGCTGCTGCTGCCTTTGGAGCTGCCGCAGCTGCCGCACCTCCTACGCCCATTGCCCCTGTCGCAGCATCTCCCGCATGCGCAATGAAGGAGCTGGCTGGGGCTGCCGCTGTGACTGCTCCCAACTTGCTCGCTTTCAAAGACAAAAGCGCCGACCCCATGCCTTTGCTGATGGGAGCCGCTCCCGTTCCAAGGAGTGACGTGGGATCAACTGCCGATCCCGCGGCCTTTGCCCCCAGGGCCGCCAATACTGTCCCCATCGCCAGCACGTGGTGAGGCATTTTGGGGATATTCACAGCAAGTCCTAGCTAATCAGGACAGATATATCAAATCCAAAGCAATCTTAACAATTTTTATGTTGGGGGCGCCGAAGCGGAAAATCCACAGGAGCCAAGACGCGAGCACCCAGGAGGTGTCACTGTAGCTTCTGCCCCTAAGCCCAGAATTGGGGAGGCTGGAGCAGCTCTAACGGTCACGAGGAATTTTTAAAATCCAAAAATAGAATACAAGAGAAACAATCCCCCAAAACAATCCATACGTTGGAAAGTTCCAGTGTTCCTGAAGGCGCTGCTGCCGTCGAAGGGGGTAGTCGTACTACGGCGCCAAGGCCTGGGAGATGAAGATGTCAACTAGCGGCGAGGCCTCCGTGTTTGTTCTCCGTGAATTAGGCAGAAAAGTGTATTAAATAGCATTTATTTTCTTTCGGTTACTTAGTTTAACTTAAAATCTATTCCCTTGTTTTGTCTGAGCGGCCTTAAGGTGTGTGCCGCTGCGCACTCCAGTTGCTGCAGGTTGAGAGTGTACGGATTTCCACAAGAAACACTTAATAAAGTCACATCACAATGAATTAATATATTTTTCCAGCTGTACTTTCTAATGAAACGCGGCCGTTTCTCCTAATTGTTCTGCTGCTTTTCGCGCACTGCCTTCCGTGTGTTTCTTATCCCCCCGGCACGTCCTCTGCGCAAGGCATCAGCTGGACCTGAACAGCTGCATAAGTTAAACTATTTCTGCACGATTTAATGTTTTTTACTCTTGTAATTGTTGGTGCTATCATCCGCATGAAGTTTTAATTAGTGATTATCCGCCTTATTTCTACAGACAGCCGGTGAACGCTCCCCCAGACTGAGCCAGCCCTGCGGTGGCGCCTTCAGGGCTGGTCATGGCGTCTCGGGACCAGCTGCAAAACCCTTTTTCTCCTCTCCCTTGGTTTCCACAACTTATTTAACAGCTGCATTGCCCCAAGACTTGTGTCGGGCTGCAGGCTTCCATAAGAGGCTCCTTCAAGGGGCCCCTCACACGCTTCATTGGCCCTCAGGTGGGGTCGTTGTGCAACACCGTCGGTAGCTGCAGATTTATCTCCTGTATTCGAACGAGACAAATCCATAGCAATCTACATTAAGGGGCTATTGGACTTCCCGAGGCTCTAGAGAGCCCGAAGTGCTGCAGTTACGGAGCGGCTGTTGTTCTTTGCAGACGTCTTCATGCGTGTCTTGGCGCCATACGCAACAAGGCGCTGCTGCTTGCTTCTCTTCACGTCATTGTTACTCTTTTAGAACCATCAGTTGCAGCTGCAATAGGAGCTTCAGCTGCAGCCGCAAAACCTGCAACAGCAAGAGCAGCAGCAGCAGCAGCAGCAGCAGCGCAGCAGCAGCACCTGCAGCAGCAGCAACTGCTGCCGCAGCAGCATCAAAATGAGTTCGTCTGACTCAGAAAATGTGCACGCGAGTTCCAGCGAGAGCGGGGAGGAGGAGGCGCCTGTTGCGAGGACAGGGGGCGGCGGAAAGCGGTCGAAGAAGACAATTGAAGAGGTATTCTGCAGCATTTGCCTTTCTCGTAGATGAACCAAAGGCAATGGGCCTCTGCTTGCGTTGTACGGTTGCATATGACACTTAAATGCATCTGAACAGTATATGTAGGCAGTTTTTGTATAGATGCACAATATATGTTCACGTAAGACCCTTTTCTGCACGTGTGAGGCATACCCGCGAGGCCTGTTAGCCGTAAGTACAGTAAGTATCTGCGGAGGTATGTTTTGGCAAACTGTGCTACTCTGTACTTTCCGTTGGGGGAGTTTTGCGGATGCGGTTTCGGGTGTATGTACAGCTTGGCAGGGTCGTTTGTGTGCCTTAGAACTGTGACGTTGGCTTGTGCGTCTGCATTCCCCCTCAGCGGTACCAAAAAAAGTCTCAGCTAGAACACATCCTGTTGAGGCCGGATTCCTACATTGGAAGCACAGAGATAAGCGCACAGCAGGTGTGGGTGATGCCCGAGGGGGAGATGCGCATGCAGCAGCGCGTCATCTCCTTCCCCCCGGGGCTGTACAAGATCGTCGACGAGATTCTGGTGAACGCCGCAGATGTGAAGGCGCGAGAGACCGAAGGCGGAGGGGCCCCCAGGGCCAAGATGAACGCCATCAAAGTCACTGTGGATCAAGCACAGGGATTCATTAAGGTCTGGAATGACGGAGAAGGTAAGGGCCTAATCTTGGGTTGCCTTTGGTTTCAAGGGCGGCCTTTTTCTCCATGTAGGACTATTGGAATATGCTATTGTCGAAAGCCTTTTCTCCTGTTGTCCTTAAAGTCCACCGGAATAATTGAAAACGAGAAGCTAGCAGTCTTAACCCATATGAACATTCAGATTATATATGCTTTGTATACTTGTTTGTATATTTGTAAATATTGTATGCGGCAAGGGCCTTGAATAACCGACTTCCTCTCTCCATAGCTTCCTGACGCGTAGCAAATATGCAGTTTTGGTTCTAGCCAGTGAAGAACTAAGTGCATGCGCGCACTATGCTTCTGCCGTAGTGGTGGGTGCTGCTGCTGTTGAGGATATCCAACGCGGAAGAGGAGCCCTAGTGGTCGGCGTTACAGGGCTTGCTGCTGCCGTTTGTTGCGCCGACTGTCAGCATTTTGTACAAATGAGGCGTCATTGAGGGCGGGTTTAATTGTATGGACACCTGCACAAGCTGGAAGCGTGAGCTTCCCAGGGTGATGGACGCCGGCAAGCAAGAGGCAGATGGAGACAACTGTTACGATTGCGCATGCTTGCATGCATGCAGGGATTCCCGTGGCAATTCACAAGGAACACAATGTATACGTGGCTGAGCTCATATTCGGCCAGCTACTGACTAGCGACAACTACGATGACAGCGAGGCTCGCGTCACAGGAGGCCGCAACGGATTCGGTGCAAAACTCACGAACATCTTTTCCTCGCATTTCGAAGTTGAATGCGCCGACAGCAAACGCAAACTGTAAGCAACTTCATGTGGACTGTGTTCAGTTGTCTTTGTATCACTTCCTGTGTGTCATTGTCCCCGCGTTTTCTGCTTGGCTCTGTTTTGCGCCTATTGCCGAGTGCCCTCTGTCTCCACTGCCTAGTTGTACTTTGCCTGCTGCATTTGCGCCTCCTGAAGTATCCCCTGTCTATGCTTTTGTGTTGTTGGGATTCCGTCCCCTTCCCGGCCTCCTAATGTGTTCCAATTTGAATGTTGCCCTCTGTCTCCATTGCCTAGTTGTACTTTGCCTGCTGCATTTGCGCCTCCTGAAGTATCCCCTGTCTATGCTTTTGTGTTGTTGGGATTCCGTCCCATTCCCGGCCTCCTAATGTGTTCCAATTTGAATGTCGCAGCAAAAACTACCTGTAGAAGTGGCACTAGCAGAGCTGCCGGGTTTTATACAGGGCTTCGGGTCTGATTCCGTTCCAAACTTGTCTTTACTTGAATATTTCGCGTTTGAGTTTACTGTCGGGCCGTGCTCGCCATTTCTGTTTGTTGTCTCCTTTCTCCTTCTAGTCGCTCTTTGTGCCTTTGTGCGTGTTTGAGTGTGGTTGCTTGTTCCGCCGTCCTTCTGACTTTGCACCTCTGTGTATCTTTCTCCGTCATTGTGTCCATCTATCTCTACGTCGTTGTATCCACCGGCACCTCGGAACTTTTTCTTGGTGTTTCTCAGGAAGATAAAAGTTGTCTGGACTGACAATATGGGCAAGCAAGACCCTCCAGTCGTAACTCCTTTCAACGGGGCCGGCGACTTCGTCTCTGTGAAATTCAAGCCGGACCTCCAGCGCTTCGGGATGTCTGCGTGAGGCTTCGAAATGCTATGTTGAACGGGGCTTTTAGAGGCAGCTCGTTTTGATCTGAGGGCCTACGGGGTGCTGTTCCAGGGTGTACGAATTTAGGGGTTCGATGTTCTTTGCATGCCCACAATAATATTCTAGTAATGCAGTATATAGAGTTATCATTATGTCTGCATGGGTTGCCTGTCTTTTCGTGATCCTGCTTAGTATTGGTGAACAGTCCTGCCCATGCGCCTACTATGATGCGCGCGCGCACAGGCTGGACGACGACTTGGTGTCCCTGGTGCGCAAGCGGTGCTTCGACTTGGCAGGGACTTCGGGGACAGCGGTGTACTGGAACGGAACGCGGCTGCCTGTGCGCAGCTTTGTGGACTACGTGGATTTGTACTTAGGGGAGGGGGCTGGGAAAAAGCGGGGAAAAGGCAAGGAGAAGGGCAAAAGGAAGAGCAAAAAGAAAGGATCTGACGGAGAGACCAGCGATGATTCCGATGTGTACGAAGGCGAGAGAGAAAACGGCTCGGAACCAAAGGAAGATGATGACAAGGAAAATGAAAGCCCCCCAGAAAAGCAAATCATAAAGATCCACGAAAAGATGCATCGATGGGAAGTTGTTATCAGCCAAACAGGTTGGTAGGGGTAAGGGGGGGCCCGACAAAGACAGATCCATGAGCAAGCAACACAGAGACGCAAATTCATGTTGAATAGGATAAGGAGATAGAGGCAGGCTACGAATCAGATATGCAGACAGGAGACAATCACAGAGATGCACACGGACAGACAGAGCGGAGGGCTGGCTGCTGCGGCTGCTGATTTTAGTGACATCTCATCTTGGTTGCACCCATCTAGTGGTGGCATCGAGAGAAGAGAGGATAAAACGTACGTTGTAGAGCATCTGCGCGTGCATTTCTGTGTTCATCGGTGTGTTGTATGTTCAGACGGCAGTTCGTTTTCCCAGGTGTCCTTCGTTAATAGCATTTGTACGACGAAGGGTGGCCACCACGTGACTCACGTCATCGAGCCTCTTCTCGCGGCTCTGGTGAAGAAGGCAAACGCCAAAAACAAAGGAGGCATGGAGATTAAGCCACCACACGTCAAGTACGTCTCACACATCCTGGCCCAACTATGGGCTCGCAGCACAAGCAAGTTCCGCGCTCTAAATGCTCTGCAGTTAGCTGTTGCAAATGGAGCAAATGGAGAGGGCGCTTATGAGCTTGGTGCACCCTTGTTGCACTTCCTCCTTCAGGCAACACCTTTGGGTGTTTGTTAAGTGTCTCATTGAGAACCCCGCGTTCGATTCCCAGACAAAGGAAACATTGACCACCACTGTATCTCGCTTCGGCAGCAAATGCACACTATCCGAGAGGACGATAAACGCCGTCGCCAAGTCTCCCATCTTGGAAGGGGTGCTCTTATGGGCGCAAACGAAGGCGCAGGTGGGAGGACAATGGTTTCTGGTGCTTGCCTGAGACGTGTTTGTTGGTTAGTCAGCTTTCTACCGGTTGGTGGCTACCGTGTGTAGGTTGCAGCTTACCGTTATGCAATTGGGCTACCAACAAGGATCTGTAGCTTGCCGTGATTTGTTTCGGTTGCCTTCGCTGCAGTTTGCTGAGCATTTGGTGGATGAGTGTGTTCACTAGGTCGAACTGAGACGGCAAATGCAAGTGGGAAAGACAAAAGGCAGAGAGCGGTTGACAGGCATATCGAAACTGGAGGACGCAAACGAAGCGGGTAAGTGCAGCTTCCGCTTCTGCGTCTGTCCTATCCTTGCGTACGTCCCGCTCGTCTAGTTGCTTAGTTTACCCGATATAGTTCAAACTGAATAGTTGCTTAGTTCACCCGATATAGTTCATACTGGACCTTCACGCATGGCAAAGGCTGCTCCATTGTGGCATTATGATCGTAGCCGATGCTCCAGGGTAAACAACCTTGCTGCTGTGGGAGCTGTGTTGGCTGTGCAAGGAGTTGCGAATCTGTGTCCGCTTTCTATATCTGCAGTCGGGGTTCCTGTTACCTCCAGCTGGGCGTGTGCACAGTACTCTGGTGTTATCTTGCTTCTTTGCTTTGCAGGCGGCCGATATGCCCAGGAATGTACGCTGATCTTGACTGAGGGTGACAGTGCTAAAACGTCTTGTCTCGCGGGGCTGTCCGTTGTGGGGCGAGAAAAGTACGGCGTGTTTCCTCTGAGGGTGAGTGGATGTGGGTTTTGTGCAATGTGAAGGTGCATTCCATTTTGGGCCTGCTTCAGCAATACTCTGCACGCACCGCCTGTTCAGTAGAAGCGATGACAGAAACGGTTTTCATGCAAAAGCTCCATCGATTGGCTGCACGAGATGGTTGGATGGATCCCTTCATTGTGTCCAGTGATTGCACAGTGCCTTCATTTTCCTTGGTGTTTGGAATAGTTTGAGCTTGTGTAACTTTGTTGGGTGTGCTGTGTGGTACCAGGGGAAGCTGCTGAACGTGCGAGAAGCATCTTTCAAGCAGTTAAAAGAAAACCGCGAAATCCAAAATATCCTGAGGATCCTCGGTCTTCAGATTAACGACAAAGTGCAAGACACACGGGGTCTGCGCTACGGCTCGCTGATGATAATGACGGATCAAGTGCGTATTTTGCTGCATCGTGTGCCCGACGAAACGCTCTCATTGATTGTTTCACTTCGTGTGAGTTAACCGCTATTGGCTAGAGCGTGCCAACTTGTTCTGCTTGCAGGACTATGACGGTTCGCATATAAAGGGGCTGCTCATTAACATGCTGCACCATTACTGGCCTCAGTTGCTGCAGTGCAACCATTTCCTCACGGAGTTTGTCACTCCGATCGTCAAGGTACGCTCGCTGACGCCAACTTGATGGCTGGAAGTGCAAATCTATAAAATGCTTGTTGCGTTAATTGTCTTCCGTCGTATGTAGGTTTCGAAAGGCTCCGTTGAAAAGGCATTCTTCACTCTTGTCGAATATGACATGTGGAGGAAGCAAGCGGGAAACCTTGCGGGATGGAAGATAAAGTACTACAAAGTCAGTACTGCTCAACTCCGAAGTACAGTACAGAGCAGGCAACTCAGTCTACCGTACAGGCGTCAAGTAGTCCGCGAATACGTGCCGCAGTCTGCTGCTCATGACTCGTTGAATTGTTGCAGGGTTTGGGTACCTCGACAGATAGAGAGTTCAAGGATTATTTTCAAGCTCTGGATAAACACCGAATCAAATTCCGATGGACAGGCAAGCAGATCCATGCAAGGATGATGCGCTTGTAGTTCCGTTGCACCCTTTGTATGTGTGGTTTGTGTCTGCGTCAGAGTGTGAATTGTGAACCTACCATGTTATGAGCTCATGAATTCACTCTGAATGCGTTTTTTTGCCCCAGGCAGTGGAGATGGGGAGCTAATTGATATGGCATTCAGCAAGAAGCGGGCTGAGGACAGAAAGCGTTGGCTGCAAGGTTACAGAGAAGGAACGTTCGTCGACCATTCTCTTCGAGAATTGACGTTTTCTGATTTTGTGAATAAGGAATTGGTCCAATTTTCACGATACGACAATGAACGCTCGATCCCGCAGCTTGTGGACGGGTGGAAAGTAGGCCAGCGCAAGGTGCTGTTTGCTGTCTTCAAGAAAAACACAAAAGCCGAGATGAAAGTGGCACAGCTGTCTGGATACGTGGCGGAGCAGAGCGCCTACCACCATGGAGAGCAGTCTTTGCAGCAAACCATCATTACCATGGCACAGCGGTTTGTAGGCAGCAACAACCTTAACTTCCTTGAGCCTGTAGGACAGTTTGGCTCTCGGAAAGAAGGAGGAAAAGATGCATCCGCCCCCCGTTACATCTTTACCAAGCTTGCGCCCTACACCCGGCTTGTCTTTCCTGAGGCCGATGATCCATTGCTCGAATACCTGTACGAAGAGGGACAAAAAATTGAACCCAAGTACTATGTACCCGTCATCCCAACTATACTTGTCAACGGCAGTGAAGGCATTGGAACGGGATGGTCTTCCTTTATTCCAAACTTCAATCCTAGAGACATCATTTCGAACTTAAAACGGTCAGTCTACCTTACGTACACAAAGCACGGATTCAACCCCCTGATAATGCAACGTCTGTCACCTGTGCAATAACAAGCAGTTGAACGGGCTGTTGCTGCTTCACATGCTTGCATGTGCGGGTTCCAGGTTTATTGCCGGAGAGGAAATGGTTCGAATGAAGCCCTGGTACCGGGGCTTTAAAGGCCTCATTGAGGAAAATGCAACAAAGACCGCATTTGAGACCATAGGCCTTATTGAGAAAACCGGGGAAGATGTTGTAGAGATAAGTGAGCTTCCGATCAAGCGATGGACACAGGTGAGCATTACAAAAATAGTCCTGCAGCGTATTATTGGCGGCTTGTGCGGATAGAGATCACCAGCGACATCAGGCTTAAGTGTAAATGCTCTTCTGTGTAACTGGAAGCATGTGTAAGACTTGCAACGAAGGTAGTTATGTATTAAGGGCATTGTTGCAGGATTACAAGGAGTGGCTGGAAGAGCAGCTTCCAACCCCCGACAAGAAAGACCCGTGGATATCTGATTTCAGAGACAGCAGCAGCCACGAAGACATCAAATTTGTCATTAAGCTTTCAGCAGGTATCCTAAGCAACTAGGTTCAGGGCCCACTTCCCCACGGGCAGATTAATTTATGCATTTAACGCAGCGGAACGCTTGTTCATCTAGTGGACGTTCTGCCAACGTCACTCTTTAGTCATTTAATATTTCTGCACTATTTTGAGGTACAACAGGCTGTCTTCAGTTCAAGAAATTTGCTGCACTGAGGGAGTTGCCCTTGATGGTGTTGTACATATGGTTACGTGTGTGGTGTATTGCTACCTATCAGAAAAGCTTGAAGGATCTGATAATGAAGCTTTGGTAAAACTCTTCCGTCTCAAGTCTTCTTTAAGCACGCAAAACTATCACCTTTTCAACGCTGAGGGGAAGGTCCAGAAGTACTCTGATGAGCTGGAGATAATGAAGGACTTTGCTGCCATTCGTCTGACCTTCTACGAAGTCAGTCAGCTTTATTTGTTGCAGTCTTAAGGCGTCTTTCTGGAATGTATAGAACGAGTTTGTCCATGTGGAAGAAGGCAAAATGTCACTTTTCTCCCTTGATATAGTGGATGGTTGCGGTTTTCCCATCTGAAGTTTAAACCTGGCACTCTACGTGCCGTTGAATGTACTATCACCTGACAGTTTAAGTAGATTCGAATATGTGAGATCTAGGATGGCATGAATTTACTGATATTCCGCTACACAAGGGATACGGTGTGGGAGGGTGACTGGCGCCTTTTGCTGATGTTGATTGTGAGCAGCAAAGTCTTAGTTGGAGAACCAAATATGCTTTTGATTCACCATTGTGTTTTGTCCATGTCGCAGAAACGTAAAGCATACCTCATTGCCGTGTCGGAGAAGGAAAAGTCCATTCTGCACAACAGAGTCCGCTTCATCACATCTGTCCTATCGGGGGAGTTGGTCGTGAGCAACAAACGTCGCCAAATCTTGATAGAAGAACTATTTGCCAAGGTAGGCACCAATGTTGCAGCTGTGGGTGAGAACAGTTGTCACATTCTTCGTCCTCAATTCGTGGCTTTAACTCTGTTCACTCTGTTCCCTCACGAACACTCAGGGGAGACATAGGATTACATTCATTCCTATAATCCAGCCAGTCTTTGAATCCCTTTGAAGGGGCACCAAGATAGTATGCGTCTTTAGCTGTAAACCTGCGGCGGTGTCTTAGGGGTATGACCCGATGCGCGAGCTGGAGAAGAAGTGCGCAAGCCTCATTGAGAGCATCCTGAATCGCCAGACTCCTCAAGAGCATGGTTTATCTGTGAGTTGCTTTGAAGCATTCCTTCTCAGCATCGCTGATTGCAAAGTCAGCTCCATATTTCCGAAATGTCTAACGTGGGTGGTTACCACCTCCTTCTATATCCGCTGTTAGGACAAAGAAAGCGCCGATGAAGAACCGCCTTCAGCCTGTGGATGTGTCGGGTCGGACTTTGACTACCTCGTCGGAATGCCAATGTGGAGTTTAACAGCTGAAAGGGTAAAGCCTCATGAAATGCGTTGCACAGTATTTTCAACACATGTGCCTCCAGTGGGAAAGTAATAGGGCAATTTCCCTACCGCAAAATTGCCGAAAGGATGCAGTGGTGGCGCAGGGTTCGGATTGCTTTTGGTTAATTGTATAAACCTAGCGCAGATATCCTCCTAGTTTCGTTGTGCTTCTAGTTTGGGGTATAGATAGGCTTTGCCTTGTTTAGGTACTTTGCTGCAAAATAGAAGCATGTTGCAATCGATGGCCATGGAGGAAAATGTGTGGGATGCCCACATATTCTTACTTTGTTGGCTTTCTTGCTGGCCGTAGGTGGAAGATTTGAAACGACAACTGCGAGATAAGGAAGTGGAATTGGAGTGTCTAAGGCAAACGGACATTCGGACTCTGTGGCTTAAGGATTTGGATGCTCTTTTAGAGGCCATCGAGAAGCAGGTGATATATCCCAGGAAATATGCCCCTACCTGCCTGTGACAACTATCAAAGGGGCTATATGCAGCAAAACGGGCAAGCCGTATTTGGCTGTGCTCCGCAAGGCCACGGTAGCTCGCCTGTCCGTATTTTAGTGCTGATGTTTCGTCCTTTGTGCTTGCCGGTTCTAGGATGCGGCTGACATGAAGCAGCGAGAAGCAGACTTGGCGTTCCACAGGCAAATGGAAAGCAAGAAGGGTCTTAAGGGCTTCTCAGCTCTTAAGGGAAAGCCCAAAGCCGCCAAGGGAGGAGCCCCCAAAGCAGCGCCTAAAGTCGGGAGTGCCAAATCGACATCTAAGGCTCGCAAGAAGGTATTGTGACGTGAATTCTTTCGATTCTTGAATCGGTGTTGCGTCACGAATAGAGGCGAAGATTTTCTGTATGTCCAATTGAGTATTCTTGTGGAACTGTGTTTTTGGCACTAGTGCGTTGGTCTGGGAATGCACAGGTACGGTCAAGCTCAGAAGAGTCCGTAAGCTCGTCAGAGGATACTGGCGAATCCACAGATGAATTGAGCCTTGCGGACGACTCATCCGAGGAGGATCGGTCCCCAAGGAAGCGTCCAAGACCTGCACAGAAGAAAACAAACGGAGTGAAGCCTCAGGAGGAACCGCTAACCACAGCTCATCCCACCTCGAACAGCACAGTCACACAAGGGTTGCCGCCCCTACTTGCCTCACAGGAAACTCCCAAGTTATCAGCGGACAAGGGAGAAAAACCGGAAGAGTCTCCACAGGCACCACCTCCTATCCAGTCGCTTTCCCTTCTCGACCGTCTGCGGCTGGGAGGAAGCAGTTCATTCTCCTCCTTAGCCCCCGTCCGCACTAAACAGCTGACCCTGGACGAGATATTCGGTCCCTCCAGCAGCACCACGGCTAAGCCCTCTGAAGTGGCAACGCCAGCACAAGCTGCAGTGCCAACGCCAGCACAGGATGTAGTGCCAACGACCGCAGCGGGTGATTCAGCAGATCCCTCCAGAGACTCTTGTGGGGAGTCTGCAATCATGAGAACTCCCCCCAAACCCAAACGGCGGAGAGTGTTGGTGGACTCAGATGACGACTCAGTCCCCAGATCTGCCAACAGATCGAAAGCCTCCACCCCCAGAAGGTCAGCTCCGTCGACGCCACAGAAGCCAAAACCTCGTGGGACTCCCAAAAAGCACAAGGGTGAAACCGACGATGACGAATCAGACTCACCTAAAGGCGGAGGTAAGACCAGTTACCTGTCAAATCATTGTCTCCCACATGTTAACGCTGAAGGAGAGTTTTGGTGCAGGCTTAGTCACTTGTACGTGTCAATACTGCGTAGCAAAGGGTGCTGTAGGAAAAGTCTAAATCGTAATTACGGGGGCACCGCCAGGCGTAGTTCGGTTTAGACCACTGTTGTGGTGCATTGGGGCCAGCGCCGCAACACTTAGCTCTCCAAGATACTTCTGATGTGCCGTGTGTCTCAAAATTCAGATTTAGGTATAGAGGAATCCCCTATTGCCTCGAATAGGCCCCGCCGAGCAGCAGCGCAGGCGCCCAAGAAGTACACCATGGACTCTTCAGAGTCGAGTGAGGGGGAAAGCGAAGCTTCTGAAGCGGCTTCTGAAGAGTCTTCAGAAGCGGAAGTCATCTCCGAAGACGACGACTAGTTTAAGAAAAAGCCTCGAGAGTTCCCTCGAGCCTTACTTACGTTCATATTTGTCACTTCTCCGTTTTCTAAGAGGGCGGGCGTTATTGTTCCCGACTATGTATTTGTCACGGGGCACCTGGGTATGAAACCCACTAGTAGAAGCGCTAAAGTGCATGCCCTCTGTAACATGCTTGCTCGTATGCTTCTAATTACGTAATAAAAGCCTCCTCTGAGCTGTTAGTATACATGTCTGTGCCTGGTGTGGCGTGGCCAACCAGAGGGGATGTATTAGCTAGAAAGGAAGTTGAGATTTTGACAACGAAAAAACACCGGAAGAGCTTATTTTATTCTACATAAGCATTGAAAAGATAGATACAAGTTACATTACAGTTCACAAACAAAAACTATACAGTGTCTTGCGTCGAGCGGAAAACGTGTTGGCGATTTCTCCAGAATACCTGAGAACTTCCGAACACAGACAGACGCCTAGCGCGTGAGCTCATCTCTGCAGAAGGTTTCTTCCGCATGAATTTGAACGAGGGCAGTTATAAAGCTGTTCCTAACGCACCTCTCCATATGAGGCGTATATTTCTGACCCTTTCAACACCTCCTTTGTAGCTCGTAGGAGAACGCGTCTGGGCACAATCAGCACAATCAGACACAAGCGGTAAGTTAAATGTACTGCCGTTGGCAGCTTCCGCCGGTTGCGAAGGTGCCCGTGGGGGAATCTATATTTCCGGCATGCAGCACACCTCTGTTGCCTTATTTTAACGAATTCAGCGTTGATGGCGCGTCTGTCATAGTTGTCATTGGCATATCTTGCGAATACCTGATTTGAAAAAAAAAAAAGCAGCAGACGATCAGGCGTTTATTTTGAGGTCTATTTGGGGGCTGCTTTAGCCAGAACCTTCCAGGAACACTTCCGGAGTTTTCGCTGGATCTCCCCGTCTAAATTTGGAAGAAAGTTGAAGCTCGCCTGTGGGTGGTTGGTGGCGTCTATGTGGCAGTTTATGTGCCCTGTGCCCATCACGTATTGTCGGTCTTCCATGCGCAGGATTTCTCTGAGGACATAAGAGCCTTTAAATGTTTCGCCCGTGAAACTTTTCCTACACATTGAAACATTCCCCCCCCTGTTCTACGGAAAACTGCCAGGAAATTCGACGGGCAGCTCTATGTCAACAAGCAGGGTGTTCCCTAACGGCCATCACCCAAGGCCGTTGGAATACCGGTCTAACAATTCATTATTCAAGTCGCACATCAGGCTTTTCTTGTCGCCGATGTATTCGCATATCCAAGTTCCCGGCCTTATGTCTGTGGGTGCGACAACGGACAACCCGAAACGTATCTTGCACGTTGCGAGGTGGCTGAGCATATTAATTGGCATATGTGTCCGTCGTCATAGTCAAGTGTGCGTTTTTAGGCAAAGTGGAGGCCCAAATAGCAGCTAACGTCTCAATTGTGTCCAATGACTGCTAGCTAGCTGCGCTCTCACCTGCTCCTGCAAACAGTCCCAAACCAGCACCTGGAATAAGTGAAATGTCGGTGAAAAGAGCCCCGGGGGCAAGAAAAGACCCATCAGGAGCCCTTGGTAAATTTGGCAAAGGGTTATTCGCAGTTGGTATCATTGCAAATCGGAAGATAGGGCGTCAACCCTTGGATCGGCTCCGCTGTACCGGCCCCCCACCCATCAGTCCGGAGACAACACAGAACTATGTCAATCAGATGTTGGCATCAAAATCTAGAAGCAACGTTTACTTGTGGTAGTTCAGAAGACAGAAAACAATTTTAGGTGCCTGGGAAGTTCCAAGGACTTCGTCACTTTTCAAGCTGTGCACGCCAGCCGCCTGCAGAAACGTGTGCGCAACTCCTCCCACCGCCTTGAAGCATTAAAGAGAGCAGAAACTCTTCTCCCCAGTTAGTTATTCACATTTCAAGAACAAAAGCCTCGTAGATGCGTGTTTTTAGCTGCAGGAAGGAAGCATTGGCGCGGTGGAGGGCAGACACGGCCCGGGACCCTGGCACAGCAGAGCGAGAGAGTCATCCCTTGTACTTACTTCAGAAACTGTTATTGTGGGTTTACACAAAAATATTTAATTTTATGCCTTTTCATAAAAGGCCGATGCATTGGTCAACCAATGGAGACGCATTTATAACTGGTCAGCTGCACTTTGCCAACCTGTACCCGGCCAATACATCTGCATTCCTGTCAAACTTCCAACACATTACATTCACAGAACGACAGTGTATGGATAGGCTATTGTACATGAATAAAGTGCTTATATGTATATATATATGCTTCAGCGAGTAGCATGACTGACCTTCCTTGCTTTGGTCGTTTCTGTTTTTGAGTGTCGCGTCAATTCCGAATAGCGTTGCACAGTGGCTTTGATCTTACTCGAGCGAATGTCTGAGCTGCAACAGAGTCACCAAAATCAGTACTTGCCTTGAAAATACTCTTAACGCCCCCCGGGACTTCAGGCATCTCATGCGCAATGACACAGTGTCGTGGGTCTGACGCGGAGAGGGAATGGGCCATTACATGCAGCGAACCTCCCTATAGCTGCTGCTGCAAGGCGAATACACATGCAAGCATTCCCCAATTTCATTCTTCTGCTGTTGATCCTGGTTACAGGTGTATGCAGTGTTAGCTCCTGTATCCGATACGCCACTATGCGACGTTTGCTTGATGGCTGATCCGCGCAGTGGCGTCGGGGCTTGTTATTTGAGGCCCTCTGTTCCCTGCGCCTGGTCCGAAAGCCGCTTCTAAATGTAGGCCCCCTAAACACTACAAAGACAACAAAGCATCAATTCTGGAGCGCGGCGTTGGGAACGGATAGAGAAAAGAGGGGGCTATCCACGAAAAATGATAAATTCTATTGTCACTTGAAACAATTATGCAGCCAGGGGCAGACAGGGAGGTGTGGCCCGCAGCATGGATCGAAGTAAGATAATGCATTCCTACTCAGGGTTGTTTGCTGACGGCCAGTAGCGACAGAATAGTTACTCAACAAAGGGGGCTTGGCTATGCTAGTATGCTAAGTTGCCCTGCAGCGTTTGTTGTAACGAGCCAGCCTGCAGTTACTTACACGGTGACACGTATGCAGCAGCGGGAGGACCTCAGTGCCGGCGGCACCATGAGAGGTGAGCTGCATTTGCGGAACGATCCTCTGAAGCATTTTCATCTATTGCAGCTCATGAGGCACCTAAGCTATCACAGCGGAGCCTTCGTACAAATAGAGACTTGTTGCATGCAACGCGGGTCTCGTATGAGGATTATGGTGAGCTTTATATAGTACGTAGGACGACTTTTAACAAAAGGCACATGGCATGCCCCTCCAATGTCCAGGCGTTCTCAGCTCAGTTCACCAGGAGCCTGGAGCGGCTGGAGAGCAAGGAGCCTGTCGTTAAGTTGCACAGCATCTTGGTCGGTGTAAAATTCACACAAAAATACACCCACAATTGGCTGTGTGCATATGCATTGTAGACGGCTCTTAAGAACTTCTAATTGCGTCCCATTTGCCCACTAGGGCCAGATACAGGGTAATGCGCCCACTTCACACACCTTTGTCAGCACCTCACAGACTCTGGGACACTGCAGTTCATGCCGCAAGGCAAACCCAGCTTCAAGCATAACCAAATTCCATTTTCTGCATAAAAAAACACCTTAGGATGTTGTACAATAAATTACTATTTCTTAGTATCAGTCCTGTTCGCCAGAAGTGTTTGTACCACCGACTGGAGACAAAACATGCACCAGCATGCTACATCAGGAAACTCCTCACTCTCGCCTGCACAGAATATACAATGATGCTGTAATAGAACAAGAGTCTTAATGTTAGATTTGAAAACACAATCGCATACATCGTGGGTTAATAACGGGGCAAAAGTAACGGTGCATGCATTGAGCATGCACATGCAGAAACTCGGAGCTGTGGCCACGGCCGCTGCAATGCCTGCGGGGTCCTGGGGTCCTGGGTAGGGGAGCCCCGCAAGTTCTAGTGCCTAATATTGACAGATAAGGTGAATAATGGCGACGAGAGGGTTTTGAGTATTATATTTCCCTGTCGTGCGTCATAATGCAAATTTTCGTGCAATCATATGCGGGGGAATCTCTCCCCGTCGAGGTGTCGGCCACCTCGACGGTGCTCGAGCTCAAGCAGCACTTGGAGGCACGCTTAGGTAAGATACGGCCGTGATTCCTTGACTTCCTGTTTGTTGTGTCAGTTTTCTACTCGCATATTACATTACCTAGAACTAGACTGATGGGGATGAAGACTCTGCAACGCCGTCAGGAAGTTGGCTCCAATCTTGTGGGGGGCAAGGACGTTTCCTTCAGCTGCAGTGCCAAGTTGTTTTCCTAGCGTACTTTATGACGTTTTGTGGACATCCGGAAATTGATGCAAGATTTTTATCTATTCTTTTGCTTAAAACGGTCCCTCCAGGACACTGGGAACTCATACCAGCTTCATTGTGTTAAGGAAGCCTTCATTCACAGCGATACATGCAGATGCAGAGCCAACGAATTGAGCAGAACCTTTCTTACTTTTAAGTGTTGCACGTGTTTTTATATTAATTGCTGGTCAACCCCCACAATTACATTCATCTCAATATATGTGCATGATTCTCTTCAGTGTTGGTCCATTTGATGTTTATATGGATGTGGGTTGTGCTATTGCCGCAGGTGTTGCTGCTTCTGTGCAGCGTCTTTTCTTTGGCGTTTCTGCCATCGATGATGCCGTGACTTTGGAAGAGGCGGGTGTCGAAGAGGTAGGAAGATTACAGCTCGATCCCCTATATATGCTGCACAGTCTGGCTCCAGTGGGTTTATTGTAGGTGGTCGAGCGTACTTTTCGATTTGACACGATGTTGGCAGTGCCTTCTATGATGACACCTCAGATAGGGACATCTGACAATGAGGAGTCATTTTTTTTCGCTAGCTTGTCTGACAGAAGGACATTGCCGTGGTGCTTCCCTGCCCCTTGTGTGTGTTAATTGTGAACGATTTGTTTTAAATGTTGTTGTGGAAGGTGCGCGTTATGTGCGGCCCCGGCAGTGCCATTTGTTGATGACATTTCAGATAGGGACATCTGACAATGAGGAGATGTACTTTTTATTTCGCTAATTTGTCTGAAAAAGGTCACTTGCGGGGGCGCACTAATGCGTATGTTCGTTTATTGTGGGGTGTAAGCATTGTGTGCCACTGACTGTCCCGGACGGGCTGGTGGTGTCTTTTGTGCTCTGTATATCTTTCATCCCCTCAAGTTGTCTTGTTTATTGTTTCCGTCATAGTGACATATAGCTTAATGGGAACCAGTAAAATGACATGTGCAGCTGTACCATGTGGACTTACGTGTAGGAGTCGACTGTCTTCCAAAGCCTAGAGCTGCTTGGTGCTGGCAAGAAGCGCAAGAGAAAGACCTACACCAAGCCGAAGAAACAAAAACACAAGAACAAAAAGGTGAAGCTTGCTGTGTTGAAATTCTACAAAGTCGATGAGAACAACAACGTCACAAGGTTGCGCAAGGAATGCCCATCGAAGACCTGCGGCAGTGGCGTCTTCATGGCCCAGCACGAAAACCGCAACTACTGCGGCCGCTGCGGCATTACTTACATTCTGCAGTCGGGGAATAACTAGTAAACTTATGCTTGGAGTGCAAGCTGTCAGTGTACAAGAATGCTAGAACTTGCCGAAATGGCTTCAACACGGAGCATCGACCCATAAGAATTTTTTATGGGTTTGGCACCTGCCCTGAAATGCAACACTCCATTATGTAATTTATACTGAATACGTCCGCGCAACCAATGTTGCATCCTATCCACATTAGAATTCAGTAGCGCCAGTGATGTCAGCCAGATCTTGTACAGTGCGACGGTAGCTGAATCTGGAGCTAACCCACAACAAAATCTGGGGGAGAACGTGGGGAGACGTAACAGTAATCACCCAGCAGGAGGACTTTGACTGTAAAGCAGCGACGGCGTGTGCCGCCGGTAGCCTTTGCAGGAGGCGGGAGAACAACTGCAGAGAGCAGGAAGTAGTAGTTTCACAGTTTTGCGTTCTCAACGGGGACGTAGGTTTTTAATGAAAATTTCAGTTGATGAGCAATACAGAAAACCGGGCTTGCGTGGCTGCAGGCTGTGCAGCTCCGGGGGCCCACGTGGGACCGCCATGTCTGCTAGGATACTGCTGTGCCACGGGCTACTTAGCTGAGCTACTGTCCCCTCTTAACTTAAATATATATTTTAAATAGGTGAAATGATGATGCCTAGTTTACAGTCATGGGGTTTAACCCCAGCTTCCCGCCTGTCGCCTGCGCTGCGGCAGTCGATACAAACCCGGTGGGCAACGGCTACGGGTTATTGTTCTTTCTTCTTGAGGACGGGATCTTCATTGTTAAATAAGGATTCCACATCCACAGCCATATTTTGTGCAAGCTCACCCCAGCAGATGAGATTTACTACTGCATGTCTAGAAACGCGCGGGGCCGCCGAAAGCTCCAGTACATCTAGCAGAAGGGCCCCTCCAAATGCTACGACCCTGGTGAAGCAGCTGAGGGAGCGCACAGCCGTCAGCATCGGGATGTGTAAGCGGGCCCTTGAGGAGTCAAACTGGGTAGGTTTTTCCTCATCCGTTTCGTGGTGCAGCCGCACAACTAGTGGGATGAGTGTATGCGTGCTCACGGTCGACACCCCAATGCACTTCCACGAGCATTTTTCTAAAGCTCATGTGAGAAGCGGGTACTTGCCCTTCCGTTGTGCAGGATGAGGAAGAAGCCGTAGTGTATCTACGCAAAGCAGGGGTCGCACGAGCCAGTCTAGCTGCTAACCGCGATGCTGCTGCAGGCGTCGTTGCTGTGTATAGATCCACTGACGGAACTCAATGCACTGCAGTCGTATTAAGTTGCGAAACAGATTTCGTGCAAAAAAATCCGAAATTTGTTGCCTTCTCTCAAGCTCTTGCGGAGCATTGCTACGCAACTCTGCGGTCTAGTGACACGGGCTTGTCGGATGCCCTCGGAAGTCTCCTCGTTAACCAACTGAAGAGCTCTAGGGCTTCGCCTACTCTTTCGTCATGCGTACAAAGTGGGTCTACAGCTTCAGCTGACTCCGTCAGTGAACTGCTTGCGGATTTGACGACGCAGTTCGGGGAAACCGTCGAAGTTAAGGCGGTGGTGTCTCTAGACAGCAACGCATCGTCGTGTATTGGTGTATACGTGCACAACGAAACAACACCAGGTGCGGGAGTTGGGAGCGCAGCTGCTGTAGTGGAGCTTTCCTGGGTTCCTTCCAACGGTCCAGCAACAGCATCGGCAACTCTGCGTGGGCGCTTGTCCAAATTTGCAAGGCTAATTGCCATGCAGGTCCTTGCGACTTCTCCGAAGTTTGTTGATCTTCACTCCATTCCAAGCTCTGTTGTAGAAAAAGAGCGAGCGATTGCCGAAGCTGCAGCAGCAACTAGAACTAAAGGCGCTCCTGCGCCGCCGCCCTCATCTGCCGCCGAGACAAAGGGAACGCCTTTCTCCAAGATTGCTGAGCAGCGTCTCCAGCGGTCGCTGGAGGAGCAGTGCCTTCTTTCTCAAGAATTCTTTATGGTCAAGCAGCTCCACGAGGACGTTCTACGAGATACCCAAGCGGAGGCAGCAACGGATGGCAGAGGCGGCAGTTGCACTAGCACAGCACGCAACCAACAACAGAGGCAGCTCACCGTTGCCGATGCACTCCAGTTTGTAGGGCAAACGCTGGGCTGCAGCCTGACAGTGTCTCGCATGCGTCTGATTAGTTTGGGGAGCCAGTGACACGACTAAAAACGAAAAGAGAAACGCAGAGAAACCGAGGTGATCTCGAGTACATAGTTTTTTGTGTTCCGCCAACATGCCGGCTTTTACATCTCACTACAAGTTTACATTGCTCCCCTGTCTAACTGAAGCAGTAGAGGGACTGGTATGTGTTTTGAGAGAATGCGGTGAAGGGGAAGACTACCACCCACGGAGTCCCGATAGCGCGTGGCCTGTTGTGCCAATGAACAGCTAATACCTGCAGAGGCACAAAGAAGCCAGTAGAGATATGTTTCCCATTTTTTATGCTTTTGCACTGATGATAAGGGCTGAGGAGCATGCAAATGCATATTCGTTTGCCCCTGGTGACTCAGTTGGCCCCCTGGCCAACTGAGTCACCAGTGTACTGGCGATTTTGCGCGGGAAGGCGGCAGATGCCTTCTGGTTTGACGGTGCAGAAGTGTCAACGTCTAGACAAAGGCACTGCAGAAAACTGCTGCTGCGCTGCACTAGGCTGTCCGCAAGCCAGATGTGTGCTTGTTGCTGGGGACTGTTTAGGCGTTTACACGATTCATTTCCTTCCCTTTCCCTACACGTAGCCGATTTGTGCCCATGCGAATTCGCTTCTCACTGCCTCATCTATGAAGGCGGCCGCTTCAATCCCTCAGGAGCCATCCACACGGTCCGCTAATCCCTTTCTAGGGTACCGGGCACCCGTAGGGGTGCGCTGCTTGCGGGAAATGGGAGCGCAGAGGAAGTCTGCTCTGCCTTCAGCTTCTTCAGGTATTTCAGCGTGCGAGCGGAGGGTCAAGTGAGTTTCCAGCAATCGTTTGCAGTGTTAGTGCGTGGATCAACGGGGGGCTCAACATACACAGCTGCTCGTCGGTTTGTCTTGTAGCAGCAGTTGCTACAACGCATGATGCATGCTAGCTCCTCTTCCCACCAGTTATATGCCCTCAAACCCTTGTTCGCAGTGCGCCTGGAATTTGAGGGAATTTCAAATGCGCCTGGGGGGTTCTTGCAATAAATCTCCTTTTTTAGTACGCTGTATGATTCTAGCATGAACTGTTGTATTATTACATATGATAGTGTAGATCTGTGTTCCAAAGAGTGTCAAGCGAAGGCAGCACATTGCAACTGATAACCATTACGAGTAGCTCAAGGCAGTGGTTAGCTGCGGAACAGTTATATGGTCCGTTACACAGAATTTCAGTTCGTATGTGTGCGATCTGTTTTGACTTTGCCCGCTCTCTACCAACATCAGTACACTTCTCTTTTAATGGAGAAACTGGACGGCCACAAAGGCTCCCCTTAACAGCTCGCACGAGTACTTCTCCGGTTCACGGTTTTGCAAGCTTTTACTTTTTTCGTTCAGCGGCTCCAACCGGAACAAATATACTCTATTGGGTTTCTAAAAGCTAACATGCCTGTGCGTTTCGGTTTGGGGTATACGTTACATGATTGCTTCCATCGGTGTCTTTAGCAGTAACAAAGTCTAGGGTTTAAAGTTTAAAAAAGAGGTAGCGGAGGGTGCAGCGGATTCGCTGTCTATCTGTAGGGGAACGAAGACCTCGTGGTCACTTGAGGAAGAGCTGCCCCCGGCAAACCTGGAGAGGACCTCATCAGGATCGGTTTCCAGCAGGGAAATACAATCATCTCCAAAGTAATTATAGAAGCTACGGGGTTTTCGAATGGCTCCCGAGGGATATGCGCTGTTAAGCTGAGGTGTAAGACCACCGCCAGAGCTTGATTCAGGCGCGCCTGCCGCTTCCGCAGAAACTGCGTCATCTTCGGAGAAATCGATCATCTGCTGCTCGACTTCGTCTGTCAGTCTGTTCACGCCCTCATATTCGTCTTCTCCTCCCATCTGCAGCTGCACCTCTGGTGCAGCCTGCTGCATTTATACACGCAACAATCGCTACACACACGAGTAGACGTAGTCCAAGCACTGTATGGAGTTACTGGCAACGACAAAGATCAGCACAATACAGCACTGGCTAACGCAGCAGACGGACATACCCAAAGAAACACACGCAACAGTCGCCTACAGGGGGACACAGAGCCGATGTATGCAGCATGCCTCCGCCTATTAAAGCTGTGTCCGTGCAGGCATGCATGCTTACGTCCATGGGGTCTTCGTCTGTTGCGCTCGGGAGAGAAGAATTGGGTTTATGGGCGGCCTTTCGCTGGGCAGTGCGCTGCTGTTGGTACCGTTGCCACTCTTCTAGCGAGGGCGCACGTTGTTGTGGACGCAGTTGAAATCTGAGGTAGCTGTGCAGCCGGAGCAGCTGCATTAGTGGGGACACAACTGACGGTGCATGGGATGCAGCAGCCTCTGCAAGTTCCTGTTCTGTTGGCTTTCTACCTCCATGCTCGATTTGGAACTGCACCTCAGGTGTACTTGTTCGTTTGGCTATTGTGCTGAGAATTCTTCGACGTAGAGGGAGGAAACTGTAGAGAAGACCCTTCGCCTGCTCTGGCAGGTCTGATTCCTCAATACGCTTGGTGAGGGCTTCGTCAGACTCGGCCACGTTCTTTGATGCAAAATACTTAAACGCCTGGAGCATTAAAAACACAATACACAACACATAACACACACAGGAGCTGCTGCCAGCCCCGCATCTTCGCTGCACTCAGTGCTGCACTGCATGTGTTTGAACGGCGACCGCGCTACGCAGGTGATATGTCGACGGAATTTCATAGTTTGTTTCTCTAAGAAACATTCACATGACAAACCGATCAATGGACAAAACAATTGATGGAAACACAGCCACAGACACAAAGAGAAAGCGCAAACACACACATGCAACTTTGTAGCCGCCTGGTATCATAAATACCCAGTAGACACCTCCATTGCCTTCGGCCTCCTTGCAGGCCACTGCTCGATTTAATCTTGATGCTATGTAACAAGACGTATGACTTGAGAATCAGAGAAACAGGAAAACAACACACACAAAGGAAAAACAGCGCTTGTCACCTTGCAGAAGGCTTCAGGACGCAGTAACTGCAACATCCAGCGCAGGGCATTTACATAGCGCCGCACAAAGGGAACCTTTAGCCGTTGGCGGCCTTCCGGCGTAGACAACCAATCTGAAAGAAACAACGGAACAGCAATCACAGGGGCGAGCACATGGGAAACAGACAACGATCAAACTGACAGAAAAGTCTGGCAAACACGTGGCAGAGTAAGAAATCCATGACAAACACGAACAAACTTGAAGTCTTCAACTCTCTTTACACCGGAAACAGAAATGGCAAACGCGCAGCTCGTGAGGGGTCTGAGTCCTCAAGCAGAGGCAATAATGCATGCATGCACTAGCGGTTGGGCGCCTATGCATGGCACGGACTCGTGAGGTCTTCGTAAGGTTCTCCGCGTATGTCAAATATTTCCCGGCGCTCGTATTCTACCGAACTCTTTCGGTACTCTACTGCTCTTATTCGCAGTAGTTGGCGATAGAAAAAAGGCCCCAACATCTGGCACAATCGAACCTCCCGATACACCCAGTCGCCTCGGCCCCACCACAACGGCTTCACAGGGATGCGCTGCAGCATCTGCTGCAGCGCCTGCAGTCGCCGCTGCGGCGGTAAGCTGCCCAGTTTGGGGACCCTTCTGCTGTCCTTGCTGCCACCAATGTTCATGCTGATGCTGCTGCTGCTTCTGCTACGATCTAGGGGAGCCAGAGGATTGGCGTGGCTTTGTTGCTGCTTCAACTGGTTGTCTTCGGCTGCTCCCTCCGCCCCTGTTTTCGTTTCTCCCTGTTGCTGCTGTTGCTGCTTCTGCCTGTCACGCAGGGCCCGTTCTCTGGCGAGTTCTTCGTTGTGTCTTAGGGTGTGCTGCATCAGCTGGTAGTGCTCCTCCTGCTGGTGCACGAGCTGCCGCTGCTCAAACATCTTGAGGTGAGGCGCGAGAGGCCCCGCAGGCATATCATGGAGCAGCAAATGAGCAACTTCAAGGGGAATGGCAGGGAAGATGGATGTCCAGACAAGTGAGAATTTGCTGCTAAACTCCAAACCCTCATCGCCGCCCCCCGCTGCACCCACAGACCGCCCAGGGGCCCTCCTCCGGCGATCCTCGCATTCTTCAAAGACAGAGAAGTAAACGCGCAGCTGATCTCTTATCCCCCAGTCTGAAGAGTGCACAGCACATAAACACTACAAGCTGCATCAGAGGCTAGCAGCAGGAGCGCCATTCCATCTACCACCCCGGCAGCAGCAGCCAGAACAGCGGGCAACCGCATTAACAGCAACAGCGTTGGAAACAGGCAAGGAATCCGGGGCAAAACAGCAGGAAGCCTTGCAGCATCAGCCCCTGTAGCTGCAGTAGAGGTAGCTGTATCTGCAGCATCGAGAGCAGAAGCTCCTACTCGCGCTGCACTTGTCTGCCAGGTGCATGGAGGAACTCTTACTCTTGCGAGTTCGTTTATACGTGAGGAGTTCTTTGACGGGCAGCAGCACCCAACCCCCGATGGCGTCCCGTTGAGGGGCGTGCAAGTAGCTGTATAGCTGCTCGTGATATGTATGCAGGTGGGGGTGCTGCAACAGCAGTCGCTCAAGTGCCATGAGCTGCTGTGCATGCGCCTGTGGGTTCATCTTTCGCAGCAGCATTTCCTGCTGCGCCAATAGCTCCTCCTGGAGGATTTTGTCTCGAGAGGTTTGCTGCTCTAGCCTGAGGGCCCTCTCAGCTTGCTGGTACACGAATACCTCTCTCCTAGAAGTAGTGTCACTTGGGGGCCTCGGGGTGCCGCAGGAGCTGTCTCCAGCAGCACTCGTCTCTCTCGAGGATTCGCTCTGCCTTGAGGTGTCTGCAGGTGTATGCGAAGCCTCTGGAGATATCTTATGGGCTCCTGCCACAGCGCCGGCCCCCTTCAAGCTGCCCACAGCCTCATGCCACTCGTCATCTGCTGCAAGAATCTCGAGAACGGCAGCTTCTTTGCTGGGAACGACCCCCACGACGCGGCAGCGAAGAGCGCGCAAGCTTGGCGGGGCTTTTAGCTCAGAGCCAGAACCATGGGGCCGCCGAGGGATGAGCCCCGCAGACAAAGAACCTCCCATAGGGGCCTTCAGAGGGGCCCCCAGTGGGCCCCCTAGACCCTGGGGGAAGGCAGGGACCACCCATGTCGCAGAGGGAGGAGACAGGAAGTGAACCCAAGAAGGCACGTCCTGATGCAATCTGATTACACACAGACAAGAGCGCACGAGGAACACAGACAATGGGCATAGAATGCCAGCATGCATGCAAGCATGTGCGGGTAGCAGTTTGGGGCTGCTTCATGACTCAAGCTTGTACGACTCCACTGGGTGTCTCAAAGCGAGTAAGTCCCTACTGTCCGCCTCTGTCCTGGGGAGTGTCTCTTCACACAACTGGGGTTTGTGTGTGTTGTGTGTGTGTGTGTGTGTGTGTGTGTGTGTGTGTGTGTGTGTGTGTGTGTGTGTGTGTGTGTGTGTGTGTGTCTGCTGGTGTCTCTCCTCTAGAGCCATTTGATTCTACACTGTCTCCATTTAAGTGTCTCTTGAGCTCACAAACGATCAAGGATTTCGTCTTCCGTCATGTGTAGCTCCTCTTTCTTCAACAAATCTGCAAAAAAGGAACAGAGATGATTGACGCCTGAGGAGACACCTGAAAGGGAGCCTACACTGGCACCTAAAAGGGCGCCTGCGGAGGCACCTGACGAGGTAGTAGCCTCATTTAGGATCGGCTGTACAACAAGTTCAAAGTGATTTGCGTCCACCCTTTTACTGGCACTTCCAAAGCCCTGATGCTGTTGCCGCTGCAGTAGCTGCTGGTGCTGCTGTGGCTGCTGCTGCACGCCTAAGACAACGACTCTAATGGAGTCCCCTGGCTGCAAACTGTTCCAATGGGCCTCGGGGTCTCCTCCAGTGGTTTGGGAATCCCCTAGTCCTTTTTGGTCCCACATGTCTCCCCCTATAAACATTTGTCGAGCAATCGACGTTCGTGCAGGTAGAAGATGCTGCGCTGCAGCCGGCAGCAGCAGCTGCACCGCCACGGATGTGCTGCTTTTGGCCACAATCCGGCCTGCGGCCACAACACACCAACATAACTACGCATCCCAAGCCCTAAACCCTAAACCCCAAACCTGCAGTGTACTCTCCCGTCATCTCACTTCTGTCTCGCAGGGAGTACAGCAGCAGCACTAGAAGCAACAGCAGCAGTAGTGCGTCACGGGTTCACAAGGCATTACACGCAAACGGTTGCATGCACGGTACAGCTGCAATGTTCACTAGACGTCTTGGATGTGCGTACACCTCCGTACTCACCTTCTAAGGGATGTTTTGTCTCCCGCAACCAACACACAAGATCTGTGACCTCGCCAGGAAGGCCACCGCTCGCCACCGAGTCTTCTTGCTGCTGGTGCTGTTGCTGTTGCTGCGGCTGCTGCTTCTGGCGCTGTTGCTGATAAGGATGCGGCTTTAGCTGCAGGGGCATCTGCGGCTGCTGCCGTCGTTGCTGCTGCAGCCACTGCTGCTGCGGTTGCTGCTGGTGCTGCTGCTGGGGAGGTCGTTGGTGAAGTGGCAGTCCTCTCTGATGCTGTTGCTGCTGCCTCTGCTGTGGATCACGTTGCTGCTGCACGGTTCCCGGTCCGCTCCGCACAGCCGCAGACTGCTGTGTTTGCTGCAGATTCTCTAGCCTCGTTTGCTGCTGCTGAGCTGCCCGGCTTACGTTGCTGCGCTGGTGTTGCGGCTTCCTCCCCCCTCTGGCAACGTTACCAGAGGGCCCGGCCTGCGGAAACCACCCCACGACAAAACCAGCCCTAGTCCATAAGCACTAAACACTAAACCCCGGACCCTAAACCCTTAGCCCTAAACCATGAGCCCTTGGAGCTAGGAACACGGAAAGCCTTTGTGCCTGTAAGGCATAACTCTTCCTATTTCAGTCTGCATGCACACTGACGCACAAGAGGCAAAGGCGCTGGCGTCCGCAAAGGGTGTCCAGGCGTGGACTCTCTTGGGTGGGGTCCTCTTGAGTGTACGGGTCGGGGACCCCGTGGGAGAGCCCCCTTGGGCTGCGGCGGCACGGGGTCATTTGGAGGGGCACCTTTGGTTTGTACTGGCTGGGGATCCCTAACTCCCCGATTCCTCGTTGCCCGCGGCAGAGGGGGATCGGTCTTATTGCCTCCTGGTTGTTGCTGCTGCTCTGCTCCGCTGCCAGGGCTCAAAGGCGCAGCCTCGCGTGCAACCCCATCCTCGCCGCATGCAGGACCTCCCGGGCCTGAAGGAGAAATCCTTCCTTCGGCCCTTACCACTGTCCCCCCAGCAGCATCCGACGCAGCACCAGTGGCAGCAGACACGTGAGGGAAGGCTCGCGCCTGTGTACGTACTCCTGGGCGGACCTGCAGGCCCTGTAGGTATGCCAAGCCGCACGCAGCAGGGCGTCTAAATCTACGAGAAGGAGGGCTCGCTGCAGATGCTGGGGGATGCCTTAAAGAAACCCCACACACTGGAGACAAAGAAGAGTGACAGCAAGAGACGCAAAAAGCAGGATAGGGAGACCTCAGGGCTGTACACCCCACAATATTTGTTAGCAGCAGCTGGGCAACGACCACGAACTGCAGCAACAGCAGCAAGGCGTGCAAGTTCCACCTGTGCTTCCGCTGCTGCTGCTGTTGCAGTGGTGGCGACTTGGATCTACGATGCACCATTTCTGCTGCCCGCAGCGGCCGGGTTGGGGCCCCAGGGGCCCCCCTTTAGCCGTGGAGGACGAGTTGTCGTTTGGGGCTGCATGCAGGTAGATTCGCTCCCATTTAGACGAACGGTCCAAAACACCACCACGGAAAGGGAGAAGACGCCCGTGAGCCACGCGGCAGTTCAAAGCAATCTAATGGTGCTAGCTTTAGATGTACGTACACCTCAAAGATAGCCAAGCTGGGAGGCTCGGCAAGATGCTCTCTATCATGGAATATTGCCGAGTGGGCCCCTGAGGCCCCACATGCAGAGGTGGCTCCCTGCGACAAACTCCGCTCCAGACCTGGGGGAAATCCCCTAAATCTAAGACTATTCAATAGTATTTAATCATTCAAATGGAGGAAAAAGAACGTGAGAGCTGAGGGAACAGAGCAGGTTGCTGCGGAGTCCTTTTGGAGGGGGGCCCCTCGGCGGCAGACGGGGCCCCTTCTCAATGCTGGAGCTACAACTAGAGATGCCGTTGCTGTTATGAAGTAGTGAAATTATTGTTTTAATTTAATGCAATTTTAAATAATACATATTTAAAATGCTTTTATATATATTTAGCTTAGATGATTGAGCTGTGATGCCGATGCCCCTTTGCTGTGCCTGTCGCCCGAAGCTGCACGGCGTCGGCTGCGGTGCGGCTGCAACCGATTTGCCTTTGTGATTGTCTTCTTTGGGCACACAAAAGAATAAATATATGACTCCTTTTGTCTTACCACTGTCAATTTGCTGTTTGGCGAGGCAAACAATACTCCCACCAGCGGCTAAGCATTAAGACCAACGAGTACAGCCTATAGCACTGGGTCACACAGCCAGTCGTTCCCCCTGACAAACTCATTACAGGAGTTTTAACCACTTCATCAGCGATATAAACAATTTTCCACGACGTTAAGTCATTTAGCAACTCCCAGCACCTGGTACCACCTACTCCTTTGGCTGTGACGCTCTCTTTGCCGTAAAAGGACACCCCGATAATGACAGGAAGTCCCGTCGCCTCACCAGTCTCGCTGCCGCCCATTGCGTGCGCCTGGAGGCGGAGATCTGCCGCAATCGACGCGGGAGATTCTGCTGGTCCCAGCCGTCTTCTGGAGGGTTGGCTGCAGCTACAGGCAAACCCCGGAAAAAACAGACCGCAACAAGCGCATCACAACTACAACCAACAGACGCATAAGCCTATTCTTCGTTTTTCTGCAGCTTCACACGCCACACCACCAGAAAGAGGGTGGCTTCATTCCTATGAAGCAACAACAGTACAAGCGGCAGGAGCAGCAACACTAGCAACGGCAAGCGAGACCCCAGGCTTGTCACCTGTAGGTCCTCAACCCGCAAGCCTTCTAGCAGTTGAAGCAGCTGCAGCAGGAGCACCCGCTGCTGCTGCTAATAGCCCCCAATCTAATAAAGGCGTATCTATGGAGGGCTCTGCTGCTTCTTTACGGTTTGATGTGGGCAAAAAACTGGCGATGTTTAGAGCAGCTGTCCAAATAAGAAAAAAGCGCCAGGAGTTTGATAGGAGACGCAGACAAAGTCTAATTGCGCTCATACAGCATGCTCAGCAACCACAGGCGCAGGAACAACAACAGCAGGAACGACGAGCACCCGAGCAAATGGCTGGCCAACACGGGCAGCAGCAACAACAGGCGGCAGCCGCTCAAACTGCAGGCAATCTGGGGCCTCTCTGGACTGTAGGGTGCTACCTGCAGCAGCAGCAGCTGCAGCAATCAAAGCAACGCAAAAGAGATGGGGAATCAACAACCTCAAAAATAGCCAAATCGTACTTGTGGCAGTGGGGTGGGAAACCAGCAACAGCAGCATCAGCAACAGCAAACTGTGATGGTGTTGCTGCAAATGTCGCATGTGCAACTCGGGGGAGGAGGAGTATCTACCGCCGCGTGTCCGTTGAGGGGCATCAGAACAACAACAGCCCCAGCAGCAGAAGGAAGGATTTCGGTGTAGGTTTAGGGAGGAGGAGGAGTCTGTTGAGCCACGTTGCCTCGCTGCAGCGAAAGCAGCTGCTGGGGCCGCAGCGGCTACGGCTGCTACGGAGACAGCTGGAGGTTGTGCAGTTGTTGGGAGAGGGGGCGAGCGGGTCAGTTTGGAAAGTGAGGCAGAAAAGTAGCGGGAAGATATTTGCTCTAAAGGTAATAAAGAAAGAAAGCCCCAAAGAAGACCCAAGGATTGCATGTGCGCGCCGGTATGCGGAGCGATACGTGTTGATGCATGGCGATATGTCTAGACACCTGGTGGGGCTGCATGCGGCGTTCCAAGACAAGCACAGTTTGTTCCTGTTGCAGGATTTTGCAGCTGGACATACACTGAGGGAGCTGATGCAGCAGAGGGGTCCCCTAGAGGAAGAAGAGGTAAGAGAGTACGCGTTGCAGTTAGCAGAGGCTCTGCATGCAATACACCGCCTTGGCTTCCTCCATAGAGACGTTAAACCTGAAAATATTATCATTGACTCTTCAAAACAACTACGCCTTACAGACATGGGGCTGGCATTAGCAGCAATCCCAGCAGGCCCTCTGCATGCGCTGCAGCAGCAGCGCTGCACCCTCTCCGCAGCAGCCCCAGTGGGGGGCCCCCTAACATCCCCACAACCACGCTTTGGGGGGTCCTGCAGCTTCGAAGCGACACAGATAGGGCCTTTACAAGACAACCCCACTATCTGTTCCAGCTGTCCTCTCCATGCCGAGGCTATGCCTACACCTGAGCTGTCTTGTTCCTCCGGCCGTGAGGAAGCCCCCTCCCTCAGGGAAGCTGGCGCATGCTGCTGCTTGGGTGCCCCTGGGGGCCCCCCATCCCTTGCCAGTTGGCGGCTGCAACAACTTTCCAGCACAGAAGACATCTCTTCTGCGGGAACCCTCCACTACATGGCCCCTGAGGTTGCTCTGGGGGCCCAGCAAAGACACGCTAAACCCGTGTGCCAGCAGGGGCTCCCAAGCGGGCCCCAGCTGGAGCTCCAGCAGAGACAACAAGGGGGGCCCCAATGCTCCCCGCAAACGTCTCAAGCAACGCCCAATGAGGAGGCACCGGCCCCAAAGAGGCCCCCAAAGAGCCTCCAGGAGTCGTTTCCGCAGGGGGGACCGGAGGGGGCCCCACGAGTATCCTCCGAAGGCCCCACCTTCGGCTCTGCAGAAGATAGATTGATTGATGCTGAAACAGATGTAGGAGACTCAGTTAAGGCAGACTGGTGGAGCTACGGGGCTGTTGTTTACGAGTGTCTCTTCGGCTTCCCACCTTTAGGACGCTTCTATTTAAGAAGGAAAAACCCCGCAGCACATTGTAATAAAAGCAGGCAGCCACACTCTATGCAGGCAGGCCAGTCGTCCACTGCACCAGTAGCAGCAGCACCAACAGCAGCAGGAACAGCAGACACAGAAGCAGAAGAAGCAGCACCAGACGCAAACCGGATTGCAGAAGTCGAAGCAACAGAAGTTGCAGAAGCAGCAACAGCAACAGCAGCAGGAACATCTATTTCTACAGTGGGGGAAGTTGTCAATAACCCCGAGTTAGTGTTGTGCATGCTTAAACGCTTTGAGGATTTTATTGCGTTGCCGCCTGAACCTTTTGTTGTCTCTTCTAGTAGAAGAGAGCAGCAGCACGGAGATTGCCAGAGGTCGGAGAGACAGCAGCAGCAAAGAGCTACCTCACCTCATCAGAAACAGCGACAGCCGCAGGAACAACAGCAGCATCAACAACAACAGCAGCAACAGCTGCCTGTTGTCTCCTTGGAGGCGATTGAGTTCTTAAGGAATCTGCTGTGTGCTGCTGAGAGGCGTTTCGTGTACAGAGACATTACGAGACACCCATGGATCTGTAGACATAATTCCTCGGCCCCACGCTACACCAGCAGCAACGGCAGCAGCAACAGCAACACAAGCAGCAACAGCGAGAGCCGCGCTTGTCTCGTGGTGTGCTACAAGGACTTAAAACCTCAAGACAGGCTGTCTGTTACCCCAAAGGAGACAATCGTCTCTCTGGAGACAACAAAGATAGATATGGCCCTAAAGGAGAGTCTGACGGGCAAGGTGTCTCCAAGAAAAGACAGGAAAACAGCCTGTGGAGAGTGCGAGCCCTCTGCTGTCTCCTCGTCGTATTCTGTCTCCCCTGCTGCACCAGCAGCACCGCCTTCCAGCTCTGCTGCTCTGCCTTCTGCTGCAGCATGCAGCTGGGGCGGAGGCAATTGGGGCCCTCAGGACAGCCCCTTTTCCATGCAAGGAAAGCAGCAATCCTCAACTGCCTGGGAGACAGACTTCCGCTTCCTTGGCTTTGACTTCAATGCCCAACAGCGAAGGGCAGCAGCAGCGCAGCAACAACTCCGAGCCGCCCTCCAAGGCAGCAGCGGGGCGGCTGCCCCGGTGTCTGACTGAGACAGACTTTTGTACATTCATACCTAATTAAAGCATATGTGCATCTCTAATATACGGATAATACATAGACACATCTTGTCTCTGCGTCTGTATATACATATCTACTCTGTATAGATGTATTTGTGTAGCGAAATTAGTCGATAATGCCCCGGGGAGTTTATAGACAGTCTAAACCCTCTAAATCTCCGCAGCTGCTGCTTCTTGCCAACTCCGTTTTTAGTATGCAACCGGAAGCATGTGTATGCTTGTGCAATGGGAAGGCACTGTTGGGGAGGGAACCATACAGCCCAAAACCTTAAACCTGTCACGAAGAGACAACTGCGACCTAACTATCTTTAAACTGCTCCCCCTTCCCCCCCAACCTATATAAGTTACGCAGCCATGTCGAAGGCCCATCCCAAATGTTCCAAGTGGTTTTGCTCTAAATATACTGGGGTGCGCAGACGGCTCGCGGCGGGTTGCTAATAAGACTCCACGGTCTGACGGTTCCCTCTACTGTCAGATTGCGCGGCTCCTCTTAAGCTGCAGCTGCAATTTTACAAGGAGACTAGTTCATTAAAATGACTGCAAATGTGGCATAAAATACAATCGCCTATCGCTGTATCATTGCCCCCAGGCAGTCGGATGCCGCCCTGAGTTGATATATGGCCCCTCGATTGGAAGCAGGCAGAAGTAAGCAGAGTATGAAGGGAGTTTGTGAGAATAGGGGTTATGGTTTAGCGTTTAGGCTTCAAGGTTTCCGGTTTATAGACGGCCTCTCGCTCTCCCGATTTGAGGCCCGGGGAAGGCACAACTTAGCTGTGTGCGAGGCAAGTTGTGGTGAAGACGTTTTTTTTCGCATCAACACAAGCGTTAATATATTCTATATATAATACAAATAAAGACAAGCCGCAATGGCAGAGGTAGCAGTAGCAGCAACTGCTACTGCTGCTACTGCTGTTGCTGCTGCCGTCGCGGGCGGAGGCGGCCGCTGGCTGAGCGCTGCAGGCCCCGCAGCATTTAGGGGTTTGTTTGTCTCTGCTGCTAAATAGGATTGCATGCGCCTTTAAAGCTGTTTTGCTAAAGTTGAGGTGTGCATAGACTTTAATATAACTCCTGTTGCTGCCCGCCGCCCGGCTGTCTCGCGCTCCGTCACTCGTGGAGCGTCTTGTGTTGCAGTGAACATACACCTCAGCGGTGGCGGCGTTCATTGGGCTACCTGTTTTTTGTTTTTCTCCTCAATACAACTATTGAAACTTCGATTTTGCATCCTCTTTACCTACTTCATCTGCGGGCTTTCGCTTGTTCTGTTCTGCTGCCTCCCATACTTGTGTCTGCGTTTCCTGTCTGCCTCCCTCTCTCTCGCTGTCATTCCCTTGTTTTTTGCTCCTCTTTCTTCTTCTCTCTTCTTCTTCAATTTCTCTTCTTCTGCTGCTGCCACCTCAGCAGGTGGACCCTCTTCCTTGCCTCCCCCAGCCCCCCCGGCTTAGTTTCTTTCCTTCGCCTTTTTTTCGTGCCTTGCATTCTTTGCTGCTGTGTCTCGGCGCATTTTCTTCTTGTTCCTTCTTCCCCTCATCTTCTTTTCTAAGGCTAAGCGAACCCGTCTTCCTCCACCATGCAGCCTTCCCGAGGCCTAGGGGCCTCCAGCGGCGGCTATACCCCTAACTACCCGGCGCCTGCGCCCCATAGCAACGGCCTCTCTCAGGGCTTCTATCCAAACAGCACAACTCCTGCTAAGCCTTCCTATGGCAACCCAGCTGGGGGGCCCCCACCAGGGCCTCCTGGGGCTCCAGGAGTTCCAGGTGCCGCAGCAGGGGGAGCCCCTGGATCCGGCTACGGGGTCTCCGGGTACTATGGCGAAGACAGCATGCCTACAGGGCAGCAGCAGTACCCACAGCAAATGCCCTTTTCCCAACCTCAACAGCAGTTGCAGCAACCTCCACAGCAGCAACAACCTTTGTATTCTGTACCGTCGCATGCTCCGCCACCCTCTATGCAGCAGCAGCAGCAGACACCAGCATACCCGCAGCAGCCACCCCTCCCGCAGCAGCAGCCGCTCCAGCAGCAGCAACCGATCCCGCAGCAGCAGCCCCTGTCGCAACAGCAGGGTCGGTATATGGCGCCTCCTTCTGCTCCGTTCGCTCCTCCGCCGCCTCAAGCTCAACAACAGCAGCAGCAGCAAGGTGGTTACATGCCGCCTCCTGTGCAGCAGCAGGACCCGGCAGGTATGCAGGCTCCTGCGTCAGGGGGAGGTTACATGATGGGGGGTGTACGTGCAGGGGCAGCTCCTTTGGGTAGCGGCAGTGTGGGAGGAGCAGGCAGTAGTGTCATGGGGGGCCCACGTTCGTCGTTTTATCCTGGTGGAGCAGCAACAGCTGCTGCTGCTACCGCTGCAGCGGCCGCAGCAGCAGCAGCAGCTGTGCAGCAGCAGCAGGAAGGGGTATCGCAGCAGCAGACGGAGGATTTATTGCAGCTGAATGCGCCTGCAGCTTTTGTGCGTCCCTCTGTATGGAGGATTCCTAGCAGCAGTTCTTTACGACATAAGAGCCATTTGCCCTTAGGGGTGGTGCTGCAACCGTTGGCAAGAATGGGGCCGCATGCAGCAACAGTGCCGAGGATATCCTTTGGATCGGGCCTTGTAATCCGCTGCAGGCGATGCAGGACCTACGTTAATGCGTTTGTTACATGGGAGGCAGGGGGGAGGAGGTGGCTATGCAATATGTGTGGAGTTAGCAACGAGACACCTCAGTTTTATTGTGCTCCCTTAGATGCAAATGGGAAGAGGGAAGATGCGGCAGAGAGGCCGGAGTTATCAAGGGGATCTTTTGAGATAATTGCCCCTGGGGATTATATGATACGTCCCCCTCAGCCTCCTGCTTTTGTCTTTGTAGTGGATGTATCACAGCAGGCTGTTGCATCGGGGCTTCCTGCTGCTGCATGCAGCAGCATTGCTGCTGCTATAGAGGCAAATCGCCTGCCGGGGGAGGGGCGCACCCTTGCTGCCGTCTTAACGTACGACAGTAGCGTTCATTTCTATCGTCTTGAGGCATCACAGACACGCCCTCGCCTCTTCGTTGTTCCTCAAGTTCAAGATATTTTCCTCCCTCTTGCTGAAAATCTCTTCGTTCCTCTTCAAGAATGCAAAGAGGCGATACTGAACACTCTTAATGCTATTCCTGACATCTGGAAAAGCAATGCATGCACTGACAACTGCTTGGTACACATACACAAACATTTACTAACAAACATTAACGAACATAAACATAAACAAGCATTAACTAGCTTAATCACCACACAGTCATCCTCTCCTCCCTGTGTTTGTCCGTCTGGTTGTTTGTTTGCTTGCTTGGTGTTGCTTGTTTGTTGGCTCGTTTGTTTGTCTATCCCTTGCTTCGTTTGTTTCCTTGTTTCCTCGCCTGATTTGTTTGGCGTCAGTTGTTAGTTTGACTTTGCAGTGTATTGTCCCAAATGGAGACACACTGCATTGCCCCCGGATCTGCTTCCTTCAGTGTCTGCGCTTGGAGCCCGTTGTTGCGGCTGCTGTCGTTGTTGATACTCTTTTGCCTTTGCTGCTGTTGCTGCTGCAACTGATGTTGCTGCTTCTGTGGCGGTGTGTCTGTGCATGCAGGGCAGCGCAGTGCGGGCTGCGGCAATGGTGGCAAAGCACGTAGGAGGGAAGATTTTGTTATTTGCTTCTTCGCCTCCTACTGTAGGGGAAGGCGTTCTAAGGAGAGAGATAAGCAGAGACAAGGGGGCGCAAGGGCCAGGAGACAGAGACAGCGAGCTCCTTAAACCGGCGGCAGATACATATCAAGTGAGGCCTATTGTAGGGGGGAGCACGCTAGAATAACGGTAGTAATGAATAATGCATTAATTAAGTTTATATATTGTTTGATTGCAAGAATATGCAACTGAAGAACAACTGGCTCACACGCGTTAAAGTCTTTTTTTGTCCCTTTTTCTGTGGCTGTCTCCTTCAGCAGCTATCCCGTTGTCTTTGTTTGTCTGTGCCTTCGGTCCCTCATATATTTTTGATTTTCCTATACAACCCAGTTAAGCTCCTGCACTCTGTCTCTCTTCTGTTTGCGCAGACATTAGGACAGCAGCTCACTCAGTCGCAGCTGTCTGTAGACATGTTCTTATGTCCTCCAGCACACAGTTCTGCCTCTACCATGGACAGCAGCAGCTACTACCCTCCTGCTGGAGGGGCCCCCCAGGGGGGTCCTGGGGGGGCCCCTCCACGTTTGCCATCGGCTGCTGGTGGTGCTGCTGGTGGGGTTGGAGGTGCTTATTGCCCTTCTTTTGATTTAGCTTCTTACGCCTCTCTAGCACAATTTACCTCAGGAGAGCTCCGGTATTATCCAGGCTTCTCCCGAGAACTTTATCAGCAAAAGTTGCAGGCGGAAGTCGATCGAGTCCTCTCGAGAGTCACCGGGTAGGCAGCACAGAGCCCCAAAGTACCAATGCAGACGCATACGTGCATGTATTCACGCGTGCATGCATGCATGCATGTAGCTGTACACTGCAATAAGAGGATCATTTGTAGCTGGTTCCACACGTGCGCTGGCCGTGTATGTGGAGGGAGTAAAGGTGTTAAATGTTGCGTGTTTGTGTATTGTGAGGTCTATTGATTGCTTTTTGCACTTGTGCTGTTGTGTTGTTTGTTTTGCGTGTATGCGTGCATGCAGGTGGGAGGCGGTGATGAGGGTGCGCGTGTCTCGGGGCTGGAAGGTGTGCGAGCGGCACGGGCGCTTCTACTTGCGAGGAGCAGATTTGTTTGTCCTGCCTACTGTCCACGAAGATCAAACATTTACGGTGTCGCTTGAGCCTGACGAAGCAGCAGGAGCAGCATCAGGAGACACTCTGCTGTCTCTGCAGGTTGCGCTGCTGTATACACATAGTGAAGGAGAGAGGCGCATCCGAGTGCATACAGTGGCTTTGCCCCTCACGCAAAACATGCAGGTAAGAGATGACTACATGCCTGATAAGAATTTAGAGTTCTTAGGGAGGAGCAGTCAGTGTGTTTGTAGAGGCACACAAGTGCATGAAGGATGCATGCATGCATCCTTCAAAGCTTTCTGCGTCAAATGCGCTTGTGGCTGACAGGAGATCGCCGCAACTGTCGACCCAGAAGTTACATCGGCCTTGATGCTGCAGCACGCCCTCGATTTGGTAAGCCAATACGTACAATGCGTGCAATTCTTGCGTATTGCAAATATGAGCAATTGATTGCATGCAAACAAACACAAATAGGGGCATGCACGGAAAAAGCCGTTTAATTGCCTCTTGAGGTGTATTTGTGTATTATGGGAAAATTGCTGCATCGTTCCCGTCTTTTTTTCTTCGTATACTATTTACATTCGTTTAAAAGTACTTCCTTAGTACTTGCATGAGTCGTTTAATATTTTATTCCGCTGCGTGTCGTTGCAGTCATTACGTGCAAAAGTCGCAGACGGAAGGGCTTACCTCCAAAACTTGTGCGTCCAGCTGATGGCCGCTCTGCAGCTGCCTGCGGGTCATTGCACCGCCCCCTATGGCCCTGTTGCTGCCGCTGCTGCAGCAGCTGCTGCTGCAGCCGCAGCAGCAGCTCCTGCAAACAACGCCGAACAGCTCAAACGCCTCGGCTATCTCGTCATGGGAATCCTCAAATCTGCGGCTTTCCGCAACACCAAAGATGGTAGGAGTGTGCAAATTACTGTGTCGCAGGCTTTAGGGTTTAGGAAGGTTTAGGGTTTATTGTTGAGTGCTTAGGAGTGTTGTTAATTGTGCTCTGTAGAAAGCTAATGGCTTCGATTGTATGGTCGCGTGCCCAGTGGTCACGCTGGTGGTGTACAATGAAGCAATTTTTCTTGTGGAGGAAGTGGTAATGTTGCATCCTGTTGTGTTGTGCTTGTACACCTCAGTAACAAGCGACATGCGGGTCTATTGCTTCCATCGGCTAGCGTGGGCAAGTTTAAGTCAAGTAGTGGCTTATTTATGCCCAAGACTATTTTGCCTTACGGATTGGGGGGAGAGCGAAGGCTCTGTAGATTCACAAGGCAACGTTGTACTTCCGGCTCTGCTGCCGCTAACTAGCGAGGTGATGACACAACAAGCGGCGTATCTCCTTGAAAATGGGGAACAAATGCTACTTTGGATTGGAAAGTTCGTCAAAAATCACTCCATTTATATATAAATACTACAAAAATAGCAAATCAATAAATCTGCACACTTGCCCCAGATACAAAATACAACTACAACAGCCCCACCACAGGCCTACAGAGGTGTATGCATATGTGTACACCCAAGATCCCCCCTGTTGTTGCTGGTGCTGTCTTCAGGTCCGTATCTCCTGATTGGCTGCAGGCTGTCTTTGGAGTGTCTTCTTATGACTATTTGCACCCCGAGGCAGCTGCGCAGTCTCTCGGGTGTACAGACACACCATTAGGTGTAAGGACTTTAGCTGTTGTTCGCGAGCTGCGGATGCAGCGACTGCAGCCAGATTATATGCAGCTGAAGATCTTGCGGCAAGGAGACAGCAGCGAGCAGCTGTGAGCTTCTTTTATCTCCTGTTTCCCATCAGATTCCCTCAGACTTTCATTGCCTGGCGTTGCCCTTATTTGTCTCCTTTTGTCTCTCGCTGTCTCCTGTTGTCCTTAGCTGTCCCCCCTTTTTCCTTCTTGTTGCAGTTTGTCATAACTTATGATTAATAACATATGATTAATGCCTATGTATTTGTTTTCGTAGGTTCTTCTCAATGTTAACGGAAGATCGCGTATCGAGTTTGCCGCTGACAGCTGCAGAGTTTTTGCAGAAAGTGGGGCAGCGATCGTTGCATGCGCTAAACCCTCCTTTTGCATCCCAGCAGCAGCAGCAGCAGCGGGGATACTGAAGCATTTTAGTTGTTTAAGGCAACGGAGGTCCCTCTCTAACGCTTTGTTTGCCCTTCACAAACAAAAGCACAAAAACAACAAGATAAATAAAGCGAATCGGCTTTAAGGGGACAAAAACAACTGCCTAAATTATCTCCCCCTTTCTATTTCTCTCTTTCTATTGCTGTCTATCTCTATCACTGTCTTTCTGTCTGCCTTTCTGCCTGCCTCCTTTGCTGTCTCCTCTCCTTGTTGCTTCGATTTTGCTTCCTGTTGCCTCCCTGCCGCGGTCCTTTTGCCATAGTAGGCAGCAGCGGTGCGCACGTCTCTGTTTTCCTGTCCGCTTTTGGTGTTTCTTCTCTCTGTCCCCTCCTCTGTCTCTTTCTCTTCTCAGTCTGTTGCATGTTCTTATGTCTTCTTATCTCTTTAACTCTCTTTCGTTGCGCCGCGCCTTCTCTTCTTGCCAGCCGCCCTCGCCCTGCTGAGGTGTACGCGGACCAGCAAGATAATGCGGTGCCCACCCAATAGGGTTTAGGGTTTAGGGTTTAGTGTGTACGGTCTGTGGGCCATTATCTGTTTCTATGGCCAGCAAACTCCAAGGGTGCCGCCTGCTACCCCTTAACTCTTTTAAGCCGAGGAAAACAACGTGAAACTCAGCAGCAACAGCAGCAGCAAGAGCAACAGCAGCAGCGGTAGTGCCACTAGGAGTTACTGCCGTTGCCCGAAAGCACTTGTGGCGATAATTAAGTGTGGGAAGAGCAACAAATAGACAAGTGCCGCAGATAGTAAAATAGAAATGATGTTAGTTTAAGTGCTGGTAGACGGAGGCCAGGTTATTCGCCGCTCTCTTTATCTCTCGCCGCTCTATCTCTACGAGGAGGATGTGATTACTGTTGTGCCCTCTGCATGCACTCTATTATTTGTAATGTAAATATATAATGTGCGTGCGCATGCATGCAAGCCTTCCGTATATTGTGTTGAATCTGTATTCCGCCCTAGGGAATATATTAATTAAATGTTAAATTATAGAGGCGGCACAAGCTGTGGTGAGCGTCAGAGGTCCTGTGGTGTTAATTGTTTCCTTCGTGCGTATTTTTTGGGTTTGTAATATAGCAAAGACGAGAAGAGGCGAAAGAGGGAAAATGACATAAAAAGAAGTAAATCTAAAAAGAGGCAACTGCCAACAGACACGTTGTTGTGCTGCTTCCGTTGCTGCTGCAGCTGTCTTGCTGCTACTGGCCCTTAGGGGCTATTAAGAGCAGCCTCCTTTAGTTTTTGTTTCAGCCGCTGCTGCTGCTGCTGCAGCTGCCTCTCCTGTGGAGACGCTCCATAAATGCCATCAGCTTTTGAGGGTGATGACGCAAAGGCAGAAGGAGGAAGGAAGGGTTGTCCTGCCGCGTTGCTGCCGCCGCTGTTGCTGCGGCCAGCAGCAGCAAATTGTGCTTTGGGGTTCTTAGTATATTGCATAGGAGCTGCTGCTGCTGTGTACGGGAGATAATTGGGGTCGGATGAGCCCTTGCCCTTCACTGGGGCGCAGTATTGCGGTGTATAGACACTTATAGGCGAAGGACCGAAAGAACCCATGGGTGGCCCAAATTGTTGCTGCTTCAGCAGCAACTGTTGCTGCTGCTGTTGCTGCAGCAGCAGTTGCTGTTGCTGCTGTTGCTGCAGCGGGGTTAAAGGTGAAGAAGATGGCATGGAAGGGTAGGCTGGCAGCAAATGAGCATCTGCGTAAGGAGCGCTTGGGGTGTATGCGCCGTAAACGGGCTTTGTTGAGACTGCTGCGGGCTGAGAGTAACAGTGAAGAGGATACGTTTGCTGCTGTAGGACCTGCTGCTGCTGGGGCTGCTGCTGCTGCTGCTGCTGCTGTGGCGGTGTTGATCTGAAGCTGTCTTGCGCATGCAGCAGCGGCTGCGATGCTGCAGCGGAAGGACGGGAAGACGCTGCAAATGGAGCTAGGCCTCTCTTACGAGGAGACAACAACTGAGCAGATACGCAAATAAGGGCACAAGGCAGCACCAATAGAAACAGATAGACAGAGAAGGGGACTGACAGAGACAGAGACAGACACACAGAGAGAAATAAACGGAGAGAGAGGCACAGACAGCCAGCCAGACAAGCAGATAAACCATACACAGAGAAAGACAGGAAGAGAAGGACAGAGACAGGCAGAGACATCGAAGGACGGGCAGAGATAGACACACAGACACAGAAACAGAAAGAGACAGGCAGACAGACAGCCACACAGACACAGCCACAAACGCACGCACACGTACACATACACATACAGATAGACATACACATACAAACAAGCAAACAAACAAACAAACACACACACACACACACACACACACACAGAGAGAGAGAGAGAGAGAGACAGACAGACAGACAGACAGACAGACAGACAAACAAACATGCAGACAGACAAACAGACAGACGGACAGAAAGAAAGAGAAGGAGCAGCAAAGGTCTACAGAGACAGAGACTCTGTAGAGTCGACAAGTAGTCTGCAAGACAGGTTAGTGTCTGCATGCATTTAAACGTATGCATGCAAACGCAGCCTAAAATAATGTGGCTGTTTGAATGCAGTCTATTTTTACGGCAAGCAGCAGCATACACGAACCTTGCATGCAGCAGCAGCAGCGTCGATAGTAATAGACGGCAGCTGAATGTTCTTGAGATGGTCGAAGCTAGGGGGCATCTCTGCTGCAACAGCAAGAGGCCCGCTGCTGCAGAGCCTTGCTGCTCTGTCTCCTACACCAAAGAATTGCTTGCTACCTTGGCGCGTCGGAGAGAGCAGGGAGAGACAAGGAGACAGTGGAGAGTCTTCTCCCCATAGACGGGCCCAGCAGTCGTCCGCTGCCTCCCTCGCAGCAGCGGCAGCGGCGGCAGCAGCAGCAGCAGCAGAAGCAGACCACTCTCCTTGTACAGGCTGCTGATAGAAAGAGGGGACAAAAGAGGGATTCACATACTCCGCCCGTCTTACAATTGGTGGTGGCTTTGGCACGCGGCAAGAAGCAACCAGCTGCACACACAAAACACATATCAATATCCATGCATGTAAGCATGTATGCACGCATTACCAGGTAACTGCAGCCCCAAAAACTGCAGCCCCAAAAAATTCTAGTCCCCACACGGCATATATAACCTACATATAGATTACATATATTGTATATATAGTATATGTAGTATATATATTGTATATATGTGAAGTGTATATAATACACGCCGCCGTTTTCTGTATGAGCAGAACAGGGCTATTAGCTATACACACAAATAAACAATAACTCCGTGTATTGTATACATCGTATATCAAGCACTATATATATAGGTTGTTTATATGGGCACACATTAAGACATGCATAAATACATATAGATACAAACACACGAACACGCATATAAGCAAAGGCAGGCAGTAAGTATATGCACTCTATATTATTGTATTTGTTGTGCGAATCGTCTTATAGTTCAACTTATGTGTAAATGCAATATGCATGCACAAACATACACTGTATAAGAACAAGGGGTAAAAAGCAAACTAAAGCCTCATGCACACACTGCAAGCACTGCATGGTGGACCCACCCGAGCGTGCGTGTTGTGTCTTGGAATGCCGGCTACAGTCCCGCATGCGTTTGGCTGCATGCATGCAGAGGGGAAAGGAGGCAAACTCCCACAAAGCACCGGAGGTGCCACGGGCCTCTCTTCTAAAGCTCCAATATCGCCTAACTCCTGCAATGTCTCTGTTAGTTTCCTCAATGCAAAACCCGCAAAATTGGGTCTAATGCGAATGTCAACATCTTTTAGCTGAAGCTGAATGCCCAATCAGTCAACACATGAATACACACAGCTGCAGAACATGCATGCATGCATAAAGGCAGGCAGGCATGAGGTAAGTAGTATGTAGTGCATGCATGCATGCATGCTTACGTGCAAGGAAGCATGCTTTTTACACGCATGAACGCAGACATATTTATTGCATGTATGCATCCAGCTATCCATCAACACTAGACAAACAAACCTAAGGAGGTACTAGGCCCTAGACCCTTAACCCAAAAGCCTAAACTCTAGACAGCTTACAGTAACAATGCCTGGCAGAGGGGTGTAGAGGAGATTTAGCTGTCCGATTCTTCCAAACTCCACGCGAGCCTCCGCGTTTGAAGCCTGGGCACAACTCCACACAAACCCCAAGCCCTGAACCCTATGCCCTGCGGCCTAAACCCGACCTCTACTTCTGAGCCCATCCCATAGTTTTCATGTTATTCGATCCTTGCACTAGGCAGCCATGCACCAAGTATCTACCTGGTGTCGAGCTAGCTGGCTACCTATGTAGCGCGCTAGCTACCTATCTAGCTACCTAGCTAACTATCTGTTAGAGGCCTACCTTGAGTAGCTGGTTAATTGACTTCGCGTTAAATCGCACATCTTTCATCTCTAATCCGCGGTCGTAGCCAATGGACAGCAAGTCCTCGCGCTGTACTGAGCAATGGAGAAACACGACAGAACGAAGAGACAAGCAAATGACATAAAAGAAAAAACGGACAAAAGGGGACATAAATGAGCAAAGGGAGGCAAAAGCAAAGAAACGGAACCAACAGCAGACAGCACTACTACAGGAAAGAGAATAAAAGCGCAATGCTAAGAGCTCGACGGTTTAGGGTTTAGGGGTTTAATTTATATCTCTTCCTGGGTTGAGCTTCAGCAGTTAAATTCCAAGCCATAAACCCTTAACCAACCGCACACCCTAAACCCTAAACCCTAAACCATAATGTGGCTGTATTCTTACCGTCAACATATTTGCAGAGGTGGTTTAAGATATATTGTTTGAGATGATCCATCTTCTAAACGGGAGACGGAAAGAGACAGGGGGAGACAAAATGAACCAGAAGGAGACAGGCAGCTACTGCTGTCTAAACCCGTTTTTAAACACCCCAGAGAAAAGCCTCAAAGAGGATTTGTCTCCGCAGGTAGAGCTTCTATTTATGCCGATGCTTGTGCTGCTACTTATGCTGCTGTTTACGCTACTACTTATGCTGCTGCTTATGCTGCTACAGCTCGTGGAACTGCTGCAGCTGCTGCTTCTGATGTTGCTGCTGATGCTGCTGATTCTGGTAGCGCCACTGTTGCTTCTGTTGATGCTTCTACTTCTACTGCTACTGGCAGCGAGAATGCTTTTGTTGTTGTTACTGCTGGTACTGCTGCCGCTGATGCGGCTGCTGGTGGTGGCGCTGCCGCTGGTGCTACTGGTCTGCCGAAGACGCAGCAGCTGGCGCTGCTGCTGTGCAGCAGCAGTTGCAGCTGCTGTCCCTGCTTGTGCTGCAGTGTTGTGTATTGCTCCTGCTGCAGTGTGTCTTCCCCGAGATAATTGTTTCGCGTGCGGGAGCCACAGGGGCCCCTGCAGCAAGGCAAGGAGCCCGGCAGCAGCAGCAAAAGCAAGGACAGCAACAGCAGCAAATGGGGCACGACGAGCAGCAGCAGTGGCCCGTGAGTGCCTGGAGACACAACGAAGACCACTGGTTTGCTGCTGCAGCAAGGAAACAGCAAAGGGCTAGCCGCGCAGCGGGAGGGCCCCAGTGGGGACACTGCAGCAGCAAAGAGAGGAGGCTCTAAGCAAATACACACAGAAGCAAAGAAGTGCCCCAGACTTGCTGCTGTTGCTGCAGCAACAGCAGCAAGTCGCAAGAAGGACCCAGTCAAGGACTGTAAACCGCAGCCGCAGCCGAAGGATCAGCAGCAGCAGCAGCAGCAGCAATTGTAACGCTGCACAGCTTCGTATGAGATCTGTAATTAAGGATATTGCAAATGAGACAATTGCTGCTTTGGGCTTCAATTCATCTCATTGGGAGGACATCAAAGATGTATTTACCCCAGCAGCCTCTGCAGCAGCAGCTGCCGTTGCTGCTGTCAACAGCAACAGCAGCTGCTGCTGCTGCTGTTGCTGCTGCAGTCTCGTGGCTTGCTCGAGGCAGAGCCCTGTGAAGCTGTTGGGTTGGCAGTCTGTCTGTTCTTCCTTCACTAAAGAAAATAAAATAAATAATAAATAATATGAATAAAATAAAAAACACATTCTCTACATTACGTCACCTCTGTTGCTGCTATTGCCGTTGTTGTTGCTCCCCCTGCTGCTGCACTGCCCAAGGTTTCAAGGAGACCATCGGAGATACACAGCAGCATAACGGCAAAAACGACAAAAATGTATTTATATTGGATTACTGGATCTATTAAAAGAATAGGCTCTTATGCCAAATTAAAACTTTTGGGCCCGAATACACTACTGCCTCAACAAGAAGGCGAGCTTAGAAGGCGAGCCTATACACCCCAAGCCCAGAGAGCAACCACTGCTGCCGACCCCGCTTGTGTGCATACAACAGGAAAGAAGTAATAATGGCGAGGCAAAAAGATGCAGAAACTGTAGTAGCATTTAAATTGTGCTTTGAGTTATTCTATAGAAATGCCTGGGAGGAGACAGGCAGACACCGAGAAAGGGAGAAAAAGAGAGAATGAAAAGGACACAAACAGGATAAGGGCAAAGAAGAATAGGAAAAGCAGACAGTTTAAAAGGACATACACAGGTTTAGAGAGACAGTGATATATTTAAAGAGGCAGGGACAGATTTAATGATGCAAACAAGGAGGGAGAGGAGGCGAGACAGATACATCTCCACAGAGACCGATAGTCCGAGTTACAGAAACGGATATATACATCGCTCTTTCCTTTTGCCTGTCTATCTACTTCATTCCACTTGTCTCTATTTGTCTCTTTGTCCCTATTTTCCCGTTTTTCTCTCCATTTGTGTGTATCACTTTTTCTAAATAAATCTCCGTCCTCTTCCTTATCTGTCTATTACAATCAAATATATACAGTACTTATGCAAAATATGCATATAGTGTAAATATACATCCACACAGTGTGCGGAGTAAACAATGCAAAACTTGCTGAATATTCCCTTCGTTTCCGCAAAAAACAAAAAGTAAGACTGCGACAGTTGCAGCGGCACTAGCTGCAGCAGAAATACATGCATGAGCACTAGGTGCAGCAGGGGCACTAGCTGCAACAGCTCTAGCTGCTGCAGCAGTACAAACAAGCAGCAGCCCTAGCTGCAGGAGCAGCCCTAGCTGAAGAAACCCTAGCTGCAACAAACCTAGCTGCAGCAGCCCTAGCTGCCGCAGCAGGTGGAAGTGAGTTCCCTGGCAAGCAGGAGTTAGACGTGGTGTATAGAAAGAAGGATGGTTTGTGAGGGGCTTGCAGGGAACTTTCTTTGTGCGAAAGACATAAGACGTTTAAACATTTGGATATATTTTCTCGTTGTCTCATCATTTAGAATATGCGCAACTTGAGAGGTATTTAATTTCGATCTTCCCGCACGCTCGTGGATACCAACCATAGTAACCCCCATAGGCCAAGCAGCATTACCAATAGCAAGCAACATGAATCTGTACATAGAAGAGCAGCGTATACACCAGAAACCGCCTAAGTTGTGTTTACTTCTACTTGTTTGAAGCAAAAAGGCATTGCACAAACGGCTGAACAGGAAAAGATAGGGGGGCAGAAAAGGAAATAGAACTGTCTGTAGAGGAAACTAAACCCTAGAGACAGCTAAGGCCTATTTTAACGCCCGTACACGCAGAGCGACGCATGAGAAGGACACAGTTGTAATCCAAACAACTTGCCAGATATAACAGCAGGCACAGCAGCAGCAAGGTGCATGTTTGTGCTGCTTACGCTCCGTGGGCATCTCTATATTTCCTCTCTTCACAAAGGCTGACGATGTCGAAAAGCTTCTCCAAAATGTCTGCCTCAAGGCTGAAGAAAATAAAAATACGCACACAAGCACAAACACAAAACAGCTAACTCCGCAGAAGGAGACAGGAGACTGCGCTGCCGCTGAGACAGAGGAGGAGACAGAAAAGGAGACAGAAAATGAGACAGGAGGAGACAGACAAGGAGACAGGAGGGGACGCAAAAGGAGACGGAACGGGAGACACAAAGGGAGACCGGCAATGCGTACTCCCTGTGTTTTAATTTCTTAAAGAGTGGTTTTAAATCTTTCTTCGTCTGACGATGCAAAGCCGTCGCCTGCATTCCCTCAGCCGTTGCCTTCTCGTCCTCTGACCTGTACAGACATCCCAACTTGCAGCTTTTCTAGCAAGTAAGTCGGCTTGCAGTTTCGCACATACCGTACACTATATACATGCATAATTTTTTATTCCTGTGGAGGTATAAACATGCATGCATTTATATAAATATGAAGAACCCAACATCAATTGAACGCATCTATAAATGCATCAAGGGACTGCGAGGAGACCCTGCTGCTGCTGTTGTTGTTGCTGCTGTTGCTGCTGCTGGACTAGCAGCATGCGCACCGGCTCTTGAGTTCCTCTTCCCACAAAGACAACATCTTGCGCGCCCAGCCAATGACGCTGCAGACAGATACAAAAGGAGACGAGACAAACGACTGTCTTTAAAGTAAAGACTGATATACACTTAAATTCGAGGGAGACAAAAGGGGGACAAGTGCGCCAAAACAACAAAGGCAGCAGCAACGACAGGAACAGCAGCAGTGACAGGAGCAGCAACAGGAAAAGCAGCGGCAACAACAGCAACAGCAGCAGCAGAAGCGGAGGGTGCAGGAGCCGCCAGTAGTAGCAGCCGCAAAATAAGTAGTTCGTGACATACGCTGCCTCTTTGGTTTGTTCTGTTGTCTCCTTGCTTTTGGTGTTTTGGGTGGCTGCTGCTGCATCACTCTTCTCCGCTTCCCCTTTTTCTGACGAAGGAACTGCACAAAAAGAGGATAAATATAACCAAAGCACTAAGTACACAAACAACATTGAAGGGCCTCAGGTGTCTGTCCACCAGGAGCCACAGATCATTCAATGACTTCCTCAACCTCTAATGTGTTGCCTGCATGCTGAAGGAGTCTAGGGTTTAGGGTTTGGAGTTTAGGGTTAAGATATTCGAATTTAGGGTACAGAGTGTAAGGTTTACAGTGTACGGTTTAGAGTTTAGGGTTTGAACGTACCTGGCTTGGATTCTTCCTCAAATTCTTCTTCTTCTTCTCCCTCTCTCTGCATGGCATGGAAGACATTCTTTTGTCCTTCTGTCATCTCATCGTCTATCACTTGGACTTCCAACTTGCAAAGACGACAATATCTGCGCATGCAGCCCCAAGCAAATAACGTATAATGTGGCAATGGGGTATATGCCAACGAGCGTATTTGCATATCTATATCTACACAAGTACATATATGCGTATTATAAATAATAAGTAATAAATAAATAAATTAATGCGTTGAGGGCAAGGTAAGGCATGTAGGGAGACGGGGAGTGGCAGTAGGAATGACCTCTTCCAAGGTGTCTCTGCAAAGAGAGTAATTGGCTGTTTTAGTTTTCTAAGACGTCTAAATATCTCTTGAAGCTCAACAGGAGGCTCGCGCTCTTCGTCTGTGCCTTCTGTGGTGTCTGCACATTCTGAATGTCAAAAGCAAAATGAATGAAGGCAAAATATTCAATATTCAAAACAGAGGAAGAAAATAGCCATAAATAACCAAACAAGAAGATGCAAGAAAGAGGCAAAAGAGAGAGACACGGAACAGGAAGCCACGCAATAAACATGGCCTTTTCAGCTGTTGTTGCAACTGCTGTTGCTGCAACTGCTGTTGCTGCAACTGCTGCTGCAGCTTCAGACGCTGCTGCTGCTTCTGCAATGGAGAGCCACATAGGCGCCGTCCTCGAATAGCAAACCTACCGGTCGTTGCAGCAGCGGCTGCTTCTGCCTCAGGATTTTTCTGGAAAGGCCGCGCCTTAATCCGGTCTTGTAATTCCTAAGGAAAGAAAGAACGGAGATACTGCAAAATGTGGCATTTAGATAGCCTTAAACAACGTAAATATTTTCAACAAACTAAAAGAGATACACACAACAAAGCTGTAGATGTGCATCTAATAGTTGTGCTTATTTTTGTCTGTGCCTCTAATAAAATATCCTCTTTAACTTGTCTTTGCATCTCTACTAGCGTATATGTCTCCTGCAACTCACTTGTATTTGCCTATCAGTCTCTCTGTCCCTATCTTTGTTTCCTAAGATTGTGTACGTCTCTGTTTCTTTCCTTGTGTGTCTGCCCGTTTGTCTGTCTGTCTGTCTGTTTGTCTGTCTGTCTGTCTAGACTCATAAACATGGAGAGAGTCTTGTTTTATGTGTCTCAGTGTTGTGTGTGTGTGTGTGTGTGTGTGTGTGTGTGTGTGTGTGTGTGTGTGTGTGTGTGTTTCGGTGTGTGTGCGTGTTTGGGTGTGTGTTTGTGTTTATTTGCCGTTGTGGTGGGTTTGCGGTGTACATACAGCAAGTTGCTCGAGCTCTGCTTTGCGTTTTCTATCCGCAAGTTCTTCTTTTTCTTTAAGTTTTTCCTCCCGTAGTTTCTGGTCTAAATCCCTCTGAAAAATATATTTTTTGTCACCCGCTTTTGGAATCGCTGCGGCGAAGCAAACACGCAAATGACTGCACTGTACAGACACCCCAGCCTCACAGTCAGCCAACACCCAGCCACCAAACAAAACAAACAACTCATTGAAAACAACAATCAATGACAGGAAGAAAACAAACGAAACACAACCGCACAAGGCACAACAACACCAAAGAACAGGCTAATGTTATACTCTACTTGTGCTTGTAGATAAAGATACATATGTGTATCTATAGTCATGCCCATGTTGACATATCTATATAAGTTTATATATAGATGTACAATTGTATATTGCATCAAACACACTTATACATATGCACATCCTACTTAACGTGCAGCAGCAAAAGCTCCTCCTTGCAAACTGCTGTCCATTGACAGAAGGCCACACACAGTTGACTGCCACCAGAGGAATTGAACTACGAGGTGGGTGGGAATATAAATTAAATGAACACATCTCTGCAATGAATAGTAATAGAATTATCTGAATAAGACTCATTGCGATAAATAAGGGAGAATATGTGCAGAAAAAATACGGAAATACGGAAGATTTGTTTTACCGTTTAACTGTTGCTTTTGCTTGGCGATGATTGCTCGAAGGGCATCCATCTTCGGATCGGGTAGATAAAATATACATAAAGAAAACAAATATCCAAAAACGAAGTAATACTTACAGAAGACGCAAACAGACACTTTACAAAAAAATGCCAAGTCAGAGTGCCTCTAAAGCAGGAAAGCCCGCCCTATCAAGGAAAGGCAGGCAAACCCCCATCTGCCCGTAAAGCGCATGATCCACCCTTTATCACAAGAAATCAGAATGAAGAGGAAAAGGAAAACAAATGAATGCAAATTTGTTCCTGTAGTATGCGGAAGGCCTGGATGTACAGGTACACCGCAGATTCCGCAAGTCCGAAAAAACCAAAAACTGCAAAAAGTAGCTCAAAAAGTAAACCAAATTGGTAAAATTTATGCAAAAACAGTAAACAACTAAACAGTTCGCAAAAAATCTCTGCAAGAATTGCCTCCCAAGGCAGCGCATGCAGCCCCAAGACTGTCTGGCTTATTACGTAGTTTACTTCCCGCAAGGGGGGGAGTGCAGAGGGATGTGCAAACTTAATGAATAGTTAACCATTTTTTATTGGATTTTACGTTTTATGTCCTTCGACCCTAATGGAACGCATTCTTGCGTTTTGTGCCTGTCTGGTTAGCACAGTTCGTGTGTGAGGCAGCTCTGCCTTAAACATGCTATTCAAACAACTAAGCAGAAAACAAAGCTCATCAAGAGGAATAACAGGCAACATATTTAACATAGCGTTGCCTTAATTGGACGTTGGCTGCGTTTTTAAGAGGCATCTACTGTTTAGGGTATAGGGTCAAAGTTAATCTGTTTCGCGGTTGAGCAGGCAGCTGTCGCTCCGTAACTCTCGTTCTTTCCTCTGGTTTCTTTCTATGTTCGCCTTTTTGCAGTATGCAATTGTGTTTGTCAGTCTTTCCGTGGATACATTTCCCGAAAATTAACTATGTAACGCTCATGCGCAATACTTAGTATCACAAAAGGGCTTTGATCGCACGTGCGTGGCACAGCGTCTACTGCCCCCCTCCTGCTGGCAGAAGTGGCATAAAAACGGGGTTAAGGTTCTCGGGTATCCACTACATAAGCCGTACAAAAGCGCAAATAGATTAAAGCTTATCTCGTGCAGCGAATTAGCTCTGGCAGTCACCAGCAGCCGTCGAGAGTCAATCCCTGTGGCATTCTCCCCAGGTGTATAGGCAACTTCCAAACAAGCGATGCGAACTGTATGCCTGTTCCTTTAGCCCCATCCGAAGGATTTGAGCAAAAACCGTGTGTCTTGTGCCTTACGTTCCCTAGGGCACGAATAAATTGTTCTCCCCCAGCTGGAAAATGCAGCGCGTCCTGCTGACGGGAAGCTGGAATGTCTGCACATATAAGTTACATAAGTTTCACAAAGGAAATTGGGTGTTGCGTGTAGCAATGTCCATCGCGACCGTACGCAGCCAATAACTGTGTAGGGCCAGTGAACAGGAATTCGCCCATGTGATTGTCTCATTTACTTTTGGGTTCACTTTGAGCTGGGTTTCGCACCAAGGCCGCTGTCACTGCTGCCACCTACTGAAGGGAAATACCTGAGTTACAGCAACAAGAGACTAGTATAAATTCCTGTCCATTTTCGCGAAGTGTGATTGTGCCTCTCACTGCAGTCCCCTCCATTATGAAATAGGTGGACTAGAGTCCTTGGAACAAATATAAATTCTAACTTCCTGGCAGCATCAAAAGAACCATTTTCTGGGTATTACAATTTGAAGAGTACAGACACTTGCCAAGCTGCGTCTTTCACTCTCTGCCAGAGCAAGACACCGCTCCAGCAGACAGTGTTGGATAAGGTACTAGGCAGCAGCAGGAACCTATGGGCGAACCAGGAAATACGGAGACGATCGATTTTATGTAACGCGTGCAGACATAAGATAGCCTTTACAAAATACATCAACGGTGGAGGCAACGGGTAAGCGCTAAAGCCCCCTTCTGTTCTCCCCCACGTAGTTGGAGGTGTCCGGCTTGCGAGTTAGCCAGTTACCAAATGGCCAGCTATCCAGGTAGCTCGCTATCCAGCTAGCGGACCGTAAGCTAGTTCACGATCCAGCTAGCGGATTGTTCAGCTAGCTCGCTTTCCAGTTTCGTCGCTAGCTCGCTTCCGAGCTAGCCGTTTTTCCTTGTTGGCGAGCCGCCTGGCCTGCCGACTGGGAAGCCTTTGTTCAGGTGCTGGGCGGCCGCGTTCTCGCCACCTTCTTCTTTTGGAGGAGGAGGCGGATCTCAGGAAAGGAGACTCCCACGAGAATGGAGCTGCAGCCCCACTCTTCTTTGTGATAATTGCCTCAGAGAGTAGCAGTGCCACATCGATGGCAGCTCCCAATGCCCGACGCACTCCACCTGCCTCTCCGCAGGTCGCCTGTTGGCATCTAAAGGATCTTTCTTCTCCTTTATTCTGGGACTCGCTCTCTTGTACCTCCTCACGGGGCAAATCCGCCGAACTTGAGGGTTCGCTACCGCTACCGCTTTTGCTACTGCTGCTGCTACTGCTGCTGCCTAAGGGAGCGTCCGTTTGTTCTTTCTTCCTACCGCCATCCCACCGCAACAGGCGATTCAGCCGGTCCTCTTCTGCCCGGATAAACCACGGCGTTGCCAGATTTTCTGCGGGAGCTCCGCAAGACTCTGCAGGCTCTGACGATGACGCCTCGGTCTGTCCTTCGGCGTCGGTGCTAGAGGCAAAAAGAAAAGAGCGAATGGAATCCAAAAGCTCCCTATTACGTGCGTTACGCTCAGCAGCCACAACTGCAGCTGCCTCCTTCGGCAGCAAAACCCCTGCAACCATCGGCTCCACTGATCGTCTAGGGTTTGCCCAGTTGACACGACGGCTCTGCTGCGCCCAGCTCACCTTCCTTCCTCGCCAGGGCTGGAGGCCGCGAGCGCTGCTCCACCAAGGAAAGGGGGAGGCGGCCAGGGCTGCTTCAGGAGGCGGCAAAGAGAATCCCTCAGAAGCAGCAGCGGCCACACGCTCTGGAGGCGCTACTGCAATCACCGCGTCCACCAACAGCTCCCGCAATTGCGCGTGCAGACGCCCCAAATCTGCTGCAGACATCGTCGAGAGGACTTTTGCAGAGGGAACCGACTTCAGCGCAGCCCTCACAGCCGTTATACAATCTTTGGATGGTTCATTTCCCGCTTCGCTCCAACTGCCCACTGTTGCCAAGGCTTGAACAGGGGCTTCGTTAGCGGTCGCCTGAGCAGGCGCTGGCTCCAAAGCCTCTTCCTTAGAGTCGGGAGCATGCCCTTCCCCTATTTTATGATCAAAGATCTCCCGTCTTTGTGTCTGGAGCACGCTTCGTACTTCCTTGGCCCGCCTCTTGCACTGTACGTGCCGCGTATACAACCACTTGTGCATCAGCTGGTCACGGTGGTTCCTTCTTGCCGCAAAAAAAACACGCTTTACGGGCAAATTCGAAAACTGCCATCCTTCATCCCTCCGGTGCCTACGAAGGCGACGACGATACAGCGCCGAAGGCCTCAGAGAAACAAACTGGGGGCCGGGGAAGCCTGGAATGAGTCGCGTTCCGCGGGGCTGATGCTGCATTGGAGATCTGATGGCGGTACTATCCAAAGGGAATGAGTGATGAATGGGATAGCCTCCTTCTAATTCAGTGTCTACGTCAGTCTCGTCGTCTTGCTGCTGATATTTACCTGCTTCCTCCGAGGTGCCCGCAGAGTCTGCGCTGATTGATGCTGCCAACAGAGGAGGCAGAGGGCGGATTCCAGGCTGCCATGAGCTCGAAAGACCGGGAGTATGTGCATGCAGGGAAAACGCTGAAACCAACGAATCTGTAAGCTTGACAGAATGAAGAAGAAGACCTGCTAAGGTTATGAATAGGGCCTTTTGCCTAGACATGCCTCCGGAACCCAAACATATCTCCTGCCGCATCTGCGGGTCGGAAGACAACCACAGGCACGCTCGACCCATGTTCGCCTAGCGGCACAACCGTACCATCATGGCCTGAACAGCCGCCTTTCCATTTTGTGGAGTAAAGGTTACTCTATCGACGGAACCGATTTTACGATTGGGCAAACCCATGCAGCTGAGACTCTAGAAGGCGAAGTTGTTAGCGACTCCGACATGTCCTGTTGGGTAATATCATGGCATCTTTTGCAATTATGGCAAAATCTTTAAGGGTCAAAGTAAAAAAAGTGACTCTCTAAAAGTTCCCTAACTGTGCGTACACCCCCCGCCAAGTAGGTGTTGAATTTGACGCATTACACGTGCCAAGCTGGTTTGCAGCTAGAACTTTCAAGAGTTTTTCATACATAATTATATTCATTTCATGCATTTCTTCATTGCTGCGCATGCACCGGTCTTTTTGCAAGGGCTGCGGCCGCGCGGTACGCAAGGCCCTCATTCAAGCTGGTTTTCGCTGCTTTCAGCTCCGAGTGGCCAACAGAAGCCAATTGCGCCATTTTTGTATAGAGCGTCGTAAAACATTTTCATTTGTACTGACATTTCTACGGATTGGAGAAATTTTGATTGGCTAGGCCTTCGGCTGGCTGTGGTCGCTGCCTTGTGGCGCCTTTGATCGCCGGCAACCAAAAGCCAACTTCTGCAGTGTTTTATTGCCTTTTTCGCTGCATATTGAAGAACTTTAACTTGTTCCAGCCTTTCGACTTCCTCTGTTGCCCCCGAAAACCGTCTCTTGATCACGGTCGCACGTGGCCGTTGTTCCATTATCGCCTACGGGAAACTCCCACTCCTTAACCCAATAATTCAAATCCAAGGATTTTTGGATTGCGTAGTTTTGGCACAAAGTGTATGTAAAGCAGCGTGCTTGCTGTTTCGAGGCCGATTGTCGCTTAATGTGCGGCATAAGCGGCATCCGTCCTATACAGCGGGCACGCATGTGCATTTCACTGTGATATGTTGGCAACCGGCGGCCCTGCAATATAAAAGAGCGACCATGCTGCTAGTAACCTAGTGTGCATGGATATCTCGCGACGAAGACTTGGCCTTACCACTCCTTTAGCGCAGTCCGTTGTGCCGGCTCTCTCCGCTGGAGCTGTTTTTCGAGCTCCCCATGGCAATCTTGCGAGTGACTCCATCGCAGTTTTCACTTGGTTTAGATTATAATTTGACGTGTTCTTTCAGTTCCAAGGTAAAACAAGCTAAAGCGGCTTGTGCCCTGCCTACCAACCCTTTGAAGTAAACTGCTCTTCGCCGAGACAACACTTACTCGCGCATTCGCGAGGTGAAAGGACGCGGCCAGCAAGCCAAAGGAAATGGGGGCTTTGAACAGCTGTTTCTCCAGCACAGTTCGACTCTGTTGCACAAAGAAGGTCCATCAGATCCGCGTCGCCGGCCCGGCCCAAGCAGGGAAAACATCCATAATCAAATGGATGAAGTACAAGAGCTTCTTCAAGCTGGCACCCACAGAGGGTACTTTGTTTCTTTTCATCCCATAGTTCACTCTTGAACAACAACTGTCTCACGGGGAGCTGCTTCGGTTTATACGTTGTTTGGATGTGACAAGTGCCAGATGTGTGTCCGCGTCAGCTGTAGCCGACTGTTGAAGGCATATATCAAACCTTTTCAGCGTCTTTTCTGCACGCAACGCATTTCTTTCCTTGTTATGATGCGGCTTAGGACTGGAAGTCGACCGGATCGACTATCCAGACACTGCACTCATTATGTGGGACACCCGGCAGCACTTTGAAGACATGGTTCGTCCTTTTAGGCTGTTCTCCCTTTGAAGCGATTAATATAACGAAACATACAGACGGAAGCGCTGACTTCCTGCATTATATGCAGTCGGCTTAAACAAATAGCTGATCAACACTGCACCGTGGAGAGATGGCGTTGTTGCGTCCGTTCGTTTGCTGAAACGGTCATGTAGTTGTTTCTGTGAACTCTTGTATTTTGAGCTTCAGGTGCGACCCCATCAACTGGATATTCGCTGCATCATTTTCGTGGTGGACAGTGCAGATCCAGGTCGTCTTCGAGTGGGTAAGTCGGTCAGTTTGCCTCTTTTACCTCAGAAACACATAGAAAAGTGTTCAGGCTGACACTAGGGTACGTGATAACCCTTTATCGCTCGCTTTTGATGATTTTTCTTGCTCTGCAGCCAACCGCTCACTCGATCGCTTGCTGCGGGATTTGCCCAACGCAAATATTCTTCTCGTCTTCGCGACAAAGCAGGACAGACCGGGGGCACTATCTGTAGCGGAAATACAGCATCAATTGAAGCTGCATCAGCTTGTTGACAAGGAGTGGTGTGTATTACTTCACCTACATTCTAAGCCCTAAACGGAAAAAGTAGACTTTTGTTTCCTTCTGCACAGGCACACTTTGCCTGATCGCTCTTTGCGCCTCCATTTCTGTACCTGTATGCAGCGGCGTCTTCGCCTGCAGTGCCAAGACGGGCGAAGGCATAGAGGAAGGCATTTCGTGGCTCATCAGGCAACTGAAGCAACAAGACGGTGCATCTTGTGCATGCGATGCCGATCAGTCTATCCCGTGCTTCTTGCAGCAGCTGTCGGTTTGAGCTGAACCCTCCCAGCATTCTTTAGGGGGAATCGAGAAAGCAGGTAGCAGAAGAAGCACAACAATAGGATCAAACACGGAGCCATTTTCTTCATTGCTTTGCCCAGGAAACATCCTGCCCGCCGTCCGGAGCTGTCCTCCATTTAGGCAATGCGGCGAAGGTCTCTCGTGTCGTTAGGTTTCTCTCTTTAATGCCAGTGTGCGCACTGCAGTTAGCGAGTTTTGTCCAATGTTCATTTGGGGTCTAAGAACCCGTCTAGGCGACCATTTGCAAGAGCAGCAACAGCTGCAGCTGCAACAGCTAGCGCAAATGACTGCTGCAGCAAGACTGCCTAGTCGTGCAGATGATTCAGAGGCAGCGACGGGGAAGCTGCTAGGTAGTTGCGTTCAGCCTCTGCACGGTCCTGTCCCGTGGCGGTGCCGCAGTTGAATGCATGCCGTCAACGTGCATGAGCATGCATCCGTATGCACCTGCTCCGGCTTGTGTTTGGAGGGCGTCCCCTGCGTGCTCCAGTCTTGCAGCGGGGACGCTGTTCTTTACAATTTATCGCTAAAGGTCATTTTTTTCGTCCTTTGGCTTTTCTTCATCGTTGAACTTTTGGCGCTCAGCCCGCAGCCCTTTGCTGCTCACTTTGCAACTGCCCAAGCGGTAAAACATTTGAGACCAGGGAAAAGTGTAAAAAGGATGAGGGATATATCACCTCAAATTGTAAACACTATCAATATTTATAAAGTTACCAATGCTAGTAGACAAATAACAGTATGAAGGCTGAGCAGCCAGCAGAGGGGGATGGCACTGCGCATGCTGTTGCATACACCTCAGCTAATCAATAACTGCCGGGGTCCAAAAAGGCCGAAAAAGGGGAAAATGGCAGTACAGCGGAGGCTGCGAAAAAACAGGAGGCTGTCGCCCTGGTGCGGCATGGGCAAAGCATGCATGTGTGCAGCCACGGTTGCGTTTCTTGCTGTGTTTAAAGACACGCAAATTTCTGTCGCAGTTCAAAGGCTCCCCAATCAGTTGCTGGCCGCCGGGGGGTTCGGGCTCGGCGGCGAAGTTGGAGGCGCCTCTGCCACTGTCCAGGCAACAAACACACAACGCCAAAAACGCAGACTCCTTGAGGCCTAAATCGTATGTGTGAAGTACGGATAGGTTGCTAAAGCACATACACATATATATACACATAATGCATGCTACAAATATAATACATACGCAGGCAAAGTGCGCGAACCACAGACAACCGTGCAACTCCTGCACTGCAAATGATTACCGCATAAAGGTCTGGGTGCCCTCTCGCACTGCGTGGAAATGAATATGATCAAAACTTCAGTTAGACAGAAGGACTATTGTGTGTGTCCTCGGTAGATGTGCATTGCGACGGCAGCTATTTAGGAGCATCCTTAGAGAGGAACAGAGAAGGCGAAAACCTCACAGCTTCTGTCAACGGCCCTGAAGACCCCCAAAGCCTGGCCGAGCAGTCGCGAAGGGTTGGCGGCGTCTGCGGGAACAATGAGCGTATTGCTGCCTTCCGCCAGTCTGCCGAAGGCAGCTACATAGTTCTCAGCGAGCTGCAAACTCAGTGCTTGCATGCCTCCTGTAAGCAGGTAGTATGGACAGACGAACACAGCATGCACGTCAATGCAGTGACCATGAATTACACACCAAAGCGGTTCACGGTTGCTACTGTCACGTGAAATTAATGGCAAGCAGGGTGGATGTGGCTCTGCCCTGCATTTCTTCCGAGCACGAAAGCAACTTTTCGCAAAAGAAGCCATACTTGAATACGCTAAGAAGGAAGCAACGAGCAGCCGAAGGAAGCAACAAACAAGGAATGCTAGTCAAGCACAGCTGCATGCGCACCTGGAATGCTAGTTGTGTCGGCTATCTTTCGTACACTCTCCGCTGCTGCCGCTGCCCGTTGTCTAACGGCCTCTGCCTGTCCCTCAGCATTCAAAATTGTGGCTTCCTTCTGCCCCAAAGCTATGTTCACAAGCCGTGCCCTCTCGCCTTCGCTTCGCAGCACTTCAGCCCTTTTTAGTCGCTCCGCCTCGGCCTATTTCACAGAACACAGGAGCAGCAGCAGCAGCAGCAGTAGCAGTAGAGGCACTAGCTACGCGGGGGGCATGCAAGAAACGAACCCACGCATCCAAGACAAACGAAACAACCTTCGCGTAGCCAGCAAAAGAGTACTTCACAAACAGCGAATAGTACGACTCCTGTCACGATAGAGGAAGAAGCTCCTCTAAATATCAGAAGAACTGGTAGCAAAAACTGCTATCGTGCGCTTCCAGATATCGATGGGAATCCCCTTTGAGCTTTCTCTCTCAAGCGCGTTTTGTCTGTGTGCGCTGAAACAGGCACTGGAGAAAAAACGACCGGCAAGCGTGGTCTCTATTTCACTGTCTGTAGCAAGCTCTAGATATAGATAAGCGATCTACATCAGCGTTGGACTGCTGCAGCTGGGCACTGAAGATACCGGAGGAGGCGAATAAAAAACAGACAAGAACGTGACAGAAAAATCCATAAAACCGCAATGGAAAGGTCTGCAAAGACATTTACAAGGGAGATACCGCTCCCCGGAAACAAAAGAAGAAGGACGAAAGAAACGGAAACAAATGCAACGCCGACAGAAGAAAGCAGGGAGGAAATCCCTACCTGTCGCTCCATCGCACTTCTAATGTTCGCTGGCAAGAGGATGTCACGAATTTCATAACGGAGGCATGTCAACCCCCACGGCCCCGCTGCGGTATTTATTGCCTGAACAGAAGACAAAACAGAACACACGACGAGACATCGATATCCACTGTTTTGCTTGCGTCATTCTCAAAACATATTGGTGTAACAACACTCGGGGGGATACTGAAGCACTTGTTCCGCATTCAATAGGAGATAAGGCATAGACTCGCTGACACACACAGACACAGATCAACACCAATATCCAAGCACATGTAAACCTGTATGCATGCGGAGCATTGGCTACTTTGGGTGCAAATACACTGACCACACAAACACAGAAAGGATGTGGAGTCGAAAGCAGCCGACGGGCAAAGCGGAAGCTTTTGTCTTATAAACTCAGCACAAGTGAATAGCAGATTTCGGTTTCTCACTTCTACAATTGTCTTGTTAAGAGCATTTCTCTCGAGGAATGTGTTATCCAGAGTCAGCTTCCCCAGTTCAGATCGCATAGTTGTTTGGGCCAGCTGGGTGACGGCGAAAATGGGGTTTTCAACTCCGTAAGACGCCTAAAAGACATGGAAAAGATCGAAATGTGGGAACACAAGCTTCACGAAAGGACTATCAGCGGTGCATAGAACAGTAGACAGTTGTATTTGTCGAGTGAAGGAGGTCTTTTTCTGCTCCGTGGGCATGTCTGCAAACTGGGGTTTTGTGTCGGTGTGCCTGGTACATCTGCCTTCCTGTGGGTGTAGGTCGTTAGCAGGTAAATTAGATGACGCCAACCAGGAGGGCAAATAAGTCAACCCACTTTGTAGGCATCTTTTATTTGCACGTACAGGACTCCGTCAATCTGTAAAGTGACCTGGACGTACACTCGAGCAGACAGCGAATTCAAAATTAATGGCTCTCCTTTGCCAGCAACCAAGGAAGCAAACATCTCCAAGCATACGTTTGTCAATGAACATGAAAAAGGCTGCGGCGGAAGCACCGCAAGAAAAAACTCTGTTGGTGTTTATGGTTGCGGTGCACTTTTGTAGGAGCCCACATTGTCGCGCGTAATGGCTGTTTGGTTGGGAATTGTAAGAGCCTCCTCCTTCAGCGAATGTATGTACGCCAGTCTGTCTACCAAAGGGATCAAAAAGTGCAGACCTGGGGTAAGCACGCGATGGAAACGGCCAAACCTGGAGCAAATTTCATCAACATAAACAGCACACACAGTGTTGGACGGAAAACTGTATAACGTCAAATGCTCTTTCGATAGCCAACAATACTACATTACTGTGGGAGAAATATTTCGCTTCGGATGAGGCAATTGTTTCTCTGACCCTCGTGCTCTTCCTACCCATGTCGTGCTACTGTCGTTCACATACATGGAGAGAGTGACTCCCTATTTGCCCCCAATATGTTTCCTTCGAAAAGCAACTGAACTGTCTATGAGAAATAGTGAGTGTGAGCAAGGCATAGCAGGACTGTGTTTGGTCGCATAGGCGAAGACGGCTACTCATATGTCGCAGCTTTAGCTGGCACAACGCCCAAAACCCCGATAAGTTTCTCACCTCTCCACCACATAAGCCATCTGATGAGGCACTGAAATAAATCCGAAATGATTCCGAGCAAAAAATGAATCTGGCACTCTCCTGCTGGTGCTCGAGCTGAAGCTGCGTGACCTTGTATTCAATGGCGTGTGTAACTTCCTGAGGAGTGATGCAGAATTCCCATGTAGTCCGTCATTCAGTTTTATCGTGTTTGCCATCGCCATGTTATTTTGGCGAGAATGCCCTTGGTCTGGGGAGGCGGAAGACACAAAGCCTGCCTTCCCATGTGTATGAACATTGCGGTGCCCATTTGAACCTGAAGTGGCCAGCAGAAGGTTTCTGCTGACGTGCAGCCGGTGAATAGTCTCAGAGAGCCACCTCCTTTCTAAAGAGGATGCAGAAAAACCCAGAGGAGATGCTGTAGTGGAAAGGGCTGCTCCTTTGAAGCCCCCCAAGCGAATCATTGCCCACCGCCGCTGTGGATTTCGTGGTGCTGCCCCTAAACACCAGCTACAGCCTTGTTGCTGCCTTTATCAAGCGCTTAAAGACTGCAAATGCTAGACACAGAAGACAGAGAGAGTTTACACTCTTCACATGACACCAGAGCAGGCGCAGCTCAAGGGGGGGCCCCGCATCGACAGAAGCCCGCGAGTGTACTTCGACTACGGAGATAAACAGTAGACGGATCTGCTTTGTTCGTGTTCTTAATAAATGTAATGGTGTCCTGAGCTGCGAGGTTTCCCCTAAGTCATTCACATTCGCGTTAGCTTTGTGGGGGGCCCTCGGGCGGTAAGCAGCATACGCTCGTTTCGGGCGACCCATTCCAATGCACCATGGTTTGCTATAAAATGACACTTTGAGGGGAATGCCGTTTGTTTCACCTTAGAAGACATAGATGCATTCAGGGGAAGATAATGGAATGGTACTGTGCGTAACTTATTTGTGGGACCCGCCATCAGCGAAATACACAGGTCCCGACGAAGATAGACATTACACAACTAATAATTGCCTGCGGGATGAAGTACTTGCAAAATTTGTATTGTTACCAAATGAAGCGGAGTCCATATTGTCGCCTGCGCCCCTAGCTAGGAGAACACCGCTAACTCTAGCGTGCTCTCCTACCTGAGGAAAGGACGACAGTCTTCCCTGATTGTATTCAGCCACAAATTGCAATTGCTTCTGCTCTGCGATCAAATACGGCGGCTGTCCAACTGGCATCCACCTCTGCCTTTGAACTAGCCATTTTAAGCTCGTCTGTGCCTCCTGATATGTGGTTGATGCTTTGTCTGATGCTGATGCGCCTACCGTTGTCTCTTAGAAGTTGCTACAGTCTTCCTACTTGATGCTGTGAACAAGGCAACGGTTCAACAATTTACCGCAGTGTTGATGTGTGCAGAAACAGAATGGGTTGGGTGCAGGTGTTACTGCCGTGCTGCGCGGGTAACAGCGATGTTCAGTGAGTAAGTAACGGCCTCTTCTTGCTGCTCCAGATTGCGGTGCTTCTGTCGAGTCATCGGTTACCTCCTCAGCATTCCAGAATTCTGGCTCTGCTGCTGATGAATGTTGAATAGAAGGCAACACTTGCCCTGAATGCCACCAGCTACAGCAGACAATTAGCTAGACGACACCGAGGTCCTCGACACACTCTTAGTGGCTAGCATGGGCTACAGTAAATGGGACTACGTATAGTACCCTGGTGACTGACACGCCGAGTGGGTTTATGAGGATCGCTAGTGCTCAACGATTCCAGAAGAGCATGCGAGTGCCCGCTTGGGGACGACGATTACAAAGGTGGGGTGCACACGGCACGGGGTACAATACATTGTAAACAACTGCCGATTCATAATGTTGTTATGCTCGCTGGAACCAACTAATTGTTGTGGTGCTTCCTACGTTCCTGTGTCCCCCTATGGCTAGCTCAGTGGAGTATAGGCAGCTTCCCGTTTGCAGTTTCAACCCAACCTTTGTGCCTTGCCAGACACCTTTCAGTTTCCCTGTCTCATGGCTCTGGGAAGCGGTGGCAAGCAAACACATACTTTTACTTTGGTTGGTGTGCCCTTACAAAAGCCTGTTCCCATATCCAGCGCACTGCAGAGAGAGCAGCATTGACCAGTGGCAGGCTCAAGTTAGCGCAAGCAGTGGGGGTGAAACAAAGTGCAACAACACAATCTGCAAGAATGAAAGCAAATGCAACCTTTTTCTCAGAAGCAAAACAAAGTCTGGAGTAGCAAACGCACCTTGTGGTGCGCATTTTGGAGGCGAAATAACGGCTGCAAAAAGGAACCAAAATTTCCCATTGCCCCCAAGCCGCAGCGACATTTATATCTGGGAAGTCGAGATGGGTGATGACAGTGCCCGCGAGTTGTTCTTGCCTGAACAATTGCCTTTTGGAAAACAAGCTGCCGGTAATGAATTGTGAAAACACTGATAGTTGGACGAGACGCAAGTGCTACATTTGTCTTTCTGCCATAAAGCGCCCCGACGTTTGTTCCCTTCCCACTGGGGGAAACACGCTGATCAACATCTATTATGGGAGAGGAGAAAAGGGACTGAATTCCTGATAAATTCCTACTTGCATACGAGCAAACGTACACGTAGCAACTTCAGGTAGAGCATGCTACGCACAACCCTGAACATATGCACCTACTTTCGGCAGCCGCAACTACAGGGAAAAAATGCATGGGTCACGTTAAGAGCAAACTAAGCTACGCTTTAATTGAAATGATGAACTTTCGTAGGGAATACTGATAGCGAAGCAGCAGCGGTGCTCAGCATAGCTGAGTGGGACTCCTTGTTAGGTTTTGAGTCGAAATCAACCCAGATATAGGAGTTGGACCACTTCTTCCTCCATAATGAGAGACCCAACCGTTAGTGCGCTTTAAATCAAGAAAAACGGTTTGCACGTAGTCACGGATTGCGAGTGAACACGCACGAAGAGCACTCTCATGGGCAACGACTCCCGGGTTGTCGAGATTTGATATAAATGCTTTCCATGGACTTGTGATGTTGACAGGAAGGAGCGTTTTCAATACACGCACAACCACACCACCTCACAAGCCCGCTCGCTGCAGCCGCCTTGTGACCACTGAAGTGTGCGAGTTCAATTCGGCAGTAAGTTCCGGCGGCGCAGAGTACGGGGTTTTCACTTAGTTACTTCCACTTGTTTCCATAATTTATTCGCCAAATATACCTAAGTCCTTATTGAACACAATTTCAGGTTGCCACTGTCGTGTGCAGCGGCCTCGTGCACCATCGGACAACTGCTGCCGATCAGTGGGTTGCTGCGGTGATCGAGTTGACCAATTGCATTCCGGGGAGCACATTTAGATGTCAAGGTATGGTTTATCATAAGAACTAGTAAATAATATGGCGGCTGTCCTTTGCTGACAGCTGTTATGTATTGCGGCCTAGCGGGCCTTCGACATGGCAGGTAGAAGGTGTACCACATGATGGGTTTCGACAATTAGCCGTGGAGAGCAAAACCAGGAGCAAGATATTTGCTATTTACAGCCACGCCCTAGAGATATTTCTCTTCAGTGCACGCAACCGAAGATGAATTTTGCAGCGACGCTCGCTCGGGGCCTCTTCCCTGGCTCCGAAGTTGAAGGCCGGCCGGCTTCCGAGTCAGCTAACCCCGCTAATCTCGGGGAGGCTGAAGGAGGCTCTTTGGAGGACCAAGAGCTGACTCAGGAGGAGGAGTCGCCTGTCTCTGCAGAAAAGGAAATGCTGCCCATTGGCGACGCTGTGCCGGAGGGGGAGCATGTGCGCACTCTTCGAGTGTACAGCAAAAGCTCATCACCCTCACCAACAGCACCAGTATCAGCAAAAACATGTCCAGACTTAAGCTCAACTGCCGCGGGAGTTCCTGACGAGGAGAGGAGAGCGGAATCGGGCTGTCGGGAAGTTCAGGTTCTGCGGGTATTTCGCGAGCCCGATGTTATGATAGCCCCAAATTTGATCACAAAAGAGCAGTGCCTTCACCTTTTGAACCTCTCCGAGGGGAAGTGGACTCGCAGCAAAACAAGTATAGGGATGACTTCCGCACCCCAGGTACGCATGTCGGTGTCCTTACCAATAGTAATTTTGCGGCTACCCTTGTGGGCGGTGCTGCCGCGGTTTCAAGCCAAACAATGGTTCATTTGCATTCCGAACCTTATGAAACATGTGAATATATGCTTTGCAAATTTAACACGTTGGCGGTAGCTTTGTTTGTGTTGTCGGACGGCCGTGCGTGTGTGATGCTACTCCCACCTGGTTAGGTTGTGTAAGGTTATTTTCGTTTGTGCCCCGTTTGAAGCCAGGGGGTTCATTAGTGTCGTAGCCACTGTGAGTTATATATGTCTACTGCATTCTGGGGATGCAGCTGCATAGAGCGTGTGCGTGACTGCATGCGCCTTCATCTACGTTCAGACTGCATACAAGACGACGGAAAGCCAGACACGAACATCATACTCAGTGATGCTCGAGGAGGCGCAGACACCCGGTGTGGTGTCTGTTGAGCTGTTGGCTTGTGCTCTAGCTCGGCTGCCTCTGCAACACCTCGAGTCTCTTGTTCTCGTGAGATATGCTGAGGGGGAGTACTTCGCAGAGCATCACGACGGCGGCTTCAGGCCGAAGACAGTTCTCCTCTATCTTAACGGTGAATTTCTCTGCTCCGCAGTGGCCTCTGCACGCTCTCCATATCATAAGCACGACTCCTGTTCCTCTATTGCGCGGTCTTTACAATGAAATAATAATGTTGTCTTGTGTACTATAATATATGCAAATGTATGCCTACGTAACTTACGACCCTTACCCTCCTCCTATATAATATAGCGGCACCCGCTTTGGGGACACATTTTTTCTGTAGAATATCCAGTGATTGTAGTATATCTGCCTGTATTTGACATTCAGACGTCGAAGATGGAGGCTACACGCATTTCACACGTCTTGGCCTGAAGATTGCACCTTCCCAGGGCAGTGGGGCGGTGTGGAGCAATGTGACACCTGGTGGTCAGATGGACTTCCGCACTTTGCATGCCGGAGTGGCTCCTACAAAAGGCACAAAGTATGTCGTAAATTGTTTCTTCAATGAGGCAGTTGTCAGACACGAAAGACCACCGGCCCCTTTGCCCCTTGAGCCACCACAGGGCATCCAGAACGCCGTGCAACATCCTACAGGTGCAGTTCCTCTCCAGCCAGGCCAGAGTGAAAAGGACACTGCGCAACGTGACATAGCCAGCGGACGGTATCACGCTTACGCTGAACATGCACAGCTGCAGCAACGGCAGCAGCAGCTGGGGGAGGGTAGCCAAATTGGGGAGTCTCAGCACCGTCAAATTTGGGGGGCTCCTAGCACCGACGGACTGGGGAAGAAGCTGACAGCATGCCCATCTGGTTTTTTTCCGATGCCTCAGCAGCTGTGGCAGCAGCACCAGGTGTCTCACCTAAGCATCTGCAACCCTGCAGGGGTGATAGGCGACGGTGTCAAGCTACCCGTGCCTCCCTTCGGGTTTCCCGTCACAGCCACCGGCTCTCCACCTGCTGGCTGGCATACGCATGCACCTGGGGGTTTGCCTCTAGATCGGCGATGGGTATGATGTCTTAAGGCATTGATAGCCACCAAAGTGCAAAGGGGAGAGCAATTCGTAGATAAACGACGAAGTGAGACCTCTTCAGGAGAAGCCAGGGCCACCGCCGCGGGCTGCAGCAGACCCTGTACGTTGTCCCGCACAATGGTGTCTGTCGCAAATCAGTGCCATAGCGCTTCCACTTCTTAGGAACTTCACTGCAGCCACCAAAACGAGCACTAGGCATATTCTGTGCTGTGTTGATGACGCGCCGTCACTCCGTGTGTCACGCTGGGCCGTGTTCGGTTTTGAGGCTTATAATGGCATAGACTGGTCCACACTCTGCAACAGCCGTTGTGAGCAGAATGTGTTCGACAGCTCACGGCTGCCTCAACAGGGTCTAGAAGTGGGCTGTAATAACCTGCTACACGCATAGCGCTCGCAGCAGCAACGGCCTATTCCGCACCAATCCGCCCAAGGACACGCAGGAACAGCTTCAAAAGAGACCCGAGTTTGCTTAGCTCATTTAAAGACGTGTTTGATTTCAGTTCAGAAGTAGCCCCCTTTGCAAGCTATGCAGACAGGAGGCAGAAACACAATCCAGAGGAACAGTTGGAGCAGGTGTTGCTTGGGCTTTCTTCGGCGTATGCTGAGCACTGGCATACCGTTGCCCGTCACTTTTCTCCCTTGCTCCAATCCATCAAATAAATATAGGTACTATCAATGAAGCTCAGCAGGGGGATGGGGTGAGGCTCTATAACCCAGCTGCAGCTTTTTTAGTCAGACTAGCACAGCTGGTAAAACGGGAACTCTAAACTGCAGACAAGCTAGTTGCCCTCGTCTTGTGGGGCACACCTTGCTGTTTTGGCATCCTCACACACATTAGGGGACCCCTGACCCTGTTTTACACTCCCATTGAGGCATGTACTTTGTCCTGGCTTGGAATCTAGCTGAGGCCTCAAGAGCGCCTCTGCTAGTTGCGTCGCGATAGGGGAAAAGCTTCTGAAAGCTGCGGCTCCCTCCGGCCTCCTCTACACACAATCAGAAGTAAAACAGATATGGCGGCCTAGATGCTTACAAGCAGTCACGATTGGAGCGAAAACCAGGCACAGGGGCATGCAAACAGCGGAAAAGATAATCGCATGCCAAGCGAAACAGGAACGACAATCAACTGTAGGTACAACTTAGCACGCAGAACACGACCTGCAGGGCAGAGTCGCAAGTGCGAAGCAGAAAGGGAAAAGTAGGGTTCATTGATAGGTTAGGAGACAGCACGCTGCGTGTCCTCTACCGTCATCTCAATTAACAGTCCTCTCAAGGCCTTCGTGTTGTCCAAGCTCTCAGTGGGAGCCAACGCAGCCAACCTGGGGCAGAAACAGCCACAGAGACAGGAGACAGAACAACGAATGCAATGCAGACAATGAAAGGAGGAGAGAAGGGAAAAAAGTACAGAACAGAAGGGAGTGACGGACGGCGGCGTAGGGAAGCATGGGCTAAAGAACCTGCGTGGACGTGAGCCTCTCTCCACAAAGTGAGCTGTTTACCCAACCACAAGAACAGGGCCTGCGCAGTACTTGGGCTTAGTGATGGTGACTGAAAGTACATTGTTTAGGTGTTATGCATGCGAGATGCACACTTGCAGTTCAATGAAAAAGTTAAGCGTGCGAAGTATCAGACTTGTGGCCCTTACCGTTGCATGCCGTAGATAAGAGGGTCAAGGGACACCTCGTAGCCGTCTAGTTCGACATAGAAGAGTACTAAAAACTTAACAAGTGAGTCACAGGTCGCCTGATGCATCTTGCGGACGCCTTCCCTTGCCAGCGCGTGCATGAGCGGCCTGCAGGAAACAGGTCCTCCACTCGTGTTTGGTGTGCATCCCCAGAGGCAAATGATGATGCTCACGCAACCGTGCGTACATCACAACGAATATAAATGTGCCCCATGCCGTGTTTGTGCAGGGTGATCTAGGATGCAACATAAGAGCCCAAGCACGTCCCGTCTCTGTCGTGTCTAGCTCTGGGGGAAGCACTGCGTTCTTGAGCTAGCCAGGATGAACCTGTTTTCTGACCTGTGCCATCTACGGCTCTTATCATGGGGGGATAGGCCCTCAGTCTGTTCCCTCTGTGCAAAATCGCAAACGCTTAGCGCCTCCATCAACTCAACCAAGAGACGCAGCGATATGCACGGTAAGCGGTAGAACACGGACAAGATTAGACGCCGAATGACGGGGTGCAACGGAGGCCTTGCACTCCTTTCAGACACTTCCCGGAGACCCTCTGAGTTTACGTTTTCGTTCTGGTCCTCTGAGTCACTGCAGTTTGCTGTATGCTGTGTCGGCGCTCCCGTTGCAGTGCCACTGGTGTCCACACGAACCACAGCGGGAGTCTGAGCAAAGCTACAGCTTTCTGGTGGCTCAGAATGCTGCTGCTGTTGCTGTTGCTGCTGTTCATGTTGCTGCTGTCGCTTAACGGAGGCTGTCGTTCCGAATATCATTTTGCTCGGTGGTCTGTGGGTTGGGGGTACAAGGGCCTTCAGGGAGGCCAAAATGCTCAACGTTGAAACACGAAATGCGGGATGCATAGCAAAAATAAAGGGACGGATTGCTGCCAGGCCAACGGCAACCGCAAGGAGGTAACAATGTGCGGCTGACCAAAAGGGAGAGCAGGGACTAAGACGCGCATCTCCCACAGATGCCCAAGGGTCGTCTTCACTAACTAGTCCAGCCCCGAAGGCCCCCACTCCATCTCCCTTCACACCAGCAGCATCAGTATCTACGGCGGCACAGCCTGCAACCCCAGAAGTGAAGGCTGCTGGAGCTGCCGGTGATGCTTCAGGCTCTTCTCCTGCAAGCCCTGAAAGCTGTTGAACTGCTGTAGCAGGAAGCATTCCCTGCAATAAACTGGCCTCAAGGGTCCGTACGGCAGCTGCGGCGACATGAGGTGGAAGCCCGGCCACCGGTTCTAGTGCTGCAGCAGCGGCAAGGAGGTCGCATGGCTCGTAAGGACCCATGCTTTTCAGGGGCTGGGAGCAGGCTTCCTCTATCAGCCTCCGCAGGCCTACAGGCCCGGCTCCAAGGCGTGTTAGACCGGAGACAGCCCCAAAAAGCAGCGGCAGCCGGCGCGCCGAAGGCACATGGCCCAGTACTGAAGGCTGCACGCAAATAGCGACAGGAGCAGCAGGAGACGGAAACATTCCTCGAAAGGAAAACCGGGGATGGAAGAGAGAAAAGGCCAGACATCCACATCGTGCCGGGTGTACACGGTATAATATGAATATGTGCACCGTGTAAATTTGAAGATATGCCACCCAGCTAATATTCTGGTGTTTGTCCTTACGACATGCTACACTTGCACTAGTTTAACTAGGTGCTAAGTCATAAAATACAACACTCCGTGGTATCTCCTGGAAAGTTCTCAAATGCGTAGGACACAAAAGGAACTAGGCCAACAGCCTCGGCAATCTAAAGATTCAACAGAAGCTGATAAGAAATAACTTGGCATCTTTTCATTTCGCTTTGAGAGTGAAGCTTGGCTTGGAGGCACTGGAGCTCAGCAGGAAACAGTCGACCAAGAGACAGACAACCCAACAAGCCACACCTCCTCGTTAAGCAGGTAAGGAGCCAACACTTCTACGAGACGGCGGAGTTGGGATCTTGTTGGAGTGTAGTTGAGGTTTGCCAAACCCTTCGTGCACATCACCAGCGCCTCTCCAGTTATTTCCGCCGCTGCCGGAGATAAGCGCCCTCTGAGAGGTAGTGCTCCTGCGTCCCTTAAGAGAGCTGCAGGGTCCTTTCTCTCTCCTAACGGCGTCCCCGCGTCTGCATCAAGTCTCTCCCTTTGTTTCTGTCGCTGTTGCCGGTACACAACCAGCTCAGAAACAGCACAATCAACCGTCTCCAGAAGTACGCAGAAAAGGGCCGAGTCTCGGAAGTCCGTCCGCCCTGAAGCAGTGCAGCAGGGTTAGCAGCAGGATCAACAACAGCAATGGACGCCGAAAACATTCAAATTGATTAACAGCAACACTGTATGCAACAGCCAAGGACGGCGGAAAATGAAACAAGAGGTATAGTGGACGAAGCAGAGACAAAGTGTCCTGAAGCCTGACCCTCTCAGCCGCTGGAACGCATCCCACTAGCTCTAGTTAGACACAGTCAGCTCGCAATGATACAGATGCAAGTAGCGGAATCCCCTCTAAACGCCGCTGCCAAGTGGAGAGGAAGACGTGGCCTACAACTTACCCAGCGCATGAAGAAGAAAACACGCTTGGAGAGGGGACAGCCATTCTTTCCTGTGGTTGGGTGCCTTTACCCAATGGCTACTACTATTGCTTTTGATTTTGTTGTTGAAGCCGCCGGTAGCTGTTTCAGCAACTTCGTGCACCTGCTGACCTTCCGGCTGCTGCGCAGCAGGGAGAGGCTCGAGTGCCTCCTGGCAGCATTGTTTCAGGACCCGCGCTGCTGCGGAAAAAAAGGGTAGGAATTGGGCTGTATAAATAGCCGAGAAGTCGGAGAGTAGCAGCTGCAAGTCCGCTGGCTTTAGCTGTGACACTCGGCGCTGCAGGGCTGCACACAGTGGGACCAGTACATCCCTCTCGGCCACCCCCGGAACAAGCTGAAAGACTCTCAGTAATCTGCGCAGCCAAACCCACAACAACCCAACACGGCACAGGCAATTAGGCGCAAACCCTCCATAGAGGCGAACACAAAGAATCCTGTCTGCCCCTCTGAACAGCTTCACCACCCCGTTTTTTCCCGCTGATATCCTCTCTTATTAAATATGGAGAGGCAGACAAAATGCGGCGACAGCGGAGACCCCATAGCAACAGAGGAGATGGCTACACGCTAAATACCCAATGAAAACGAGTACTGGAGGACACCTAAGAAGCCAGACACCGGATGGAGACCATGGAGGAGACAAGCAATGCAACAGACAGAGAGACATGCAACAGCAAGAACAACAGGACAACGTACAGAAAGACAACAGCAGGGGGCAGCAGCACGACGCTACCACCGACAGATAAAGCCGGGAACCTAGCGGCACCCGTAAGAGGCCGGGTACAGACGACAGTTGTCTCGGGAAACAAAAAGTTAATCTAGCAAACAAAAACTTTCCTGTGTAGCCTAAGGACGGAGAGGCGTCTTTCTGGTTGGCTGTGGAGCAGATAAGCAATGAGCTGGTGCAGCAGTCGCTCTGGAGGGTTCTTTCTAAGGGCTATGAAGTAGGCCAAGTCCGCTGCCTCAAAGGGAGACAGCTGCCCCTGCTGCTCCCAAACGCTTCGCAGCAGCAGCATTTGGCCTTGTCCACCTGTTTCTTGTTGTCGCCTCCGCCACTGCCCGGCGTCGCAGCTCCCAGAGGCAGAAGGGCTTCGTGATATGCCCTTAGAGACTACATGGGGGCCCCCTTTGCTTTCGATGGGGCCCGAAGTCCCAGAAGGGCCGACCCAAGCAGTCTTCTCTTGCTGAGCTTTGTACACATCCCACTGAGAAGCAGAGGCAAGCATCAGCAGCCACAGGGGTTATGCAAGCGCACGCAAAAGCCACATAGAACGGCATACAACCTTTTACTTTGTCTCTGCGGCCTTAACTCAACGCATTCTTGTAGCGTTGGGCTAGAGTGAAGACTACAGTTCAACAAAATTCGGTCCCTAGGAGAAATATGTAGAAGATAAAATCCGCGACACGTAAGCCTATTGGGTAACCAACTACAGGTGCCAAGCAGTTGGAAACAGAATTGCCCAGCAAATGCATGTACTTGCCTTGGCCTTGTAGATCAAGGCGGGAACTACGGGTGCCCCCGTCGATTTGTTCTTGGCCGGTTTCTGCCTGTTGCGGTCTTGGGGATGTGAATGGAAGAAACGCAAGGGGATACAGCTGCACTTGTTGAAGCAGTGGAGGCTCCTCTGTAGACTAGGTATTCCAAGCTCCACATTTATATGGCTCGTGTATGAAATACTCATGAGCCCATGTGGCATTAAGTGTTGTGGAGCAACGCAGAGAGGTCCCAATGCTCGGGTGGCGCCTGCATATCTGAAGCTGGGGTCAGGGGAAGCCACTTCCAGAGTGTGCTTGAGGCCTGATTGGGTGCGGATGAAAACCCGCAAAGGGCTCTTCAATCCTGTAGGCGGCATGGAGCAGTTACCGGCGCCGACGTATTACCGACAACGCTCGCGAAACCGGCAAACACGACGCAACGCATGCTTCATGCGATGCAAGGCAATGAGCGTCTTCTTCCGCTCATCATTTCTTGCAGCTGCGCCCCAGATGGGCAGTTACCCACAAAAGGACGCTGAGATGAATCATCGCCAGCCGCATACCAGAAGATTCCACCGCCGCCGCAAGGACTCGATGGTGAGGATCTGTCCACGATTAGAGGATTCTTCAAGGGGGAAGGCTCAAAAAGAGTCCAGACATGAAAGAAAACGCGCTGCAAATTGCCATTTCAGTGCTGTCATGCTGCTTAAGGGGGGAAGCCCACCACCAACCTGTCCTTTCCCGGAGTTCTAAATTTCGAACGGCGCAGGACACATGGATATTCAAATACTTGTGGACGTGTGGCTTCGGGAAAACCGGTTGCTATTTCCTCCTTAAGTTTGACTAAACAACTTTTCGCTCTTCTAGTAAGTTCTCGAGGGGAGGCTGGGCTCGCCTTGCAATGCGCCCTACGGAGGCGAGCAGCCTTGGCCGGACGGTATGGGCTGTGCGTTTGTTTAGTGTGGTGGTAATGAAAGCCTAGGGAATATGAACACACAAGAATATAAGGATATGTTTATCTTTTTCAACCTGCGGAATTCAGCATGCAGGGAGGACCCCGCATGCATCTTTTCGTCTCGCCATCGACAGTTTCTTTCAAGGTGACTCAGCGCCCCCACGAGCCAGCCCTCCGCCACAAAGAGTTATCTTTTTCCTGGTCAGTAAATCTTGGCATTTACATTTATTAGGTTTGAGGCAAAGAGACCCTCAGCGCAAGAGATTCTTCCTCCTTATACGCAGGTCAATCCAATCGCGCGCCGGTACCCAACAAGCCGCCACCGCAATGTACACAAGTTAGAAAGAATTCGCGCTCTTATACTTATGCATTGGTGTAATCGTGTGTGCATGCAGGGGCCTGAACATGAACAGTGCGCGGCGATACTTGTACGTGTGCTTTCGTGTTCATTCATCTGCGTTTGACGCAAGGAGCACCTTGCTTGGTAGGGTAATCTTGCTACACATCTGATTCATGTTGACCCAATTGAATGCTCATAAAGGAGCAGCAACCGCGGCCACAGCAGCCAAGTAGCATCACCACCTGTGAAGGCCTAGACATGAACAGGCTATACTCTGAAGACAGTGGAACGCGGCATACAAGATCGGCGCACATGAACTCGTAGCCCTGCAGAGCAAATGGATATCGACGAGGCAGCACGGGATACCAGGCGGTTCTTCTGGCTGACGCAGGTCTTCGTGGTGCTGCTGTTTGGACTTCAGCTTTCTTTGTGCCTACAGGCTGAATGGGGTAGCGGCTTCTCCCTAAACGACATTACTTCCGGTGGGCGCTTGTGCACATAGGGATAACTGCGTTTCCACGTTTCCCACACGAGCCGTAGACTGGGTCCCAAGATCCAGCGTGCAAAAAAAGCGGGGGGAGGCTGGCATGAGAGTCATTCTGCAGAATGTGAATCCTGCATGTTCGGTGCCTTCTGTTCCTTTTTATGCACCCCACCACCCTTCATCCTGAGCCGCCTATACCACTTATTGGTTCTTGAATGGGTAAAACCGCAAGCGTATTACAGCAAGCCTGCAACCCACTGGAACCCAACCACTGGAGAGGTCACAGGCACAGAGACGGCTCTGCTGAAGCCTGCTACCGTTATGCACCTAAATATAAGAGTGGGCCACATGCTCACAGCTGTCCATCAGAAAATCTATACTTGCCACTAAACGACTTTCCATGCAACTTGTGCTGTTGTTTGTTGCAGTTCAATTCTTTAACCTGCATCCGCTCCTGAACATGTTGGCATTCGGGGTGGCAGCAACAGAATCGGTGAGACTCGTCACAGGTCCGTATTATACAGGAGATACCTGGGCATCACTGGCAGTGCTGCCCGCGTGCCTCTCCCTAGGTGGCCTTGTCGGGACCTTCATTGTCGCAGGAGCCCTTCCGGTAGTTTTCGAGCTACGGTCCTGTAGCTAAAAGACCTCTTGAGAAGGTTTTAACTTGCGCGCCACTGTGGTGTTTCCGGCTTCTATTGAATATATTTCGATCCTTACTTTGTTCACATTGCGTTTGTGTGTTTCCACTGTTTCCCGGAGCTTCAGCTGATAAGCTTCAAGGCTCTAGGTCTCCGCCATGGAGCGGCCAAGACAGTGCACGCCTGCCTGCAGTTGGCATCCTTACTCTTTGGCAGCGCTGCATTCATTGTCGTCCTTCTCTTTCACAACTCCAACAAATTCCCAAATTTCTACAGGTCAGCCGCTCATCCGTGCAGAATCGCCTTTCCATTGAGCCCCTGCGTAGTTGTGTGGCAAAATGCCTCATTGGGAGGCATTTTGCAGCTGAAGGGACTGCGCGATTCTTCAAGGAGAGTTGAGGACTCCCTTGGCCTTTCGGTATGCCAGAGGAGCCTTTCTCCCCCTACCAGTGGCCAGCTGTGGGGCCCCAGCTTCTGGCTGGCCATCGGATTGTAGAGAGTTGTGTTGAGTTCTTTGGTGTCGCATCCGACCATTCACAGCATTCGCGTGCCCCAGGGAGATGTGCGACTGCAGCGTCCATAGTTGGGTTGGGCTGGCAGTGTACGCCCTGTCCTGGTGCCAGTTCCTGTGTGGTGAGCATATGCGCTGATTAAGCACCCCTCTTGCTCTCTAGCGCGGCACGTTATAGTCTAGAAGCTTTGAGCTGTCTACCATTGCCCGAGGTCCTGCAAGTTCAAGGGAAAAGTCGATGGTGCGTTTGGGGCTGCTTTTCTGCGGCTCAGGCCTCGTCATATTTTGGCTGCCAAGGTTCGCGCCTGGGTCTGTGAAGGCCGCCTACCTCCGCTATCACAAAATAGGGGGCATTGCCATGTAAGAGAGCTCTCAGCCGTGTTCCGAAGCTGTTTTAGTGCTTCGCATACATTCGTGCGGCATTCGATTGTCGCGTGGAGCCTTGTAAGGGCCTCCTAGTTTTACTGAAAAGACCTGTGAGGCCCTCGCGGTCCAGTTCGAGCCTTCAAGAGGCATTGAGGGCCTGAATCCACAGGCTGGCAGCAGGGGCAGGTGCTTCTTTGTATGTTAACTGCCTCCTGTGCTATCGCCTCGTGCTCCGTCTTGTCCAGTGCTGTTGTTTCTCACTACCGTGAAAAGGGGCATTCCGTTTAGCCATGAATCTACTGCTACTCAACCAAATCTCCAATATGCACGCATCTCTATCTTGGGTCGTCAGAGAATTAGGTGTTCATATTGGGGGTTCGGCTGACGTGATTATTGTCTGTGGTCTCCGCCAGTTGGCTGCCGTCTGTATGTCTTCGTTTGTCAGATTGTGGTTGATGCGGGTTTGTTGATGAGCACTGAGGTGTGCTTTTTTACTTTTTGCTTGTTGTGACTGTGCTCATGCCTTTCTGCCTACCCACCTGTGACTGCTTTTCTGGGGTCGTTTGGTGCAGCTATGCCGGGGCCCTGGCGGCTATCTGCTCAGGGCTTATGCAGAAGCAATCCTTCTTGCGCAGCAACAGCCCCAAGGTGCCGTTGTTCGGGACTGCAAACCTCCTGGCTAATGCATTAGCGCTCACTGCAGTGCTGACCCTCTTTGCAGTGAGACGACGTTTTAGCGGATGCTCGCGGGGACCCGGCATCCCCACTTGCCTCCCTCTACAGGCTACAGGCTGTTGCCCACACCATCAAAAAATGCCGAGACGCCGCTATCGCTCCTGCTGCTGATGCTGCTTCTACTGCCGCGGCTGCCGCCACTTTTGCCGTCACTGCTGCTGCGTCTGCTTTCCTGGCTACAGCTGCTGGCTGCTCCAGCCCAATTGGCTAGATATGTAGGTGTGGTACTAAGTCCCGCTCGCCTGTTTGTTTGTGGATGCTCACTACTGCAGGTTTTGGGGGTATTGGGCTTTGAAAGCATCTCCCTTACTCGGGGCCTCCTGTCAGAAACGGCTTCAGGCAATATGTCTCCCCAGGATGGGGACTTCAGTGCTGGTGGCTCCGCTACAGACACCGAGCGGCTTCGCTCCAGGACTCCCAACCGGAGGGCGAGGTGACCTTGCTGCCTGTTCAGAGGCATCCTAACTGCAGCAAGAGCACCAACAATAGGTGCGGCTGCTTCTCGGGAAGCCACCGGATATGCAACTTAGGGGCCGGAGCTAGCGCGTCTAAAGCTATAGAGAGCAAGGACGACCTATTTTCTTGGTGTTGTTTCGACAGAGGAGTTGTGTATCCGCCCCGCGACTCGTGCTCGCCTCTGTCTGTCTCCTCCTGACGGCCTGTCAGTATGTGTATCTGGTTGAATACAGCAGGCTGCAGCGACGGCCTTGCTGCCAGATAACAAATCAGTATTTAGACCAACCTCCCTTGAGCCGCCGCGACAGGCAGACGACTGGCTGGACTCTACGGGAGCGCCGTCCTTTGTGAAGACAGGCAGCAGCTGCAGGGGTTTAGGATATACATATAATGCATCCGTACTAACCGCACATTAATACATGTTTGTGGGCTCATCGCTATAGGACGGCGAAACGGCTACTTATATATTAGTGGGTTCTAGGATATACGTAAACAGGCCCCCAATATAGACGCACATTAATGCAAATATACAGGCTCGTCACTGTAGAATAGCTAATACACGGGGGAACGGCGCCCTACTCAGGCGAAGCCAACAGGGATCCAGGGAAGCAGGAGGGGCCCGCCCAGCTCCCCTGTAGCCGCGTCCACCTCGGATTCCCCATGGGATACCGTCGCACCACCTCGGATTCCGCATGGGATACCGTCGCATGCTTGCACTGACGATCCCCAACAGCGGCCTAAACCCAGTCCCATTAATCCCACCGGCCATTCCTAGGATCCAGGTGCTGTGCGCTAAGCTCCACAGTCTACTACAATGGTAAGCGAGTTATCTCTTCATAGGGGACCACACATCCTGCCGCCACCTTTACTGTACTTGCGTTCAAATTGGATTCTGAAGACAAGAGACGTGTTTTGCAATGGTCTACAGTTTGAGTGCACGGGGTAGAAGGGTCTTCACGGTTGCATGTGGGGTTGCCGTGCCAGCAACGCCACGGCAAGAGCAAGGTGCCTTCCAGATCATGGTCCGCCACAGGCCTTCGAGCCACTATGACCAGTACGTCTGGAGGTTGGGGTGGAGGTCCTCTACTTTGGTGTCACTCCGTTCTTAAGCGTTTCCAAGGAGATGTAACTCACAACGGTCTCGGGTCAGACCGAACCCGCCCAGCACGTAAAACGAACTAGGCACAGTCCACCCACAGCTAAATGCTACGCCCTGCCCCGCGCGCTCTCCCGGGCCTAGCCAACAGCCAGGAAGCAATTATGTTTCCCCCCACAACAACCCCGCTCACCCCACCACCAACTGAAGAACACCAAAGGAGTCTGTGTAATTTCCTTGCGGCTTCTCTGGCAAGATGTCAGGCATCCGGCCTCCCAATTCTACGTTAGCCGTCAATGGCATTCTCTCTCAAACATTACAACACGTTCTGACTCTGCAGCGCTAGCCACGGACCCCCCTCCGCAGGGGCCTAGCGGCGTCGCTCGCGCTGCCTTCAGCCTCGATTGACTTTGCCTACCCTGAGGGGAAGCCATTGGAGTCTTAATGCCAAAAACTACGTTGCACACGCTCGAGACTGATGCGCTAGGAGGTAAAAGCAGCAAAACCTCGTACGCCTCTGCGGGCCAGTGGGCGTAGGAGAGGGGGGCCGGGAAGGCGGCAGCCGAAACTTTCGGGTGTTTGCGGCTGAATATCTTTTTTTGTTGCAAGTTTGACACTTTAATTTGTTTGAGTTTCATTTAAATGCAAAAATAAAGCAAGATACCGCTGAAGCGGCAGCTAAAGATAAAGTGCGTGCGGGTCGGGGCTCCCTAGACCGCAGGCGCAGCAGCATCTGCAGCAGCAGCAGTAGCTTCGGCTGTAGCAGCAAACTGTCTGCGTTTGAAGCCGTTGGAGTTTATTTTCTGGTTCTTTCTCACAACGAAGGCCAGGAGACCACTGGTCTGTCCTTCGCTGCAGCACCGCTGCAGCAGAGCCGTTGCGCGCAGCGGAGCAACCGGGGGCCCAAGCCCAGGCAACTCGTGCTTCCTGCCCCCAGCCTCTTCCTCTCACTGCAGGCCACTCCTGTCTTCTTCTCCTGCCTTAGTAACACCAGCTTGGCGCCTTTGCAACCGCTTTGGGGTCCAGCAGCTTATCAGGTTCCCCGTTTGTCTTTACACTCGCTGTTGCCCTTCGTTCACTTCCCCCCTATTTCAGGAGGGGATCTGTCTCTGCCCAGGGTTCTCTTTGTTTTGAAGGGAGCAGCTAAGGTAGAACCTGAGGCCCTGGGGAGCTCGCAGCGGCTTTGCTGCGGCCGCGGTGGCCGAGGAGCACCAGCACCAGCACCAGCAGCAGCAGCAGCAAGGGTCCACAGCGTTTCGCACCTACTATGCTCTCTGTACACTGGATAGTGCGCGTGAGCAGATATCTTTGAGGCCGGCATTGGCCCGTTTGTCGACATTTTCCTAGTTTGCTGTGCTGCCGCCGCCGTCGTGCGGCGTCTGTACAGCTCGATTCTGTCTTCATCCCTAGCACGGCCTATGCAATGGGCACTTATCTTTCCAGTCCCCTGTCGGGGAAGGAGGTCGCTTCGGGGGCCTGCGAGTCGATGGGCCTCCGCTGGGGTGTCTGCAGCATGCAGGGCTGGCGCGTCTCTATGGAGGACGCCCATTTGGTTCTGTATGCCAAAAGAGTAGGAAGTCCCTCAGCAGCAAGTACGGGGGGAGCTCCCCCCTACGCTTCTCCACGTGATGGGGCCCTTCCAGATACAGCGGGGGCCCAGCACCAGCAGCAGAAGGACGAGCTTAGCCCACTGGGGCCAAGACTGCCTGCAGGCGGGGTGCAGCAACATCTGCTTTCTCAGCTGCTCCTGGGATCAGGATCGGGACCCGGACTGGGAGCGGGACCCAGCCTTCAGCGCAGTACGGACAGTTGTTACGTTTTCCTGCCAACGGAGGTGGAGCTGCATAAGGACGAGATTGGGGGGCTGTCTTCGTCAGCTGCTGCTGGCCCAGTAACAGCAGCATCGGCAGCAGCAGATGATGGGGGAGATGCGGCCGATGTGGAGGCAGGTGAGTCTGCAGAAGGAGACGCAGTAGCAACTCCCAGCAGCAAGAAAACCAAAGTGGGCAGAGTTGTGCGGCGACAATTTACTTTGAGGCGCCGCGGTACCTCCACTGTTTCGGAAACAGATGCAGCGGATGCTTCAGCTGTGGGTGCTGCTGCTGCTCCTAGTGCGGCTGCTGGTGCAGGGCCCCCTGCTGTTTCCCAAGCTCGCGGGGTCCCTGCAGGGCAGGAGGCGGTTGGAACTGTCTCTTCGCCTAGCCAGACAGTGCAGCATGCTGACTTGTGCATATTTGCTGTCTTCGATGGTCATGGGGGCGCGCATGTCTCGAGGTAATTACACGACATGCTGCGGCTGCTGCTGCTACTGTTGATTGCCTCTGTTGGTGCTGCTCGTCTGTCATACAGACTGATGCAGTCTCCACAGCTGCCATGGAAACTGGTGTTTTCCAGCAAAGCTTGCCGCTGCAGTGTGGTGGTGTCCTCATTGGCTTATGTACTGCTGCTGCTGGTGTGCATCAGGTTTGCGGCTGCACACATGCGGCCGCTGCTGGAGTGCCAGGCTGCCTTCCACCGCGGGGACCTCAGCACCGCACTGCGGAGCGCATACTTGAGGATAGATGACTTGCTGCGGGAGGAGAGCAGCCAGGATGATTTGCTGTACCTCACCTCCCACTCTCCCCACCAGTTGCTGCAGCACAAGCAGCAGCTGCAGCAGGAGCAGCAGCAGCAGCAACAGGAACAAGACGCCAGTGCCGCTGCAGCAGCACCCGCTCAGCACAAAGGGCTCAGGTCTACCCTGTCGAATCTGGGACAGCACTTCGGCGTAAAGTCTCAACAACAACAGCAGCAGACAGCCACGGGGCAGCTGGGCCGAGCAGGTGTGAGCAGCAGCGCCGTCGCGGATGCCCCCAGCAAGCAGCAGACAGGTTCCTTTGCTGCGCGGGGAGCTGAAGAAGAGGTGCAGGGCAGGCCGCTGCGGGGTGGTGCAGAGGACTCCCTGGCGACTTTCAGCATCCAGGCGACAGCAGCAGCAACAGCAGCAGCAGCGAGTGCAGCTGCAGCAGAGAGGAGTACAGCGCGCAGCGGGGCAGCTGCGATCCTTGCCGCCTACGCAGCAAACGGCCCCGATTCTCCAGCGACTCCTCGCGGCCGTTTGTCTTACGTGGCCGATGCAGACAGCCCAGCAGCAGCAGCTGCTGCTGCTGCAGCAACGGCGGCAGCGGCGGCAGTATCCGCGTCGGATCCCCCTGCTGCGGCTTCTGATGATGAGGTGGCGGCAGCAGCAGCAGCAGCAGTAACAGCAGCAGGAGCGGGGACGAGTCCATCAGAGGAAACAGGGGCTACCAAAAAGGGCAAAAAGCTTAGCTTTTCAGGGCTGGTTGATGTTGTCACGCGCTCTGTGGGCCTTGGGAGGCTCTTTGGGCGCAGTAACGGCAGCAGCAGCAGCGGCAGGTCCCTTGCAAGCACTGCGGGCAGCACCGCCCTTACCGTGTGTGTTACAGTAAGCAGCTTGGACACAGTCCTCTGACACCTGCTGCTGCTGTTGCTGCAGGCGCTGGTGTAGTTTCCAGGATCTCATCTGCAGTTGCTGCATTGTCGAATGCTGCTGCCTCCCTTCTGCTACTGCTGCATTTCTGTTGCTTCGATACTTAGGGGTAACGTGCAGGAATGGCATTCTTTCAGGTACTGTAGCAGCGTATACAAACAAGCCCGGGGCTAAGGAGAAACAATTTAGGGTTTCTGTGTTGCTGCAGCCTACACGGCTCATTGTGGCAAATGTGGGAGACTCGCGTTGTGTGCTTTGTCGGGGGCGAGAGATTATCGAGTTGTCGCAGGACCACAAGCCCCAGCTAGCAGAGGAGAGGGTAAGCAGGGTTGGTAACTGGCAAGCTAGCTAGTAAGCTAGATTGCTATTTAGCTGGCTTTTACGCGTCGAATTGGGCCAGGGATGGTGGGCTAGGGTCCATTGAGACTGCTGCTGCTGCGATCCTCGCTGCTGTTGCTGTATGTACTGCCGTTGTATTGCTATTGCGCCTTCCGACCTGGTGTGTTGGCCGTGGGCCGTGGTTTTGGTGTTTATGCTTGCTTCTGTATGTCTTGAAGGGTTGGCTGTGTGTAATTGGGTAGAATGCTGTATTGTTCATGGCTTGTTGCGTGTATATTGTTTAATTATGATATTCGTTCAGTCTCACTGCTTAATCCACCTTTGCTTTCTCATATTCGTTATGTTTCCAACAGATCCGGATATACGCGGCGGGAGGATTTCTAGAAATGGGTCGTGTAAATGGGAACTTGAACTTGTCAAGGGCTTTGGGAGACTTGGTTTATAAAGCAGATGACAGCCTTCCTCCAGAAAAACAAATCCTGTCAGGTTGTCCGGACGTCGTGACAGTCAACCGAGACCCAGAGAAGGATGAGTTTCTCGTGCGCCTCCTGAGCACCAGGGCTAAGGGTTTATGGCTTTTACTATAGGGTTGAGGTCCTCGGGTGTAATGCTTGAAGATTGGGGCTTATGGGCTCTAAACTATCACCACCGAAAGCTGAAGACTCGTATCATTTGCCTTCGCTTTACTGGATGTTGCTGAAGAGCTGCTTCTACTGTTGCTGCTGTTGGTGCAGGTGATTGGATGCGACGGCATTTGGGAACTGCTCTCGTCTGCTGAGGTGGTGGAGTTCGTGCGACGGCGAATTGAGGTGAGGAAGAGGACTCAGATGATTTCCCTTTGCTTCGGCTGCTCAGGTTGCTGCAGCCGATGTTGCTGCGGGCGCCGTTGCATCTGTTGCATTGTCCGTGGATTCTGTCCCAGGAGGGTCTCCTATGATGACCGTTTCGAGAACGGGTTGAGGCTGTGGAGGTTGGGGTTCAGGGTTTGGAGTTCGGAGTTTAGGGTTTGTTTGCTCATGTGCATGCAGCACACTCCGGACTTGTGTCAGATCCTGAAGGAGCTTTTTGACTCATTGATATCACCGAATCCAGCACTATTTGAGTATGGCTGCGACAACATGACAGCATTCATTGTCGACTTGCAGGCAGAGAAGCGGCGACAGCTCCCCGCTGCTTCTTCCTCAGGTGCGGGGCTGCCTGCCTCTCAGGAGCAGCAGGAGCAGCCGGACATCCGGCGCTTCAGCAAGACTAGCAGCACAGAGAGTCTCTCCGGCTCTGTCTATGGAGATGGAGACCTCCGGCAGACAAACCAAGAGAGACTCTCCCAAGAAGAACAGCAACCGCCTCAGCAGCAGCAACAGCCGCCGCAGCAGCAACAGCAGCAGCTTCAACAGTCGCAGCCGCAGCAGCAACACCAAGAGGAGGAGAGCGGCGGCAGGCCGTAGCTTGCCAAAGGATAAAGCAGCGAATACAGCGAGTGATGCAGCAGCAGCTATATGACCTCGTTGCTTGCTGTGCATGCATCTCAGCTGTTTGGGTGTGGCTGCTGCCTTAACTCCCCCTACAGTTGCGTCCTTGTGTTCCGCGGAGTCCCTGCGTATGGGCCGCATTGCATGCATGCGCCTTCTCTTCCGGAAGGCTGCCTCGTTGACTTCTCTGTTGCCGCAGGTCGATCTGCTTCTGCAGACTCGACAGGCCTCTGAAGAGTCGATAAACCTCTGCAGAGGACTGCGGCAACATGCATCAACAGGATCATAACACGATGCGCTGCCGCGAGTTGCTGCTGCTTCATGCTGCGTGACTTTGCTGCTTGCTGCGAGTTGTTGCTGCTTCTGCTGCCCTGCATATTCCCTTTTCTCCACTTTTTTTGTGGGGCTCAGAAGAGCCGAGGGCGGCCTCGAACCTCATTTCGAATGTACGTAGACCGCAGAGAGTGGTGGCCTTCTTGGCTCGAATACGGCGATTCTTGGGTTGATCTCGGGTGTATTGACCTTGCAACCGCACCCCAGGGGCCCTGTAATCTCCCCCACAAACCTGTTTTGTTAGTTCTGACACAGTTAATGGTCCGTTTTGGCGGAAAGGCGCTTCTCTGTTGTAGAGGCCTCAGCTCTAGCGATCGATTGTGTCCGCATCTTCATGCAGTCATGGATGGCTGCTAAGCATGCGCTAGTGAGATGCGCGTTGGTTGGTGGCTATCTAGACACTAGGCGGCACAGTGCAGTATGAACTAGAGTCATCAAGTGGCAAGGGGCCCAACGAGTACCACACTCCAGCTACTTTTATCGGACAAAGTTGCTGCAGGCATGCATGCATGGTTGCATGCCTGCTTGTATGCGCGCACGCTTTGTGACTTACGTCGTATTACTGGAGTGTCTGATGAGGGCCTTTGTGCAGCCTCAGCTGCAGCCTGCTTTCCTTTTCTACGGCAGCAGGGCTGCGATCTTTCTATGTCAGTTCGCTTATCTACGTCTCTGTCTACACTGCATACAGCTGTTGCTGAGAACAGCAGCGCCCCTGTATGCTAACCATTCTGTGGGATCCCCTTGCGGCAGTTAAAGGGGCCCCCTGCAACCTGCACTGAATAACAGCTAAGAGGCTTCCAACGGCAGCCTGCGGGCGTTCAAGCCTTCAAGGGCTTTTCGGCGGTAGTTGGCTACATCCCCGTCCCTGCCTGTAGCAGCTCCTTGTTCCTGGTTGCCATTTTGTTGTTGTTGCTGCTGTAGAAGCTGGTTGCGCAGCTGCTCCTGCAACAGTTGCTGCCGCTGTGCGCGGAACTTTTGCTGCTGTATGTAGTCCTCTTCAGAGTCTTCCTCATCGTGGGAGTAGGCGCCGTCTTCATCGTCAACACTTGCAGCTCGCAGGGTCGTGCTGCCTCTCCGGTTGCTCCTGCTGCCGGTCTCTCCTTGCACAGGCTTGAGAAAGTCGTTGACTATATTCTCTACCTGGTTGTTTAGTTGCTGCAAGTTTACTCTCTGCACCTGCCCCTCCCCCTCAGGGCTCTTGTTCTCCGGATCACCAGCAACCTCAAAGAAAGTGTTTGCTGCTGCCTGTGCTGCAGCAAGTGCAGCATTTAAGAAATGCCTCCGTCTCCGCTTCGTCGTGCCCTCGTCGTCTTGGTCTTGCTGCTGCCCCTCCTGAGCTTCCAGCTGTTCTTCTTCCTGCTCCAACTGTTGCCGTTGTTGAGGTTGCACATCAGGCGGGGGCGGTTGCTGTTGAAGTGGGCGCTGGAGCTGCTGCTTCAGTTGGTGTGCCTGCAGCTGCAGATGGTTAGCAGTCTGCTGCATCTGATGAGCTGCCTGCTGCAGCTGCTGCTGTGGAACAGGCAGACCCTGCTGCGGTTGCTGAAGCAGCGGCGGCAGTGGTAGCTGCTGCGGCTGCAGCTGCTGCATTTGCTGCTGCTGCTGTTGCTGAGGCAACTGGGGAGGGAGCTGCTGCGGAGGCCTGTCAAAAGCGTCTCCCTCCCCTTCTCTCTGTCCATGGATGGCCTCATCTTCCTCATCATACCACCCCTCTACTCCATTTTGTGCATTACCGACTCCCAAGTGGCCAGCAGGTGCACCCGCAGAAGGGGCGCCACGTGGGCCACGAGGAGGGCCCATCCTCTCGCCCCCAGGAATGCTATCGGGGAAACCCACTTGGGGGCCCCCATGCATGGGGCCCCCACTTCCATCTCCAGGTATTCCTCCAGGGAAGCCTGTAGGGTCCCCCCCAGAAGGGCCCACAGCGGAGCCCCGTAGAGCATCCCCAGGTAAGCCTCCAGACATGCCGACAGAGCTGGCCCCTGTGGGTACCCTTGAGAAGCCTAGAGGTGGGCCTCCCGGCCCCCCAGGCTGCCCCGCATGTGAGCCTCCAGGTACCCCTCCAGGAAGGCCCCCAGACTGTACCCCAAAGGGTTCACGAGAGGATCCTCCAGGTGGACCCCCATGTAGGCCTCCACCGGGGCCCTCACGCTGGCCCAAAGCCTGAGGCCCAGATAATACTGCAGGGGGGCCCCCTCGATGCCCGAAAGATGAACCCCCAACTGGGCCATTAGCGGGCCCATCACGCTGGCCGAAAGGTGGGACCCCATTTGCAGCTGACGGGGGGCCCCCAAAGGCAACCCCCGAGGGGCTCCCAAAGGGACCTCCTGTGGGGGCCCCAAAAGGACCTCCTGAGGGGCCGCTGAAGGGGCCCCCTGGAGGGCCTCCAAATGGACCCCCAGAAGGGACCCCAAAGGGGCCGCCAGAAGGGCCCCTCGAGCTTCCTTGCCCGTTAATTGGGGGTCCTGGATTAGGTCGCCCACCCTCGCCTCCCCGTCCGTAAGGGTTTCGGTTCGGGGGCAGCATCTGCTGTTGCGGCGGCAAGGGCTGCTGCTGCGGCTGTTGCGAAGGGCGTCCAAACCAGCCATTCATGTCGTGCTCTAGTTGCTGCCCGTTGCGGTTCTGCCGCTGTTGCGTCCACTGCTGCTCACTGCCTTGGCCAACGACTCTGTCTGATGTCCTTCGGCCGGCGCCGCTAGGGCCTGCATTGGTTAAGACTGATAAGTCATCTTCTGCTGCAGGTTTCTCCAGGTGCCACTGCGGGACAACTCCACCTCCCGCATTGAGCTTCTGATCGTCGTTGTCGTTTCCCTTGTCGTCCTGATCGTGCTGCTCCTGTTGCTGCTGCTCCTTCTTCTGCTGCTCCTCTGCCGTCCACTCGTCCTCAGCCGCCCATTCCCAGTCGCCGCTCTCTGCATCTGAACCATCTTCATGCTGCTGTGCCCGGAGCTGTGGCTGCAACTTTTCTACTTGAATGCTCTCTCCAAATTCATGTGGTCCCTGAGCGCCTGAAGTGGGCGTCAGTGATGCCGGGTTAAAACTGCTATCGAGGCCGAGGGTCTCGTCAACATTGTCGGGATACTTAGTAAACACATCTCGCTTATGCCCCGCAACATCAGCGGCGCTGCCCTCTATTTCCCCTGAGAGAGCATTTTCCTCCACACTTTTCAATAAAATGCGCTGACTGAGGTACTGGAGAGGCGGTGGGCTGGATGGCACACCGTTCGCCCAGTGGTCGCCGAAGGTCCCATGAGGGACTGCAGAAACAAGGAAATGGACCTCGGTAGCCAGCAGCGCAACAGCTGAAAGGAATATTAAGACAGATTGGGCAAGTCTGCCCTTAAAGAAATACATAGAAAGCATTGTTGGTTGCTTTACACAGACTCGTGATCCCATTGTCATGGAGGAATGGGGGGTACGGACGATGATCGGCGGCACCCACTGGGCTCCGAAGCCTCCACAGTCAACAAGCAAAATCCTGTTCTTTCGATCTAATTGAAAAGGCTGCAGGCTGTATGCAATCTTACTCATCTACTGCGCTCCGTTTGAGCTTATCCGCGAGTTGTCTGCGGTCGTCAACACGGGTGCCCGGCTGCTAAAAAAGGATGCCTGAGGATGCGTATGTCATATAGATAGCTTTGCTATCAAAAACTGCGAAATATTTGGCAATGTGCGGCGATGTTGTTCTGGAGAACACCGCAGACGATTGCCGGTCAACCCTGAACCCGCAAGGTTATAGGCAGGGCGTGCTACTGATGGAAAACGGAACAACGAACGGCTATTGAGAAGAGTCAGTTGAGCCTGAAAGGCGTTTTATCAGCTAAGAGCAATATAAAAACTGAAAAGCAACAGGGGTAGCCGATCTAGCCGTGCCCCAGACGGAAGACCGACCAGAGGTCACCCACCTTGCAGGCAACTTCAAGCAAAAAACCAAAGAAATATTTCGTCAACGGCAGTTCCTTCTCGTCCACACACGATCGTTCCAAATGCATAAACTACCATTATTTGCCCTTTTTCGCGACAAAGTAAGGCCATTGACACAACTACAAACACCGGACCGGGGCTGCGCCGACGGGCGACCGGTGGGACGTTTCCCCTAGACGTACATCCCAGCTACGAACTGACAATTAAAATAGTGTACAATGAAGTTTAATTTTCGAAGCAGAAAAATGTGTTTTAGTCTTGCTCCGCAACATCAAAGCAACTAATCGCATCCCCCCACGCTAGTCAGTACCTGCACGATCTATAGCATTTTCTACGGCAGGCAGTTCAGCTACCCGAACAACACCTCGAGCACATCAGCTGGCTAATTATGCTCGAAAAGGTCAGAAACCACCACTTAACAAGTGGAAGAACCCATCATTGCAACGTTCGCCCCTACAACTACACGAAAACTCAAGGCCCCACAGTTACCTATGCTGGGAGCTGAGGCTGCCGGTGCTACAACCGAAGCACGACAGCCAAACAAACCTCCCGTTCCTGCGAGCCCCTGAAAGCCAGCATTGCGTCTTGCGAACACAAAACCCGAGAAAAAGGAAAGCTGCACCGCTTGCTTACTAGGATGTGTGCAGGACAGCCGTCGCACCTAGGCCGCGCCTGTGTGGTACACCTACACACCGGTCCACACGAGGTCGTCAATTGAATGACGCGGCACAGTACACATCGCAGCTTTAACTAAAGTTATTGTGAAGGAGGAGACTTCTATATCTTTCTCCTCGAATATCGAAGAAATAACCCTGTTCTCCTTGCATTTAAGCCTCACAGTAAAACTACCGGAGCGCCTGGATGGGTGGTCCCGGGAATAAAATTTCGCCGCGTGTGCATGCATGCATATAGTGCATGCAACTATGCACACAATCTGAAAATATATATATCCGGCGGGCTGTCCTATGTGCTTATGTGTGTTGGGGTTGTCCGCTTCACCTCCTAGACCTCTCGTGGGATCGCGAACGCCTGCTGTCCCTTTCTCTCGATCGGGAATGCCTGTGTCTTCTTTCTCGGGATCGAGATCTTCTTTCTCGGGATCGAGATCTTCTTTCTCGGGATCGTGATCGCCGTTCGCGGGATCGAGATCGTCGTTCCCGTGAGCGGGATCGTCTTTTCCAATCGGGGCTAGAGGAGCGGGGTCGTGGCTCCTCTCCATCGGACTCTTCACTTTCGTCGCTCTCTGGGAGTCGAATAGGCGCTGGGGGAAAGACAAGTTTGATCGTTTCCTCTTCTCCGGCCTTCTGCTGCTGCTGTTGCTGCTGTTGCAGTTGCTGCTGCTGTTGCTGAGGCTGCTGCCGTGGGGCCTTGTGTCTCTTTTTCCGGCCAAATTCATCGAATGTCTCTTCATCCGAATCGTGTTCACGCCTATCATTAGGATCTTGCAAGTCGAAGTGGCCTCCTCCCCTCCCCATACGTGGTTCGTCGAAGGCAGAGGGTTTGGGGGCATTACAGATATTGCAGCTGGACCGTCGGGCCCAGTTAAGATTCCCGCAGTGGCCGCAGCTCCAGTCGCCTTGCCGCACGGGAGCCCCTCCAGGGGCCCCCACCGCACCACCCACTCCTTTTGGTCGAGGTTTCCCGCATCGGTTGCACCGTGTCCTCTTTGAGAAATTCACATTTAAACACGCTGGGTCTGAGCACTCCCAGTCTCCTTCTTTCAGCGGCCTCTGCAAGCCCCGCGGCCTCACAGGGGGAGGAGGCGGCGGTGGCGGAGGAGGCGCCTCGCATGGGGTCCCCTCTGGGACACCGGGGGGGCCCGGCGGGCCTGGCGGCGTCGGAGGGGCTGGAGGCACCCCTGAACAAACAGGGGGGCCCAAGGGAGAAGTCGTTGGCATGCCAGCACCTCCTCCAGGCATTGCACACGACCCTACCCCAGGGCCCGGCCCAGAGGAGGCGGGAGAAGGGGTTCCAGAGTACATGAAGACAAAAGCAGTTATGCAGAAATACTTGGACCTAAAACCGTGGCGAGTAGAAAAACCTGCCGATCCAAATGAAGTGGTGCCCTAGGGCTCACAGAAAGAAACAAATTCCAAATGCAAACAAGCAAAAAGATCCAAACCAAACAAACGAATGAAACAACAACAATGCAACCCCCTTCAACAAATTCACGGGGGCCCCAGAGGAGGAGTGAAAACGGGGGCCCCAATGCTGGAGCGAGGCCCCTCACGATGGATTTCCTAATCCAGAAGGACCGAAGCATCAATTATGCGTACATGCAACGCAAACCCTAAACCTTATTAACCCTAAACCATCAAGATGAGGCAAGGGGGGCCATGGTGCTCCTCACGGGGCCCCGAGGCAGCCAATCCAGGCCCCGATGGGGCTGAGATATTACAGGGAGGAGTTGGCGGCCTTTTTATATAACATCTAGAGAATAAAATCCATATTTTTGTGCATTTAAATGCATTAAACTATTTTTCCAAGAGGAAGCCCCTCAACACTTCGTCTAACTCTAAACCATAAACGCTGAACCACTCGCTTGGGCGCCGACTTCCCCTCAAAAGGGCCTTAGACAGCCCTCTTCTTAGGTTGGAGAGGCCTGGACCATACGATGTAGGGCTTAGCACATAGGGGTAAGGGTTTAGAGTTGACTGCTGGGGGCGTTTTCCCCTGGCAGAGCTGCAGTGCCCACCATGACCCCCCAGGTGTCTTTGAACGGCCTACAGACGGAGGGTCCTTTAGGGTTTAATAGTACTTTAGGGTTTAGAAGGGATTTGCATCCAGTCTCCTTTCTTGCTGGGGGCCCCTTGAGTGCATCATACGCTCCCTTGGGGACCTCTCTCCCGCTCATCGTGTGCCGCTGCAGGGGCCTTGAGTCCATAGCACTATCGTGCAGGCCTCGCCAGACCCTAAACCCTAAATTCCAGACCCTTCGTACACACTGGATTTCTTGAAAACCTAATCCATTGACCGTGGGCTGCACCTTTCCTCCTAAAACCCTGCCTCTGACCGTATATATAATCGATCTTGCCGAGCACGCGGTTTGCTTCAGCCGCTGGCCCACTAAACCCTAAATCCTAGCTGTCCGGAAATTCTCACGATGGAGAGCAACTTGGATTTGGTGCGGCGTCTGTTGCGTGGGTCGCAGCAGGCTGCTGCCTCTCAGGCTTCGCAGGCATCTTTGGCGGCCTCTCAGCAGCGCGCCTCGGCGGGCCCTCGCGGGGGCCCCTCCGCGTTTAGCTGCAATAGCTGCGGTAGCGGCACACCCCCTCGCATAGACCACAGCGGGTTCTTGATATGTTCAGACTGTGGGGCTATTCAAGAAGGAGAGCAGCTGGGTACAAGAGACGAAGAAGAAGAATTTGAAATGCTGCAGTCGACTCAAGCAATGGGAGCAGCACGTGTTAGGTCTCATGACCTGCTGGGGTCGGATGCTGTTGCTGCAGCGCTTGCTGCTGTGGGGTTGCGGGGCCCCGGAGCCCCCCAAGGTCACCCCGATGAGGGTGCTGCAGCAACAGACACGCCTCCTGCGACCCTCCCAGCTGCTTCTGCTGCTGCTGCCGCCGCTGCCTCACAGATGGTATTTAATGAAGATGAAGATGCCGAGGGCCAGGAAGAATGGGGAGAAGGTGGTAGAGGAGCTGGTGCCTCAGGAGCAGGCGATGCCTCAGCTGCTGCTGTTGCTGCTAGGGTGTCTCGTCAACAGCAGCAAGCCCTCGGTAACTATTGGCAGCAGCCGCTGCTGTGGCTCAATGCTGAAGAAGCAGCTGGAGAGACCTTTGGCCCAGATGGGGCCGTGTCAGATGCTGCGCTGCTGCGCTGCTGGGCGCTGCTGCTGCAGTCCTGCTGCCGCCTGCTGCAGCAGGAGTTTGGTGTTTCCGACCTTCTGGAACTGGAGGCCCGAAAGGTAGACCTTAGGGCTCTCGTTCTGTGCCTCCTGCTTCCGTGGTGTCTGCTGTATCCCTCTCCGCTGTCCCTCTGTGTCTCCTGTCTCTATATCTGCTGTCGTTGTCTTCGTACTTGTGTCTTTTGCCTCCGTGGCTGCAGTCTCCACGCATTCTTGTGTTCTCTTGTCTGCTGTCCTATAGTCCCGCTTAGAGCAACACCACGTTAACATATTACTCGTTGCTGCTGCTGCTCCTTGTACCTCAGGTGCTGCTGCAGTACTTAGGCTTCCTCGCTCGCCACGAGCTCCCGGTGGAGACGTTTTTCTGTAGCATCTCCTCCAACGTTGTCAAGGTTCCGTAGGCCTACAAACCCTAAACCCTAAGTCTTAGTTGGCACGGCTCTCTACGCGAAAATGTGGGAGTCACGGCGCGTGCCTTGTGGCTTGCTGTGGGCTGCCGTTTGCGATGTTTGAACGCGGGGAGTTGCACCAGGGTGTGTCTGGCTTGTTTCGTTTGTGCCTCTTCTTTGGTTAGGGCGGGAAGAGTTGTCTCCCATGCGGAGCAGGTCGCGAAAGAGCTGCAGAAGGAACAGCAGCAGCTGCTGCAAGACCCCAGTGTCCCTCCGCTGTTGAAGACAGGTGTGGGGATCCCGTTGAATTCTTTTACTGCTCGACGTCTCCTCTTTTCTTGCCTTGGCTCTATTGGTCCTTCTTGCGACTGCAAGCTGCCTGTCTCCCCAATGTTTCTCCCGATTGGCAGCCTCGGGTTCATGCCTCCTCTTCTATTCTGGTATTCCCCCATTGCTTTATGGCCCTGTGCATTCTTGCTCTTGTTTCTGCGGCTCTGGCTGCCTATTTTGCTGCTGCATTCGCTGTTGCTGCTGCATTTGGTGCTGTTGTTGGATTTGCTGATGCTGTGTTTGTCCCTGCTCCTTTGTGTTGCTGCTGCACGTTCATACGCTACTGCTGCCCCTGTAATTGCTACTGTGTGTTCGTTTGCTGCTGCTGGTGCAGTGGTTGGCTTTATGGGTTTGGACCGCCTCGCATATGTTCAGAGGCTACTGCCGGCGCGACAGCACAAAAGAGAAACCTTCTCAAGGAGACGCCTTCGTCTCTTGACGCGTGTTGAGTCTTCAACCCCACCCCCAGCAGGAGGCGCAGCTGCAACAGCAGCAGCACCAGCCACAGCAACAGCAACAGGAACAGCACCTGCCCCAGCTGTTGCAGACGGCGTGGTAGGCACGAGTGGACTCATTCTTTCTGTTCGTGATGAGGGAGCGCCGGGGGCGCCTGGGGCTCCCTTGAACCCGGCAGCTGGGGAGTCGCAAGGCAGCTCTGCAGCGGATGCTCTCGTTGCCTCAGGAGGAGCACCAAGCAACAGCAACAGCAGCAGCAAGTGCAGAAAGAACAATCGGCTGCCCGATACTGCTCAGACCAGCCTGGTGGCCGTGCCTTGCACCTTAGCCCCAGTAGCCCTTGCGACGCGAGATGAGCGCGCTGCTGACCGTCTTGCTGCAGCGCAGAGGCTGCTGCCCTTGGTGCAGCAGAGGGAAACCGATCTATTAGAGCAGCAGCAGGATGCGGCCGGGGAGGAGCTGGTCCACGAGGGCCGTCGTCAGCTCTTGGCTGCAGTATCTTCTGTTGCTGCTGCGTTGGGGCCTCCGCTGACACCAACGGAGGCAGCAGCAGCAGCAGTAGCAACGGGAGAGACGTTTAGGCGACCGCGTCACCGCACCAGGGACGGCACCAGCCAGACACAAAGAGAGACACGGAAGGAGACAGCAGGCGTTGCCTCTCCTCACGTCTCCAGGCAGCTGCTGTCGATGCTGGCCCACGAGAGGTCCCTTGCTTTAGGTGAGGGGCTGTCTCTCTGCGTGTGTGCCTGTCTGCCTTTTGTTTCTTCATGTTCGTTTTCTTCTTCTGTCAGGCGGCTTACTCTCTGTCTTCCCCTTCTGTCTCCTCCTGTTCTTGCAACATTTCTTCAGTAGCGTTTCTAGTGCTCTGCTGTTTGCTTTTCTTGCACGTCTTTCAAGACACGCTTCGCTGGTTGGTGGCCCATCTAATCTATCTTCTTTTGCTCCTTCTGGGTGTCTCCTTTTGTCGTCTCCCTCCGCTCCCCCTGCATAATTTTTGGCCGCCACTGGGGTTCTTGCTGCTATCGCAGAGGGATTGCTGCTACTGGCGTCGCTGCTGTTGGTATTCAGAGCTATCTCCTATCTGCTGTGCTGTATCTGCTTGCGCATACGTTTTCTTTAGGGTCTCTCGAGGTGTCTTTGAGTTCATTTCAGCGGTCGGCCTGGCGCAGGACCACGCCTAAGACGGCAGCAGAGATTGTGAGCTGGGGAGACACCGCAGCAGCACGGCAAAGGGGCCTCGAGGAGCGGCATATTTTCCATCATCCCGTCTGCAGCGGCAGCAGCAACGACAGTCCGGAAATGTTGTTGCTGCAGTTGCTGCCGCTGCTCCCGCCCCTGCTGGAGCTCTTGAGAGACACAAGTGTGGGGTGCATGTGCGCAGATAGACGCGGTGTACGAGCATGACTTCCTTTTCTTGCTTCTCTTTCTTAAACACCAGCAACAGCAGCAGCAGCAACAACAACAGCAGCAGCTGTTGCAACAGCAGCAGCAAAACGGAGGTTCAACTCTGCTGCAGCTGTGCGATGCTGCACCCGAGCAGCAGCCGTGTTGCGACACTGCAGAAGCCATTGAGGGCGATTTAGGGGCAACAGAAAGACCAACAGCATCCGCATTAACAGCAGCAGAAACAATAACACAGACCCCACCACTAACCCGCACAGAAGCAGATGACTCTGATGAAGATATGCCATTGGCATTGCTGCCAGCGGCGCGGCGTCGACGGCGTTCCTCCACAACGCAGGGCCCCTCTGTTGCAGCTGCAGCAGGAGGAGTTGCTGATTCTGCCGCTGCTACAGCAGAAGCAGCAGGTTTCCCCCCTGGTACCCTTCCTATGATGGGCGCCTCCTTTCGCTCAAAGGCCCATAAGGGATTCTTCTATCTCCCAGCGTCTCAGCTGTTACCATTGAATGCAGCAGCAGCAACAGCAACAACGGAAGAAGCAGCAGTGGTAACGGAAGCCACACCAGGATCTGCTGCTGCTGCTGCGCCTACGTCCGTTCGAGTTGAAGCGCTACTGCAGGAAAATGCAGCAACAGCACCGCAGTTTTGTGAGCAGTCGCGCTTAGCCCTGGAAGGCCCCACCCCACCTCAACACCAGCCAGTGCAGCAGCAGGCCGAAGAGCAGCAGTTGCAACAAGACCAACGGCAGCACCAACCGCAACGACAGCAGCAGCAGCTGGAAATGCTGCAAGGCAGCGAAGCAGAAGCAGGCGCATCCCCGGAGTCAAAACGCAGGAGATTGCTGCTCTGTCCTTCTGTTGTTGCTGCTGAAGGCACGACAGAGGCGACAGCAGCTGACACGGAGTTGGCCTTGGCAATACCCGTTGCGAGCAGCGGCAACAACAACAGCAGCAGCGCGCATAGTCTTCTGCAGCAGCAGGTGAAGCTTTTGGGGGACAAAGCAACAGCCACTTTGGAGGCCGAGGCTGCTGCTGGTGGGTTGAAGGAAGTTGCAGCGGAAGTTTTGGCTTTAGACCAGGTGGCACCAGGGAGCACAGCAGCATTAACTGGTGGCGCTGGTGCTGGTGCCCCTGTTGGTCCTGTGGCTGCTGCTACTGCTAGAGGTGAAGAGAAGGGGAAGACTTCGGTCAAGGCTGGCGGTGCCTTTGCTGCGTTTGAAGGAGACCCTGGAGTGGGCGCTGCCTTTTTGTTAGACGCAACAGATGACGTAACTGGGGGCCTTCGGCGTCGGCTGCGGGTCCCATTCTTACCTGGGGGTCCTCACTGTGCTGCAGCAGCAGTGCCTGGTGCACAGCAGCTGCAGCAGCAGCTGGAGGTGTTTGGGCCGCGGGAGCAACAGCTGCTGCTTCGCGTAGAAACGCAACGAGGCGCGTCGAGGCAGCATGGTTTGTTTCCTGCGGTGTCTCCTGAATGGTTGGGGTATGTGAGAACACAACGGCTCCAGGAGCTATCAGGGTTGTCTCCTTCTTCTTTCTGCGCAGCCTTTGGAGTCTCCTCCCTTGAACCCAGCGCAGAAAAGACGGTGGGAGTCCGAGGGACACGTGGAGCGGGACCCCAGCGATGGCTTGCTGAAGAACAAAGACAACGCAAACAGAAGGGGCCCCAAGGGACCTGGGGGCCCTCTCTCGAGCTAAATGCTACTGCTCTTGAGCTTATGATTCGATTGACTGCTGTTCGTGTTGTTTGGCGGCGGTCGATCATCAAGACCTGCTTCCTTCACCGTGCAGGCAGCAGCCACCAACAGACCGCCGCAGCACCAATCATGATAACTCCATCAGCAGTAGCAGCGGATGCACCAACAGATGCAACGGGAAGCTCAGCTGCTGCTTCAGCGGGGAAAGACGTTACAGACATACCCCACGCAACAACGGAGAAATATGCAACACCTTCCACTCAAGCAGGGGATACTCAGCGCACCCCAACAGGAACGATCCAGGGAGAAGCTGCACCAGCAGCAGCAGCAACAGCCAAGCCTGCTGCTGTTGCTGCTACTGCTGCTGCATCCGCACCAGAGGGAACGCTGCTCTCTCTTAGACGCTGCAGCGGGCGCTTCTCTGTACGATGCGCAGCAGCAGATGGGCTGGAGGTGACTTCTGTACACCCTGAGGCAGTCGGTCCTGCTGCTCTTTTCTCGGGTGCATGTGGAGTAAATGCCTTGACAGGCAGTCGTCTGCTGTCTCCTCACCTACCGCCTTCGCTCCCACCCCTAGACATGGATTTGCTGCTGGCGCTTCTACTTGTAGCTCTTAAACGCTGCCGCATCCCCCTGACTGCTGCAGATGTCCTGAGATTGCTGCTACAGGTGCGCTGCTGGGGCCTATGTGTCTTTTTTTGTCCCCTTGCCCTCTTTGCTTCTCTTCTCATAGCCCTTTTAGAATTATTTAAGCTTGACTCTGTGCCAGTGCTCCTCTTTCTGCCTCCAGTTGAGCTTCCTTGCTCAAGAGGGGACTCTTGCCTCCCCTGCGTTGCCGCTTTTTCTCTATTTATATATATACATATGTATATATATGGGTATATGTATACTTGGATGTGTTTGCAGTGTGCAGGTTTTGCTTGAATTTGTCGATGTCTCGGTGCGTGTGCATGCATGCGACATCTACAGACACTCCAAGGGGTTGGTTTTGCACGGGATCGTATCTCTCCTTTGTGTCTCAGAATCGCATAGGGTCTCTTTCGCTGCTGCGCCTGTCTCCCCCAGCGCTGTGGCACCAGTGCCGCGTCTTTACTGGGGCTCTTCTGCATCTGGGCGCAACATCCAACTCTGCTGCATCTGCTGCTGCTTTGCAGCCTCAGTCGCTGCCGCATGCCTTTCGGCTCCAGACGCTGCTGCAGGATTTGGCGGCCCTCGGCATTTCTGTGGGCCCCCCTGTGAATGCGAGTGCCCTCATTGCGCGTGTGGGTACGCTTCTGCGTCTGCCACCTCTCGTGATGCTGCTAGCCAACGCCCTGCTTCAGCAGGTGCTTCCGGGGCAGCTGCGACTGCTGCAGCAGAAGCTGCGCACAGCTCAGGAGTACAGACACATTAAAATACCCAGGAAATCTCCTTTCGTTCCATCACCAATCCAGACAAGGCCAATGAGGCCCCCGCCGCTGCACATACGGAAGTGCGTAAAGTCTATCCGCAGCATTCGTCGTGCTGCTGCAGGGGACAAAGGAGCCCATGGGAAAGATAGTAACGCCAACAAACGCAGGCGTATTGGGAGCGACGGTGCCGCAGCTGGTGCAGGAGGAACATTTGAAGCAGCACAGGCGGCCGCAGCAGAAACAGACGAAGCAGCAGGCGCAGCAACCGCAGCAACCGCAGCGGCAGCCGAGACGGGGCCTATCTCTGGGGAGGGGGGAAGTGATCAGGTGGTGGCAGATGCACCAGCGACAGCAGCGGACTCTCAGGTTTCTCAGGAGACACCTGAGGCAGCCACAGAACCAGCACCATCCGCAGACGCCGCAGAAGGAGACGGCAAGAAACCTCCAGAAGGGGACAGCAGCGGCGAAGGTGGCGATTTCTCCTTGGTGCTGCAGCAAGAGGGGCTCAGCAGCGATGGCGCGAGCGATGGAGGGGGCCGTAGCAGCAGCAAACCGGCAGCACCATCACCAGCTGCATCATCAGCAACAGCATCAGGAGCAGTAGGTGCTGCTGCTGCTGCTGCTGGTGCGCGCAAGAAGCAGTCCAAGAGGGGCCCCTGGCGCATGCGTTGGTCCCGGCAGCGAGGAGACCCCTGGGGACCCCAAGGAGCCCCCCAAATATCCCCCTGTGGGGTTCCAGAGACACACAGCGATGCTTGGAGGCTTCTGACACCGCGCAGCAAATCGAATGCATGGGGATGTCCACTAGAGTTGGCTGCGGGTGCATGCATTCTTGTTGCCCTTAGACTCCTCTATCCCATCATGCAGTGGCAGCCTGCTGCAGCCCCCACCAACTGCAGCAGCGGCAGCACTAGGAGTAGCAGCACCTGTGAGCACAGAGAGGATCTGGCAGCTGCTGCGAGGGATGCTCTCAACCTCTGCACTCAGGCTGCTGAAGAGCTGTCCCGTAGGCAGTGCATCAGCAGCAGCAACAGCAGGGGGACCATGAGCAACAACAACGGCAGCAGCAGCAGTGGGAACACCAGCAATATTGATGTCGCCCAGCAGCCCTCGACGCAGCGATTTCAGTGTGAGAATTTGTCTCCAGGGACAACTCAAAACACCTCTAGCAACAATAGCAGCACCAGCAGCAGCAACAAAGTAGATGGCCCCCTGGCGGCTTTTGGGGGGCCTTTGTCTCCTCGTCGGCTACCCCTCCAGGTTCTGCGATGGGCGACCGACCGCTTTTTTGTTTATCTCGATGGGCTGATGCTGATGTGGGTAGTTGGAGTTCGCCAGTGCGCTGCCGCAGCAGCAGCAGCAGCCAGTGCATCAGCAGCTGCTGCTGCGTTTGCTGCAGAACCTGCAGGTGAAGCAGCAGCAGACGGCTATACGCTCTATTTCTTTCCCGCCAAAGAAATCGGAGAAAGACGTGCAGGTCGCAAAGCCATCCGTTTCTTGCTGCTGCACCATTTTCATCAGAAGCAGCAGCAGAAGCAACAACAGCAGGAGCAACAGCAGCAGCAACAACAACAGCAGCAACACTCTCGTCCGAACGACCTATTGCCAGCCCCTGTTCTCCGTTTGCTGCTACACCCAGAGGTGGGTCGGCTTTTCCGCTGCTGCTGTAGGGCGTGTGGTGCCTCTGTTGGGAGCCTGTGAGAACCCTACGGAAATGTCAATGGTCACTTAGTCTAACTAACAGCAGCAGCAACAATCATTTAGTGGCATTAGACCTACGTTTACAAGACAGCGTTGCGCTGAGGGTCTTATAGGGGTAGTAAGCATCTTCTGGGGTGTTTCAAGCTTTTTTATTACGGTGTATAAGGATTGATAAGGGTTTGTGAGGGTTTATGAAAATTGTTTAGGGCTTTAAATGTTGATTGGGGTCTATTTAGGTAGATTGGCTCCTATTGAGGGTTGCGATGGTTTATCTCGGTGTACGGGGGTTTATATGGATTGACGACGGTTTGTAAGGCTTGAATAGGCTTTATGAGGGTTTAGGGTTTGTTTGCAGGGGGGAGACTTGGTGGGCTTGCTGGAGCACTTCGAGTCCCTCATGGCAAAGGGAGGGGACACACAAGACAATACCTTTTCAATATGTGGAGGAGGAGAGGCTGAAGAGGTCCTGCTGGAGCAGCAGCTGTTGCTGGCATATGCAGGGAGTACGCCGCAATCGCGGCGTCAGCAGCAACAACAACAGCAGCAGCAGTTTTCCTTGCCCTCCTGGTGTTGGGGCAGCCAACTGCCGCCACCGCTTGTCTCTCCAGTAGCATCTGCCGCTGTCTCCAAAGCCTTTGGAGATGTGAGCTCAGCATCCTTGGCTGCTGCTGCTGCTGCTGCTGCTGCTTCACGGCAAGAGGATGAGCAGCAGCAGCAACAACAGCAAAAGCAGCAACAACAGTTCGAATCCGCTGTTCTTGGGCTGCTGGGTGCTGAGGCAGCAGTAGAGCGCTTGATGGAGACAATGCCTACAAACCGACAGCTTCTGTTTCGGCTGTTGTCTCCTGCAGCATCAACTGCGGATGCAGCAGCAGCAGCAAGTAGTATACAGCTACCTGTTGTTGCAGAGGGAGACAGAACAACTGTTCTTGACACGGACTTGGGGATTAAGACTTGGTCTATGGGTCCCCTGCTGCAGCAGGAGCAGGCGCTTCAGCGTGCAGAGGAGCTGCTGGTCTGCCGTCCCCTTCATTCTCAGGCTGCTGCTGCGCTTGCTGCTGCGAGAAACAAAGCTGCTGCTGCTGCTGCTGCTGCGTCTGGCACTGAAAATTCGCAGGAGCAGCAGCGCCAGCAGCAGCTGCAAGAACGCGGCGCCATTGTGGAAACAGAAGGAGACACCATGCCGCTAGCAGAAGCAGCAGAAGATCTGGAGAAGGCTGTGGAAATCGCTACAGCAGCGTTTGGCTACATCAGCATGCAACACCAGCAGCAGCAAGAGAAGCTGCAGCAGAAACGCCACAGCAAGAGCGGCCGCCACCACAAGAAACGCCACCGCCGGAGGGGACGCAGCAACGGCAGCAGCAAAAGCAATGGCAACAACAGTAGCAGCGGGCCCACACATTTTGAGCTTTACAGGCACTCTGTTAGTGCAGCAGAGGCCTGCGAGCCCTGTGTGCTGCTGCCGCTGCAGCCGCACCGGGCTGCGGTGGTGCAGCGGTTTGCTGCAGAGAGAGCTGAAGAGCTGCCACTGCTGCCGCTGCCTAGACCTGCGAAGTCTGCTGCTGTTGCTGTTGCTGCTGCTCGTCAGGAGGCTCTGGACTGTCTCCGGAAGCACCAGCAGCTGCGGCTGCAGTGGCTAGGGTCTCCATACGTCTGCTATGACGGGACAGCAGAGTCCCTCTTTCTCCTGTTGGCATCTTCGCTGCTGCAGCAAATGGGCGCTGCTGACGATTTGCTGTTGCTGCAGCAGCAAGAAGCAGAGGGGGAAGAGAGCCTTGGGGCGTTGCTGCGGGACAACACAGCAACAGATGCAGCAGCTTCGGCAGCCAACGGGCGGAGTCTTGTAGATGATGTGGAAGAGCTGCTGCAGCAGTATAGGACAGCCTCAGCACCTCCTGCTGCAGCCCAGCAGCAACAAGACTCTCCCTCCGCAACACCAACACCAGCAACAGCAGAAACATCACTAGCTGCAGATGCTTCATGTTCTCGCCCCTCGACTTCGGTGGGCTCTCAGGAGCAGCCGCATCAAGGTGCACCGCAGCAGCAGCAGCAGCAAGAGGACCAGAATCAAGAGCAGCAGCAGGACGAGTTGGCACAGCAGCATGAACCGCAGCAGCAAAAAGAAGAGGAGCAAGAGGAGGAGCTGGACGCGCTGCACAGCAAGTACTGGGCCCCGGATTGGTCCTTTAAGGCATTCGTTGCTGCCGCTATTCCTGAGAAATTTGGTTTAAGGGACGGCAGCAGCAGCTTCTTCGAGGGAGGGGGCTGCGGCCCCGGCAGAGCCTTACCTCTGCGGTTGGAGGCTGCATGCAGCTTTGCAACAAGTGAGACGAGCAGCTCTAAGCCTTCTCGGCTAAACGATAAGCCCTAGCATACTAGCAGCTACACGAAACAGCTATAAGAGACAGGGAGGCTCTCTGCTGCCTCCGCAGATCTCTAGCAGGGAGAGGGACAGGTAGACAGCAGACAGGACACAGGCGCAAGAGGGAGAGACACATGGATATTAGAAGCCTATGTGCCTCCTGTCTCCCCTCCGGTGTTAACTACTATGTGCAGGCCGCTTCCCTTTCATGTACACCGTCGCCCTCATGAAGGTCGCAGACCAACTTGGCGTGGGGCCAGCAGAGTTGCACTCGGTTAGACAACGCGTACTGCCGCTGCTGTTGCTGCTGCTGCTGCTGTTACTGCTGGTGTTAGTTGTACCGTGCATGTAAATTATGCTTTTGCTACCCAGAGAGGGCTATACTTTGGGGTTTAGACATACTAAACCCTGAGGGTTTAGGGTTTTGCTGCTGCGTCTGTGGTGTGTATGTACACTAGGTAGCGCAGCAATGTGAGCGATGGGTCGTCCAGAAGTTCTTCCGCGACCATTTGGAGACCCGCTGGCCTCTCTAAGGTCTTGGTCCCTACTTAGGGGCCCTGAAGGGCTTGTTAGGTTAATATAATTCAATGATAATGCAGTGCCCCTGTTGTATCTTATTGAACAGAAGAAGCCCTCTGCTGTTTCTGTTCTCTGCAGCAGCTAATGGGGGCCCCATTATGGTTCCTGCTAGCTGCAGCAAGCAGTTCAATCTGAGAGGGCCCACAGACACCTCGAGACTCCGGCTGATTTTAGTGTTCTTCCTTGCCTCATTTGCAGGTAGTGGGGATCGTAGCAGGCCCCCACAACAAGCCCACGAGGGTTGACGAGGTCCCACAGACCCGTTTCTTTTGGCCTCCATGGGGGCCTCTCGAGGCGGCTCTGTGGCCTATGAAGGCTGCTTGTGGGGGGGCCCCATGGTGGGGCCCCTATTGCCATTTGTTGAATATCCTCTAGGGAACTGTAGACTCCTTGTATTATTTGGTACTAAAGGTACAACAGAAACTTAGGAAAGAATAGCCCAGTTAGCCACCCTTAACTAAGGGGCCCAAAGACCGTCAAGTGAGCCCTCAAGGACCACTACGGGGCCCTTCGAGATACTGTGGAGGCCCTTAATGTGCCCCCGAAGAGGGCCCCCTACTGGCGCTTCGGGGGCCCTCTGTGACCCTTACGGGGCCCCCTAAGGACCTTAGGAAACCAAGGGAAATCCTTAGGGGGATTCTCCTATCTTGATGGCAGATACAATAAAACCGCTGGGTATTGCAATAGTGCTCTGCATGATGGGGTGTGTCCTCCCGGGGACAACCTGCAGAGGAAAAGGAGACGAAAGGAGACACCGGCTCTTGCAAAGGATGCCAACACTGTTGCTATGCCAACAGGAATCGCAGCTGCTGTGCTTGGGGGGGTACCCTGTTGCCGTCTGTCTCTCTGTTTTAATGAGGGAGAGACGCATGAGGCCACCTCCCTTCGAGGCGTGCTTAGAGACAGTATTATGCTTAGAGACAGTATTAGAGACAAGCAACTGACACTTGTGTATATCATATATATATATATATATT